AAGTGGTTAATATCATGCATATTGCAAAATTAAACAGAATATGTTAGAGGATTTTAGATTCCAATACTCACACAAAAACCAAAGTTTCTGTGGTTATGGCATTGGGAAGTTCCCCATGTAACTTATTAAAACTGAGATCCCTGTCCATAATAATAAAATGTACATTAAATTCAAAGCCTATTGATGGTTGTAACATGAGAAATGTACCTTATGACATTCTTTAGACTTCATTGCTTGTTTAAATGTTCCTTACAGATTCAATTAAAAACAATTGCCTGCAGCAATCAGTTCCTATCATTATTTATGTTCAATGGTGTATGTAGCTTATAGCTTCATAGTTTTTCCATCCGTAACACCAAACATCCTAGATGGACCAGCATTGGATTGTATTGTTCAGGAAAGGAAAGGAAATAACAGGACGACTTCAGTTGTTGCACATTTCCATTGTCATGCACGACGTGCAGTAATTTCGTTTTTCAAGTGTATAGTTATTAAAATCAAAACTGAAACATTTTCATGTATCGTACTTACAAAAATATGTATTTACTTCCAAGATACGCATTCGATTCATTTGCCAGATGTATGGAGGGATCTCTCCTGATACATTGCAACTTCTTAAAACCCTAAAAATTCCACAATGACTGTGTCGGATATAATGATCATATGGCAACATGATTGCATGCATTCATGAACAGTATAGAGAATAGTCAGTGAAACATACAGCCTTGTGAGGCCTTTTATGCTGCAAAGATCAGGAAATGCCTGATTTGTTGCATTTATGTCACCAATCCTCCTGTATATAAAAATGTAATTTTAATTATCAAAACAATAAATAAAATGCTGTACCATGAGAAGTTCTTGTAAAGATGATCAATATAGTAGATTTGCTAATGTGATAATTACTTGAATATCACATTAGACCAATCAAGAGATTTTCACTCACAAGTCGGTTAATTTTTCCAAAACAGAAATAGATGGCGGAATTGGTCCTTCCAGTCCACTAGCTCGATTTCTCTGCATTGACTCAGTTAATCAAAATTAAACAAGAAACTTCAAGCGCCAAAGAGTAATCTTTATTTTCTGTCTTTTTCTAGTCTCAGATTTGAAAACAAAAATAAACTTCTATGGGCATGAGGATCTTACAGTCTCTTGAGGTTCCTCCAGTTTTGTATAAAATGGGGTATACTTCCATTGAGGCTGTTGTCATTTATTCGACTGCATTATGCAAAGGAGACTAGTTACACATTATACTTCTGTCAAATTCTGTGCATTATATTCATAATACTATTCTGATAAGCTTACAAATTAGTCAAGTTTCTCAGTTCAGCAAGTTCCGCTGGCAAACTTCCAATCAATTTGTTGGAAGACAGAATCCTGTAATGACAAATTAATTTAGATTCTCTAAAGGTAACCCAAGTGTGAGAGAATATTTTATGAGGGAAAAAACTAAATTAAAACATGAGTTCCATAAAGTTCCTTACAGACTTTTCAAATTAACCATTTTTGCAAGCTCCTGAGGCACAGTGCCGGAGAATTGGTTTAATTCAAGGTTTCTGGCAAGATAAAAAAGTTCAATGAGATATCTACTAGAGCGGATTGCTGTAAGCATTTGAACAGATTCACAATGCATAGATGCACGAGGACAAAGTTCTCAGCAGTAACAGACAATTCTTGAATAAATTACCGTATAGTGTTCCAAATCTGCCTCCACTGAAAGTTACAACTTACAAGTATATAAGACTGTTAAAGTTCTCCAAATAGCTTGGTATATTCACTGATGACCGATTTGCTAGAAGAGAGCTGCAATAGCAGTGCTTTGTCAATACAATAAGATGCAAAAGAATATCCATTAACTCAAAAATGGTGATAAAATAAGGAGTGAATCATAGCTTACATGGACTTCAGTTGCATTGAAGCCCATTCACGCGGTATAGAACCATTCATGTAGTTGTAAGCAAAATCACTGCAAGCCAATAAGACACGAGCTTAAAACTCTGGAATCCTAACTTTTCTTAATGACGCTAAAATTGAAAGAAATACAAGGAAAGCAAACATTATTCATTCCCCCCTGCTTCAAAATAATAAAAAAGACAAGTTAGTTGATGGAATTGTTCTTTCCCTTCCCTTAATTATTTCAAATAACTAGTTTAATTATCGAAATTATCAGTTTACTTGGAATTTATTCTTTTCCTTCCCTCAATTATTTCAAACATCGAGTTTAATTATCAAAACGAATAGTTTGCTTTGTTTGGAAAAATAAGAAAGCTCTCTCTCTTTCACACACACACAACATACACACATATTCTGTATGGGGAATCCAAATTCTCACATGCTCTCAGAAATAAGGAAGCTTGACGAGTTCAGGTGGAAGTTCTCTTGGAAGGCTATAATGCTTGATCATCCTGAAATCATAACAAAGCCAGAACTGGGTTTTCAGCATAAAGGTAAAGCAACAATTGGAAGTTATACTACAGACCTATCATACACAGAAACAAGCTAAAGCATAGACCTAGCTCTTTTGACAAAACTAATACACAAACATAAAGGTAATTGCAAATATGTCAAAAGTTGTTTTGAGATAGAGAAACCTACAGGGAAGTAATGTAGCAGGTGTTGTTCGGAAATTCACAATTGCAAGTAATATTCCTCTCAGGATCTGTTGGTCGAGGTTGTTGGACAAAGGCCTCTCAAGCATCAACAGAACTAAAATTCCAGCCAGAAGCTCCCAACTTTTTGGTAATTTGATTTAGGGCATCCACTATATGACATCCACCAACCAAGAAATATGTGTTATTTTTATCTATCATAACATTGAACTCCAATCTAGACTAGTTAGCAATGTTCTTTCTGTTTCTTTCTTTCTTTCTTCTTACAGCAAACTAGGCCAAGGTGCTCTTGCTTGTCTACCTATATAATAGCTTGAACTTTTACATTTTATAAATTACTACTGTATAACCGTTGGATAATTTCAACTGCACTAATTACCATGTGTTAAATCTTTCATAACCATTGAATCAGAAATTTTGAACAAGATTAATTTTCTAGTCGCCCTTGTTCTAATTCACATGCTAGTAGAACTTGTGAAGATTTACATTTACCTCCGGTCAAGTATCTGATACTTTTTTTGTACTTTTCCTAATCATGTAATATTTTTAGACCCTAATGTAAGCTCCTAAAAGTAGCCAGACAGTAACTGGAAAAAACATAAATAACAAGTCCAGCAAAGAAAAGGAAATTTCTACAGGTTCTACTGAAACAGAATAGAACTCAAAAATCGGAAGAGAGACAAAGAAAAAGCAAAAATAGGAGGATAGACTATTCAACATACCTTCATCCTAAGGCAGTGTAGCAGCAAGAAATTGTTGAGTCCCCAAGCAACTTAAAACTAGAACTGATACAACTGCTGCATGGTTGAGGAAGAACATCTTTGAAACTATAAATATGCCTAAAGCTTGCAAGAAATGTTCTTGCCTCGACTCTTCTACCTTGGACAAAACTATACTGCTCCTATAGAAAATTTAATATATCACAACATATAACTAAATAGGAAATTCTAACATAATGTAATACTTAAAAAATAATAACCAAGTTGACCAATCAATCAGCAGTTCTCACTTCCCATTACCTTATCCTGATAGAAAAGTACCACGAAATATTAGGTTGGTGTTTCTAGACGTTATTTGCCAAGTCTAATAATAAATATAACTTTAATGTTCATTATAAGATCATGGTTATTCCCTAATTATATCAATGTCTGGACCGGTAGCATCAGGATTTATCTGGGTTGATATCTGATATCTTATTTGACCAACACAACTCTTTCACTATCGTTCATGCTTGCTTGAACCAATATGCTTTCTCTATGAAACAGAGAAGACACACTATGCCGCGACAACTGTGAAGCACTTGGGCAAAAGATTAATAAATAATTAACACTTAAGCACCTGCTATTGACCATTAACTATTACTAATCAACTATAAGGACTAATTGAACTCGGGCTGATTTCTCCTCTTCTGACTGCCCACGTCCACGTACGGTTCCGTGAGAAGGGCGGGACTGTGACTCTTCTATTACGGCGAAGTCCATTTTCGTCAGGATCGATCGTATTGTTCATTAAGGTTTCGTACCCAGGTTTGCTTTGGCAGAACCTTAATTATTGTAATGAAAAAAAAGAAAAAGAAAGGCCCACCATTGTTCACTGTATGTAACAAGCTGCAAGGTGATGAAATGAATAATATAATAGGGACAATCATGTTTAATAAACTAATCGCAATTTTCCCACTAGAAATGAAATCACAATGCATGTAAATGAAGGAGCGGTTTGGTCCTATTCTTAGCCCTGAAAGTTTGACATGGAACAAAAATCCAAAGGGAGACTTATCAGCTTGAAAGTGAGGTGATGTGAAACCTGGCTTCATTTCCTCAGTTAAACGACGAAAAATTGCCCAAATGCTTTAAAGAAAAAAAAAAGGGAAAGATCCATTGGAGACCTTTTGGGTAAAGTTTACCAACGCCAACTCCTCAATTTGTATCATCAATCATAAAATTATAATATAGTAATAATTACATTCTAACAGCAAAACAGAAGAAAAATATTTTAAACTAATTTATTTATTTATAAATAAACAAAGTAAATTTTGTGAAATTAATATATTTTCTGAAATAAAATGAGACTATCAGGACAAGAACAGTATAACAGCAATCAAAAATCAAAAGTCAAAACATAGTGGAACTGAAAATTTGAATATGAAATGGACAAACTACTAACCGATAATGGAAAAAATGTTGTTTTAGTTATTAAAATAACTAATGAATCTAATTTAAATATTTTCCAGGAAAACAGATTTATTTATTTCGACATGAACTGTGAAGAAAAGTAGTAAGCCTTATTGAACTTACAGTTAGGGAAAGCATCCGTAACTGTGACAGAGAGATTCTTACAGTTGAGGTGCTGACGCATGGTTTCCGCGGATTCCACGTGGCATCAACCGAAAATTCCACGTGACCCATGAAATAAACGAAATTTAGCATGAAACAGCAGTTCTACCCAAACCCGGAAAGAAAAACTCGGATCCAAAATTCTATTACAAAATTCCCCGTTTAACGCGATCAAAAAATGAAACCCTAACCCTAATTCCTATCTCAGAAATCACATTTCTGTTAATTCTATGGAGCCATCAAATGAGACCGACAAATCTAATCAAGATGAAGAAGATTCTTTCTTCGACGCGCTCGAGGACTTCCCGTTTCATGACTGCGCCATTGCAGAGGAATCAGAGCAATCCATCTCAGACTCCATTCTTAGTGAATCCTCGCCGGAGATTCCAAATCCAGCCACCACCCTTCGGCGCCGGTCAACATCTCATCGTGGAATCTCCGGTACCGAGTCCAAAGACTCCAATTCGGAGTCCTCCTGTATCAGTTCTGACATTACCCAAAACGACGCCAAAACGAGATACAAAGAGAAAAGGTACAAACTTTATCGCGATTTAAAGGAAAATGAGAAGAATTTAGACGTCATCGAATCAACTCGGTGGAACGGGGACCGAGTCGACTTAGTTGGCGTTACAAGCAAGGTGGACGAGGATGAAAATGATGACCAGAAAATGGAATCCAAAGCTAGTGTTCCCGTTGGTAACTTGGTTGACGAGGCAGATGAACTCGGAGACCCATCTGCTGAAAATTTGCTTGAATTTGTTGTTGGAATGTTGATCAAGGCAGTTGGATTTCAAGTTAATTTGTTTGTTAGTTTTATTACATTTCCTATATGGGCTTTATACAGCTCCTATATGTTAGTTGTTGATCCATTTGGAGTCATGAGGCGAGGCAGAGGATTCCTTATGCATAAATTGGTTTGCCTATGGAATTCAATTAGTGGGTTGTTGAGTCCATTGATGGTCGACTGGTTAAAGGAGCAAAAATCAATATGGAAGCTAGTGTTGCGATTTGGGTTGGGTATTTTTTGGTCCTCATATGTCTGTATCATCTTGTTTGGATATTTGGTTTTTTCAATTATGATTAGTGGCTTTTTGGTGAGATATTTGGTGGAGAATCCAATAGAGATAAAGAACGAGTTATATTTTGATTACACTGAGAGTAGGCCAGTTGCATTTGTGCCAATAATGGCATGTGGTGGCGTTGGATGTGGTGGGGATTGTGAAGAGAAGAGTTTGGGGCCAAGGGTTATACCTCCTAATCATAAGCTGCAAGCTAATGTTCTATTAACATTGCCAGAGTCTGCATATAACAGAAATCTTGGGATATTTCAGGTAATAATTTGATTCGTTAAAAATTGAAGTTGCATTGTTTTCGATTCTATTTTATTGTTTGAAGTTTCCAATTTTTTGTGTTGATCTGTGATTTACAGCTATTTATGTTGTTTAAATTTTGCTGTGACTGATCATGAGTTTTATCGTTTTGGCTGGTATGTATTATCAGCTAGGAAATGAAATTCGCTCCTTGCCCTATTAAATGAAAATGTGCAAACACCAAAGCACTCTATTTACAGAAACATCTCTTAAACTATTCAGGATGAATCTGATACAGATACGGAAGATGGTTTATTGTTATTGGAAGCATTTTTCTTCTTTCCTTTTATGTATAATTAGCGGCATGTCTGTATTTTGTCTTTCCTGTACTCCTAACATCAAGCGTTACTCTAATGGGTTAAATTCATAATCTTGAATTTTATTAATCATACACGTCTAATGCTATACTTTACTGACTTGCTTCATGTGCAGGTTCGAGTAGACTTTCTGTCCGCTGATGGTAAAACTCTTGCTAGCAGAAGACAGCCATGTATGTTAAAATTCAAAAGTGAAACTCTCCATGTTCTATTAACTTTCTTTAAGCTCGGTCCTCTGATTACTGGCTACCTGTCAGAATCCCAAACTCTGAAAGTGAAGAACAAAGGCTTTGTGGAAGGAGATGTGCCTACTTCCTGCCTAAAAGTGATAATTGAGCAACGAGCTGAATACCGTCCTGGTGCTGGTATCCCAGAAATATATGATGCATCCCTTGTACTTGAATCTGAACTTCCATTATTTAAAAGGATTATATGGTGTTGGAAGAAAACCATATTTGTATGGATCAGCATCGTGGTGTTTATAATAGAGTTGCTGTTTACTCTAATCTGTTGTAGACCTGTAATTATCCCAAGATCAAGGCCAAGAAATGTTCCTGCTGTCTACGATTCAACTCCAAACAGACTCCAAAGACTGAGTTGATGTCAAGATTTATGTGCACTTCGATGATAACGGTGGAGTAAAGACATCGCCTCCAACTGCAGCAATAACCTTTTTGTTCACGTCATTAACTTACAGCGTGGCATTTGATCAACTGTTTTAATTAGCTGTACCATAATGTACATATTATTACCAATCAAATGAATAATTTGCATATGTATTCATTTTACATTCAAAAAAAATTCCTCAGTTCTTGAGTGGTCTCATGATCTGTGAAATGCTGAATCGATTTTACACATGATTCAGCATTTCACACTGAGCTTTGATCGACATTTAGTCGTCTTCTTCTTCTTGTTCTTGTTCTTCTTGTTCTTCTTCTTCTTCTTCTTCTTCTTAACAAAGGCGGGCCCACTTGTGAAAGTAATGGTTGGGCTTTCATAGAAGAAACTGTATTGAAGTTAGTAGTGCGAGCCCAATAACATTACCGCAATTTATTGGGTTCACATTGGTCCAATGAATCTTCTGCAGGCCCTAATATTGGGTCCACTTTGCACCAACGCAGGCGTATTACAAAATTTAGGCCCAACTCAAAATTTCCAGGCCCAGTTTTTTGATTTAGCCGGTCTCATGTGGACTTCATTAGTTTAGACGAACCCATTGCATTATTCTCTTACACAAAAAGAGTTCCAGATCCATTAACAAAAGTAACAAAGATACTACATATTACAAGACCCCAAAATGTTAAAGCCTTGGACGTTTAGTCGAGTTGGTCTGTTCGGTCAATATATGCTACACATCATAACATTTTTTAGGTCGGAGATTGAATCATGTGTAATTGGATAAATGATCCGCGTAGCTTTTAGAGTAGCATTTGGAATTTTTAACTAGTTAAAATATTATTTTTTTTAATTATTATATTCGGTACATTAATATTATTTTTCTAAATTATTGTGTTTGGTAACTTAATTTATAGAGTAGCTTTCAGAAGTTTACGAAGTATGTTCTAAAACATTATTTTTCTAATGTTGAGCTTTATTAAAATTTTTTTAACAACTTTACCCTTATCCTTAATTAATATAAAATTCTTTTATTATTACATTACGTATTTTATTATTTTTATGTTTTATTTATTTATATTTGATAGTAAATGAAAAAAAAGTTATTTATATATTTGTATTGTCTTTGTATTTTTATTATTTTTTGTATTTATTTATTTATATTTGATAGTAAATGAAAAAAAAAAGTTATTTATATATTTGTATTGTCTTTAATTAATATAAAATTCTTTTATTATTTACATTATTAATTAATATAAAATTCTTTTATTATTACATTACGTATTTTATTATTTTTATGTTTTATTTATTTATATTTGATAGTAAATGAAAAAAAAGTTATTTATATATTTGTATTGTCTTTGTTTCTAAATTATTTGTATTTTATAGTAAATGAAAAAAAGTTATTTATATATTTATATTATCTTTAAATGTTTTATTATCTTTATGTTTGGTTTTTTTATTATTCTTATCTTTTATTATCCAATATAAATGAAAAAAAAAAAGTTATTTATACATTTGTATTTAAACTCAAACAAATATTAAAAATTAAAACTCAAACAAATATTAAAAATTAAAAATATTGATCCCTAAAATATTAAAAATTTCTCATTTTATTTATAAAATAGTGAACTTTTCAATTTTTCGCTCTCTCAAATTTTGAAAATTTAGGTATAGTGAAATCATTTTTTTATAATTAATTTAACTGGATATTCTAGGTGAATATTTCAATGTTATTTTTTGTCATTTTAAATTTATTGCAAATCAAACAGTTATTTTTATTGAACACTTTCACTTTCAACTACTATTTAAACAGATACTAAAACAATTAGTATTATCGAACACGCCCAAAACATTCAATTTATTCAAGGGCTGTATTATGTTTACCAAACAAGAAGCATATGATCTCACAACGACACCCTTCCTAGTAATTCAATTCTTATCTTATCTATTTTCAAACATGACTTTCGACTATTTCACATTTATGCTTATTTAATTTTCCTCGACGATAAAAGACTTATTAAAAAAAGAAAAAGAAAGGTATCTAAAAAAAGAAAAAGAAAGGTATCTAGATAAGATAATTCAATTCTTATCTTATCTATTTTCATATCTATTTCAAACATGGCTTCGGCTATTTTCACATTTTATGGCATTAATTCTCTCTTCATATCTAATATATAAGAATCATATATATATATAGAATATATGCATCAAAATAACCACTAATTCCAAAAACAAAAAAAAAAAGTAAAAAGTGTGAGTATGGCCAATCCTTTGATAGCCTCTCTCTATATCATCCATTTAAGCATCCAATTCTAGATTTTCAACCCTCATAAGTTTCTTCTGTGTGTAGCATTTGTGAGCACAATTATCCTCATAACCGCAACAATACAAGGGGACTGCAATAGTTCAACTTAACTCTGTGGGCATAAACCACAACTCACCATGTTAAACCAAGTTACTTGTATTTTAACTTTTACTAATTTTTTGTGCCGCTACACTGATATGAAATGAACCTTAAATCTATATATATTCTCTTGTGTGTATATATCTCTATATATATAGTATATCAGAATTCTTCTAGGAGAACCCTGGATGAATACTAAAGTTTGATATTTTTGATCTCATCCAAATAGCCAACACATCTTCCAGATCAAGTGACTTTACATCCTCCATGTAGGACCCATTTGGTATCATTAAATTCTAGTGGACAAGTCACCAATAAAATTGAAAGTTACCTTGACTTGACGACGCTACATCATAGATAAGGAGTATCCACATCACCGCCGAACTGAATTAAGGTTATCTCTTGATATAAATGAAGTGAAAGTCATGTTCCTGCGGTTCTGGACCAGTATTTCTTAAATATTTTCGGTTATGACTTTGATACATATACCTAGTTCCTACTACGTAGATGCATATCAGAATTTTGTGCCCAGACCCCAAAGTTGGAACATGCATATTGAGATTGAGTGTCACTATTTTTCTTAAAAAAAAAAAAAGAAAAAATCTGTTTTCACTTCATTGGAATGTATATTAGTTTATTTTTTCATTTTCAATTAAGAATATTTTTTAATTAGATATACGTTATGAAATATAGATTTACTTATATTCTCTTCGACCTATAGATCATTCTAATTTAAAATAACTCTCTCGAATATCGGGTATTAAAAAATTTGGAATTTTAATCAAACGTATTCATGTGCCACCTTACGGGATAATCTATTTTGATGGGCAACTATCAATTTTACATATTGCTTCCCAGTATATTTTATTGCCATATCACAATCTCATCCTTCTTCTTAATAGCACCTTTAATGGCCTTGCATTCACACCGTCTATACCCTTTAAATAGAAGGATTCGGAGTATGGAATAGGTAGTAGCGTGGCTTGCATATCATTTGATTTGTAGTTTGCTTTTTTTTGATTTTTCTCTTGATTTTTACTAGGCTAGGAATACAAATCTGAGTCTACTATTGATTCAAATACAACACTTAACTCAATTTGGGGTTCCATCTTTTAATTCCATTAAGCTCAGGACCAGTTGAGCAAAGAAACCCCAAAATCTCTTATATTATTTTTTTTCCCCATCTTATAAGACTATAGAAAACCATTACAGAAAAATCCTTTGCTAACTCCTGGGGCAAAGCATTACCTAACGTTTTCTTCATTTTTACTAGTTTTTTTTTTTTTTTTTTTTTTTGATTTTTCACTAGCTAGGAATACAAATCTAAATCTACTATTGATTCAAATACACACTTAACTCATTTGGTTCTATCTTTTAATTCCATTAAGCTCAGACAATTTACAAAGAAACAAAATCTATATTTTTCCCATTAAACTAAGAAAACATTACAGAAAATCCTTCTAACACTGGCATTACTTGCCTTCTTCATTTTTTTTTACTAGCTACATGAAAAAGAAAGGAGATAAGACAGATAGAGAAGGCATCAAGCGCGTCCTGTGCTCTTGATAAATGAAGCACTCTTTGTGATCTCTCTCAAAGGCTTATCTGTGTATCTAATCATGTTATATACCCATGCACCTGCTTGAGCTCCAAGCGTTGGAGATACTAAATAAATCCACAGCCCCTTGAATTTACATGAAACAATTGCAGGTCCCAAGCTTCTTGCAGGATTCATAGATGCTCCTGAAATTGGCCTGTATTGCAAAATTATTATCAATCATTTAGATAATATCGTTTAATTAATGCTCATATTAAGAAGTAATATTGTAATTAGATTAATACCCTGCAAAAATCACATTGAGAAGAACCGTAGCACCAACAGCAAGTCCAGCAAGTTCACCAATCTGCATAAACAACAACAAAAAATGAGACAATGGAATGACTCCAGAATTTTATATCATTTCAATTCCTTGGCGTATAGTACTAAATTAGACAAAGATTGTCGTCTTAAATTTATTAATTTAAGGAACAAGAAGTTTCAAAAGTCCACAAGTTGGCAACTAAATTAACCATTAGCGAACTCCAATGGCTAACCACATAAAACATTTGTAAGTTTTTTATAATCTAAAATTAGAATCAATGATTAGTTGATCAAGTCTAATAACTTACAGCTCTGTTATCTGTAGCGACACCGGAAATGACAAACATGAGATAGAATGTGATTATGAATTCAACTACAAAGGATTGCATATTTGATCCTGCAGGCATTGTTCCTACAAAATGATCTTGTTTTCCAGTAAATATCAATCGAATAGTTCCAGCTGCTAGCGTTGATCCAATCACTTGGCATACAATATAGGCAGGCACCTAAATTACCAGAACAAAATGGAAAGGGAGAACGAAGAAACATCAATTCATATATAAATCTTTTTTTGCCATCAATTAATAACTTGGCTGGATTAAAATTTTCTTTCCTACTAATTTACAAACCAAAATAGATTCTAAAATAAACCCAATCAAGCATTTTCAATAAAATGTGGATTCAAATACACAAATGACTCCAGTGCACGAGGAGAATTCTGACTTTTTCAACTTTAAGCAGGGTCAAGTTTAATTAGCATTCATAAACTGTTAAAAGGGGACATTTTTAATTTCAACAATTTCTTATACATCAAGGTAAACCATTATGGGTAGATTACCTACTCTCAACAAAGTAGTTTTAGTGTTTATTTTTCAGTTTTACCTGTTTCCAGGGAAATCTCTTGCAGGTTGCGAAGGCAAGAGTGACAGCGGGGTTGAAATGGGCACCGGAGATGTGACCAACAGAGTAAACCAAAACCATCACAGCCAATCCCCAAACTATTGATATTCCAGGATGTGTCACAACCTTATCAAAGTTCAAATTCACCGCCACTGCAGTACAACCGGCAAATATCAAAAAGTATGTGCCTGCCACCTCTGCTATCATCTGCATATATAAATCTCATTAAATAAAAATCAATTTCCATTCGAATTCCAATTCAAAATCAATCACATATAATCTTTACTGCCCAAATAAGGCCTCGTGTGGCTTTTGAAACTTGAAAAGTTTCAGACTTTCATAAAATTGGACATACAAAAATATGTAGCAATAAAAAAAAAATCAAATTTTATGAAATGGATTTGAGTGAAAAGAGCATTTTTTTTTTTTTTTTTTTATACAAAAATATGTTAGCAATAAAAAAAAAATCAAATTTTTATGAACATGGATATTGAGTGAAAAGAGCATTTTTTTTTTTTTTTTTTTTGGACGTCACACACATATTGACACCCAGAGACAGGACAAGATGCCGAAGTCTATAGAACGCCCAATTGACACGTTTCTGAAAAACCAAGAAAATCAAAACCAATAATGTGATAGAGTGAATGGAAATCACCTTTTTGCACATTTGAACTAGCCACTAGATCAATGCTGGAAATTTGCCTCAAGCTGAATCTTCCTTGTGTCTCGATAGAGGGCCAATTGAGAGGGGCGTTCATTTCACCTAACATTCGAGACACAAACATTTTTGGCCATTTACTCGCGATCTCACCCATCAGTCACTGCAAATATTATGCAAGCGTATTACAAAGTCTAATTAACCAAACAATTAATTTGTTTGGGTAGAGAGTTGGAGTTTATTTTTTTTTGGGGAGAGTCCTAGCTTTCGTTGTCAGCAAAATTGGAGAGTATGATAAGGAAAACAACGAAAACAGAAGCTGTCCAATTATAAGACATAGATTCCAATAAAACAAAAGGTAGAGATCAAAGAAACGTAATCATGGATTCTGGGCACTTCTTTCAAAGATAAAATATGGGCAGAAGTGATTGACCTTATGCTTCTCTCTTTTTTTCATTTTCGGTTTTTATTTTATTATTATATGATTTTCTATAAGATGTGTCATGTTTACCTAATTTATTAATGTACAAAAAATATATAAATTATTTAAATGATGAAGATGTAGATATATCCCGTTTCTTCCTGTAGATATATCGTTTGAAAAGTGCTGACGATTTAATTCATATGCCTTGAAACGCAATAATACAATATAAAATTGAATATTTGATAGAAATTGAAAGTGCTCTCGTAATTCATACTACTCCACCGGGAAATACAGAGGACATGCATACCTATTCTTTATTCAATTTAAATATAATAATAATATAATTACTAACTCCTTGAATATAACAACGATTGGGAAAGCAGGATAGTCGAGATACCCCTGTTGCCCTGTGCGTGAGTAATCTCACCTCGCCGTCCTCTCTGTGCCGCTCCACAGTCAATAACCTATCCAGTTACACTCTGAGCGGCAAATTAAGCCTAATGGTAGACCTCGCCTACATTTTTTTTTTTTTTTTTTTGGAGTCAAATTTGAACAGAAGAAGAAAGATGGACAAAACGCCATGACCTTGAAAACAAGAAATCAACAATAATGGGTAGAGTGAATGAATCACCTTTTGCATGAAAGGCACAGAAATGCTCAAGGCTGAATCTTCCTTGTGTTTAGAGGGACAAGGTGGAGGGTTATTGTCATCCTTAACATCCAACACAACTTGTTTGCCATTACTCCCTGCGATCTCACCCATCAGTCACTGCAAATTATTTGCAAGTATACAAGTCTTACAAAGTTTATTGTTTGGGGAGAGAGAGTTTATTTTTTGGGGGGAGAGTTCCTAGCTTTGTTGTCAGCAAATGGAGAGTATGTAAGAAACAACGAAACAGAAGCTGTCCAATTTATAAGCAAGATCCAAAAACAAAGGAGACAAAGAACGTTATTTGGACTTTTTCAGATAAAAGGGCAGAGATTGACCTTATGCTTCCTTCTTTTTTTCTTTGGTTTTATTATTTATTTTCTATATAGATGGCATTTTCCTATTATATAATATAAATAATTATATTAATGATGAGATGTAGTATATCCCTTTCTTCCTTGTAGATATCGTTGAAAAGTGTGACATTAATTCATATGCCTTTGTGAACGCAAAAATAAATTGAATATGAAGATTGAAGGCTGATTCAACTACCCACCGGAAATACAGAAGGGCATGCATACCTTTCCTTTAATAATAATAATAATAATAATAATTACTACTTATTATTATCATTGGAAACCAGAAAAATACTTCCCTTGTATTCTTCAAGCTCCGTTCTAAATCCGGAAATCCAGGTCAGTATACCTATCCATACACTCTGGCGGAAATTAGCCAATGGTAGCCCTCGCTACCCTAACTCGTAAAAAAAATACAGATCTCCTGCATAAATTAATAGAATTTTTTTAAGAATAAAACTGAATTTACCAATTGAACTCGAGGACAATATTTAATTTTTCGTACAATTTATAATATCAAAAGAATAAAAGGCTTAATTTTTTTACTAAAAAGCTCGATATATTTTTCTCACTTAAAAATATTTAATTATTAAAAATTAATATTTACATTTTAACACTTTGTTTGGAAAAGAGAGAAATAAAGTTAGCGAAGAAATGAAATAAAATAGAAATATCACAAATTATTTTCTATAACACTTTGCTCAATTATTTTCTATTCTTGTATTTAGATGAAGGGAAAACATAGAAAATGAAAATATAATATTTCTATTAAATAATATATTTTTTCAATTTATTCACCATTTTCTTTCCAATTTAAAGAGATTCTAATTTTATAAATATGAGTGAAAAATTGTAGATATTGTCATTCTTTTGATATTTTCCTCTCTTTTCAACAAAAAAAAAAAATATCTTAATATTTTCTCGACAGAGTTTCTTTACTAAAAGAAAAGAAAATAAAAGAAAGGTATCACTATCCAGACAAAGGGTAAAAAGGTTAATTAAACAAAAACTTCTTATTTTGTTTTTACTTTGTCTGCCAGTGAAAATTATGGAAAAGAAAAATTAAATGGTAAATAAATAATTACATTGATAGTGCACGTGAGCTAATTACCTTTTTTTTTTTGTTTGTTCCCTTTTTTTGCGCGTCAGTGGTCAAGAAGATGGATTAGTCCTGATTCTAACTTATAAGATAACACCAGCAGCCATTACAGTCGCCCGTGCATGCAGTTCCCAGCCGACACATTAACGTATAATAACAAACTTATGCATTACATCCTAAATCATGTTTTTATGTAACTAAATTTTCCCACTTGGCATGTTTTTAGATATGTTGAAGAATAAATATTTCAATATCAATTTCAGCACATAATATCCTTATCCTCTTATACTAAAATTTTTTGAAACTCCAGCAATTTGCTCTACCAACTCTGAACATTAGTCATATACTAATCAACTACACAGTCAATAATGGGTCTCGGCCCAAAAACTAATAAAAAAATGGAAGAGTCAAACTCAAAAGTTTCCTGCACGCTACAGGCCCAAATACAAACAAGATTGGCCCACAGTGGGGTCATAAATTTACTATGAAAAGCATTTGACTATGACTGTGGAAATTGCCTAATGATAAAGATAAACTACAAATACGGTGATATCATAATTCTGTCATTGATGACGTGGGCCTATATTTTTACATTCTATTACCAGAATTCTATTGTAACAAAATAATGTTATCCTCATTGTTGGTTGTAACTTGATTTATGCACTTAAAACTGTCGTTGATTGTTGATTAGAGTTCTTCAGAATTCACCGAACTAATTATTTTTTTTAATAGCTATTTTATTGAGATATTATTTATTATTGGAATCGATAGACTTAACAAGTGTATGAGATTATAAAAAAAAAAAGCACTGAATTGTTCGGTTCAATACTGAAAAGACTTAATATCGAATCAACTCAAACATTTAACTCTAATTAATAAAATTAGGAAATGAGAGAGAAATTTATTTTGTCATCCAACCACTTAATTATATATACACTTTCTTTGCTAATGTCTAAGAAAAAAGAATAAGAGAATGACCGGCAATTAGGGATGAATTTAAGTATTTGCTTGTATATTTCTTCCATTTGACGAGGCAAAGTCTCCCAATTTAGACTCTTTGTGCATTTTATTAATTGCATGATAGTTGCTTCTGCAAGCTAAAATTTTCCAACGGAACGAAGACCTGAAACCAGAGGAAAACCCAAGTCCATGCTATTACTATTATCAACCGAAGTAAAAATGTTCCATCTAACTAACACAGCAGAAAGCAGAGAATTGAAACTAATCAATTGGGCAGGCCAAGGGTTGAAAATTCAGAGAGATGAAACCAACCGACCAACCAACAAACTATGTCCAATGCACATGCAATGCAAATTCTACCCTCCCACTATAACTATCATCGATGCGCATGCAAAGGATCAGGCTTTCCCCGCCCAAATAGTCATATGAGAAAATTATCTTAGGATCCTAAAAATTGTTATATAAGTTGTAAAATAGATAATTGTAGCACTCTTCAATTGTCTAGGCCAGATATAACAGTTCGATAGATTAGGAGACAAGACAAGCTAACATGGATATTCATTTTCTAGCTTGAGCATTCAATACTCATGTTCGTTTTCAAGTGTAGAAAGCGAGGAGACGAGAAAACGATTATTTTTCTATAATTTTTAATGAAAAAAAAGTATAAGTTATAAATGAGAAAGGAATTATCAAAGCTTAAATAATAATTATAATAAAGGTGCTAGCCAATTCAAATCTTAGCATTGGATTTGAACCAAATATTATCCAAAGCCAGTATCGAAAAGTAGGATCTCCATTGCTTTGTATTTTTTGCATATTTAATCTTTGGATTGAACTTTACTCCTGTAGCCTCCCAAAAATTTTGCATGCAAAGAAGGAACTTTTGGACTAAGCGTTTCTAGTGCATGTGTTAGTTGATGTATTTTACTATATCTTTTTGTTGCAGAATCTTTGTACTACAAATTGGTTTCCCACTTGCAGTAGTTTCCTTTTGACAAAAACGTCGAATCAAGAAAATGTCTTCCTCTCCAATGTTTAATGGACACTGACTAGTAAGCTTTTCTTTAAGTAAGTGGAATTAAGCAAAGCAAAAAACTCCTATCACACTTCTTTTTCAGTTGTGGAAAAATCAAATAAAGAAAAGGATTTTCCCATAAAAGGACTATCTTTTCCTTGTTCTTTAAATATCATTAAATATTTCATTACAATTAGTCATACAATTATATCTTCTCCATTAGCGTGAACTTTGATATAAGTTTTTAAGAGTATTTCTCGTGATTCATACTTCATATCCGGCAATGATGGTAGTGATAGTAAAGTGACGGCTATAAGTTATTTCTTTCCGTTGCTTTTATTTCCAGGATCTGGTAAAATTTTTTCTTCTAAAATTTTATAACTCTTGTACCCTTTCTAAGTCTAGTTTAGTTAAATCTAACTTTTTCTGCCTCTTTTTTAATGAACGAGTTCATCCTTATTCAAGTATGTATATACATTAGCTAACAAGTTAATCCGGCAAAATCGTCATTATTTACATCAAAGGTAAAGTTATATAATTTTTGAAATAGTCTTACGAGTCATTTCTATCATGTTTCTACCATTGAAATCTGTAAAATTTGATATTAGATTTTTACCATTTTACGAAATTGATGTTTAATATGTTTTGCTTTATAAGTTTGAAATTTTATAATGCACGCGTTCATGGATTGATGGGTGAAATTATGTCTATTTTTTTTTTTAAACTATAGTAAATATTATTAATGGGAATAAAAAAACAAAGTCGCAACAATAGAAGAAGGTGAAACAGATATCCACTCACCAAACTTGACATAAAATGAGTAGCATAAGCTAAATTACGAGCAACACCATTTGGTTTAACAAAAATAAAAAGGAAACAGAAACAAGTCCAGCTGCTAATGATATTTGTAAAAAGCTAGGTTAACATAGAAAATTGTGTTTGAAAGTCATTTATATAATGATGATAATAATAATAATAATAATAATAATAATAATTCTTAAAAATTAGAAACCTTGATCAAGAGACAGGTTCAATGGGCTTAGCTTAGATGTTAGCCCATTATCATTTTAATAGGCTCTTGTTTCAGACTAGACTATTTGGACTTTTAGTAAACTGCAGGGCCCAATTGGAGATTATGATGTTGACGATTTAAAATTTCAAATTAAAAAGGGTCAAATACGGTGGAAACCAGCCTGGGTAAGTGGGTGGGACAACCCAACTGTCTGTTCCAACGGTCGGCCTTCTATTTTTAACCAAATCCACAGTAACTCACCAAACAAACTACCCTCTTCCCCTCAACCGAAAACCCAATTAAATTTTAACTGCTCCAGCTTCGGCTAAATTACTTTCTAATCTTGAGCAGCAATAATTTTTAAAACCCTCTCTTTGCTTCGGCTCCGAACGTTTGCGTTACCGTTGCACCGAACCAAAATTTAAAATCCCACTCACCCTTCCTCATTTGCACACTCTCATACGCGAACCCCCCTTTATCTCTCTCTCTCTCTCTCTCTCTCTCTCTCTCTCTATCTTTCGCTCTTCTGGATAGCGTCAGCAATGGTGTCTAAGACCCTGAAGAAAACTCCAACGAAATCCATTAAAGATCGCCGGAGCAGCTATCGCCGCCAAAGGAGGAAATCTCCGGCGAAAATTGATGCGGTTGCTGCCTCCTCTACCATTCTCGAATCCATCAATAAAACTATCTTCTCATGCAAACGCCGCCTTGCCAAGATTTTCTCCAAATTGGCCCGCATTAGTACTCCTAATAGTCGCTACAAAGGATACAAAATCTTGAAGAAGAGATTTAAAGGCGAAAGTCAAGAATTTCAGCAGCAAGCAATTGAGAAAGATAGCATTTGCAGAGTTCTTTTCTCTAATGAACGATTACCACCGTTGATTTCGCCTACTAAAAAAACCATCTTTCTTGATCTCGATGAGACCTTGGTTCATTCCAAAGCAGACCCACCACCTCAAATGTTTGATTTTGTAGTAAGGCCAAAAATTGATGGAGAATTAATGAATTTTTATGTGTTGAAACGACCGGGAGTTGATGCTTTCTTGGAATCACTGGCCGCGAAGTACGAGTTGGTGGTGTTTACCGCCGGATTAAAAGAATATGCGTCGTTGGTTCTCGATAAGTTGGATGTGAAGGGGTTAATTTCGCATAGACTATATAGGGATTCGTGCAAGGAAGTTGATGGGAAGTTTGTTAAGGATTTGTCTGAGATGGGGAGGGATATGAAGAGAATAGTGATTATCGATGACAATCCTAATTGCTACAGTTTCCAGCCAGAAAATGCAATTCCGGTGAGGCCTTTTATTGATGATTTGGGTGATGGAGAATTGGGGAAGTTGGTTAAGTTTTTCGAAGAGTGTGATTCTTTTGAGGATATTAGGGATGCTGTGAAGCAGTTTGTTTGCAAAGGGAATGATATGAAGAATCTGTAACTGTTAGGCTTTTTTTTTTATATCTATTTTTGTTTTGTTAGCTCTTTATTTTTTATTTTTTTCATGAAATGATATGATGTATTGAACAAAAATTTTGTTCAATCCAAAGTGAAAGAAGAAACTCAAATAATAGCAACAGCATTTCGTTTCTTTTAATTCAATGAGTAATCTTTGTGCTTACTGATTAGTGTGAGATTAGGTTTCTGCAGCATCAGCAAATTTATAATTAGGCAAATTTGTTTCAGATTTATCACTTGTATTACTGTAATTATGTGTCAAACTCTTGGTTTGTCTGTTTCATGTGCTTTTTCTCCTGCTTCTGTCGAGTCTGAACAAACTGTCTGAGTGCATCAGTGTTGGTTAAACATATTTTTTTCCCTTGTGGAAAGTGATCTGAAGAAAAAACAATTTAGATTTAGAAGGAAACTAATTATAATGATTGAGGAACAAAAGAGATTTAAAACAGGTAATCCTGATGACTCGGTTACAAGGAATTTATAGCGACACCAACTCCACCTTCAGAATTTGAATTCCCGACTCCAGAGAAGTGTCAAAAGCATAAAAACATAGTCATCTTTCTTTTACACCCAATATGAATGGCTTCCTATTCAAAACCAGGACACTCAATAATATGAATGGCCAATTAGGTTTTGATTTCTAATCCACCATTTGCTATTACATCGACAGGCATACCCAAGAAAGCTTTCTTGACTTGCAGATGTAGTAATGAAGCGTTCAACATAACCAAACTGCTGATTACAATCTAGGAAGTCGAATTCAAAAATAACATGCTGAGGATTTCCTCAAGACACATATATAATATGACCTGAACGTCCACCAAAAAGTTGACTATAATCCCAAGCTTAAGTCCATGTAGACGAAGTAATTCCCATAGCATACCATTCATTTAAATTGCAATAACTTCCATACAGTCACAGGCAGTGCTCAAATTTTGAAACCTAAAAATATGGACTTAAAAAGAAGCTACATTTACAGCAGCAGCAAGCATGGTCTGTAAATATGAGAATTAGCGTCAGCAACAAAAACTAAGCCCGTAACAACAAATCATAATCAACCTTACAAGGAAGCAAATGAAATTGCTGCACTCAGCTTTACAATTGCAGTAGCAGGTCATTTCCCACCATTTGTTTTCTTCAAAATCAGATTGGTTACTTAGCTCAAAACGATGCAGAGAGAATTAACATTGAATCAATTTACTCAGAATTTTGTAAATTCATTGAGATTTTGATATTTAACCACTAAAGCATTGCACAACAACAATTCTTAGATCCAAACTCTAATGCTCATTCTTTCCCTACTTGCACAAAAAAGTAAAATTTAATAAAAATGAATAAATAGTAGCAGTCACCCGATCAATATACGTTTTAGAACAAAATAAGAACTTTGTTTCTTGTCAATACAGAAGAACAAGAAAAACATAAAAAAGTTGGGGACTCTCCAACCATTCTAATCTAAAAACTATTTATAACAACAACAACAACAACAACAGCAATTGTAAACTTTCCAGTTCCATTCATACACGTCCCTAAATTACATTTCCAATACGACTATGTATAGGAAGAGAGATGTTTAACGGTACAAAATCAATCGCAAACAAAGACCTGTTGAGGCAGCCTCCAAGCCTCGATCTTGCTAAAGCACATGTCATCAAGAGCCTCGCTCTTGCACCAGCGGCACTTAGGGTTCTGTGAGCACTGAGATCTGGCCACCATCCCACTGCAATTAGGGATCTGCTGTTGGGCGTTTCTCTGTGCAGCCAATAAGCTCCGATGTGAAGCAATTAGTGAAGGGTCTTGGGTAGTTGAAGCGTAGGACAATGATGATTGAAGTAGAGTTGCAAGGAAGATAAGGAAGATCGAGAAAGAGATGGTAGAGCTGATTAGTGCCATGTTTAGAATAAGGAGATGGAGATTGATTTTGATTGGACTTTAATTAGACTTGCCTGTTTCAGCTAAATTTGGGGTCCCCGTCCCCAACCCAACGTATCACCAATTTAATGAATTTATCACAATTTTTTCAAAAAAAAAAAAAAAAAAGGTTATGAACGATCAAATGTAATTTTTAAAATATACATAAATAAGTTTGAGGCAGTTCTTACACCCGTATATCAATTGTGTCTTTTAGATACAAAATTGATAGAACTTATGGAATATTTACTTGATCTCAAGTTACGAGCGTGAGAATCTCAAGATAAAAAACCATGACAAAGTTGGCGCGACCTTCCATAACCAGTCAATCTTAAGAAAACTTATTTATCAACAATCAGACAACAACAACTAGCATGTAATGCTGATAATGTATAATCTCTTCCAGTTCCTTCTCTCATCTAGCAGCTCTCTCTCCTTAAAAGTCCAAATCACATTAGACTAGTCGACTATCTTATTAGGAAGGAGATGGATGTTTTCAACTCCGAGTGGTTTACACAATACATCAATCGCCATTAATCACATATACAAACCTGTTGAGGCCGCTTCCAAGCCTCTCATCTTTTGCTTAAGCACATGTCATCAAGAGCCTCGCTCTATGCACCTCCCAGCTCCCGCAATCTCTTAAGTGGCTTTTCATAGTCAGTCACGCTCTTTGCATTCTTGACTGTCTCGACACACCCTACATCCACTGCAATTTTAGGTTACTTCCGCATGTGTCTTCGTGGCTCTCGATTTTTCCTGCCTGTGCTCAGCCCATTAATGCTCTTCCCATGAGTGATTCATAAAGTGTAAAGTGTTCTTGTGCTGGTAAGATTGTGAAACGATCCTCACATACGTCTCAATGATTGATTGAAGTTAAGTTGCAGAGGGAAGATAAGGTAAGATCGCAGTGAAAGACTCGGTATAGAGTCTCATCAGTGCCTTATGTCATAGGAATACAGATGTCATGGAGATTTCGATGGTTTGATTGCGACATTAATTAATAGACTTTGGTCTCAGTTTACAGTCTTCATTTGGGCAGATCCCACCGTCCTCCAACTCCCAACGTATCACCAATTAATGGAATTTATTCACAATTTTTTCAAAAAAAAAAGAAAACAAATATATCATATATAGTATACTCCCTCTTTCTAAATTTTATTCTGTATTTAAAAGTTTTTTTTACGTTAATAAGAAAGTAATTAATAAGAAAGTAATTAAATAATTTAAATTAATATAATAAAATATTTTTAATGGGAATAAATTATTTTTTTATCTAATTATAATAATTCTTTCTTCATCAATTACCACCAAAACTGAAAGGAAAAACAATAAAAATGATAAAATAAATTAAAAAATTTTCAAGTGCATAAAATAGTGTAAGCTTAAAATGAAATAATCAAACTAAGCAAATGCAAAGTCATCCCATTAATGTATAATAAACTAATCAAAGTAATATGATTAGGTTAAAACACTTGTAAGAAATGTGCTAATTCAAAAAGAATAATATCAAAAAATTTTTTTAAATGAAATCAAAATAATTATTTATAAAAAGTAAAAATAAGTAAATTATGCTTATTAATTATCTGTTCATAACTTGTAAAATATCTCTATTATTGCTTTTCTATTATTAAATCGTACGATTTCCTTTTAACAAGATGGAAATCCTATTTTAAGAAAAAAAAAAAGAAGAAACAACTGTTGTCATTTGTTATTTATCTGTATAAAACTGAAAAGAGAGAAAAAAAAAAAAAAAAAAACTTTCATTAATAAAAACAGAAGAATGAGCAACGATTTGCCTTTTTACTTTTTGTTATAAATATACTGGAAAAGACGGAGAAACAAAAAAAAAAAAAAAACTTCATTTAGGGTGACTGTTCCACTCAGCTTCAAGTGAAGTATCTCCCGAATCTGGTTTAGTAAATAGGCTTCCTCTGACACTACAATATACACATATAATCCAAATTCAGATATCGATTTCGAATCTCAGCTGGATGATCTCCAAAACCGAAGTGCATATCGGTCTAAGGAGCCTCTATTTAAACACATCCCGCAAGGATTAAAGAGAAAAAAAAGAAATTAAAAATAAAAACAAATAACAACGTAAGCAATACGTAACACTTCAATAGACCAAAGAAGAAGCGTCATTATACCACAGCCGTTCGACTCTCTTTCATATTCAATTCGATGACATAAATTACCTTACTCTTCCTCTATCACAAATTTTCTTTTGCTTTTAATACTTCCAATCTTAATTTAAATCTTACATTCACACACTCTTATCTGTTTTTTATGCCGAAAATTTCCCTCTTTCTTCCCATGCTTATCTCTCTGACTTTATGCAAGAGAAACACATCTAGTAATATAAACACAATATGAAGAGTTAGAAGAGAAATTGGGATTTTGGTGAGTCTAGGGTTTTCGATTCTCTATCGGTAAACCTATACTAACTTGCCCATGATTCATTAAATTGTATGTTCATTTTCTGTCTCTATTGTGTGCTTATGCAGTTATTGTTTGATTTCGATTATATCCAGGGCATTTTTTCTTTCTTTCTTACGGTTTGCTGTTATTGATAATTTTGTGTTATTATCCCAAATTGGATGGTTTAAATTATAACTTTTGAGCTAATTATTGATGGGAAAAGCAATGTTAAAACCACGCTTAACTCTCATCATCAGTAATCTTACCTCAGTGAAAAAAAAAAAAAAAAAAAACTTTCATTTAGGGGTGACTGGTTCACTCAGTTCAGTGAACCGTGAATCTGGTTTAGTAAGGCTCAGAATCAGAACAAAAAACCAAATTTCAGATATCGATTTCGATCCAGCTCTGATCCAAACCGAGCAGGTAAGGAGCCCTTTTACACCCGCAAGGATTAAAGAGAAAAAAGAAATTAAAAATAAAACAATACAGACGTAAGCAATACGTAAACTTCAATAGACCAAAGAAGACGCCATTACAGCTTCGACTCTCTTCATCAATTCGATCAATTACTATCTCCTCTTCAATTTTCTTTGGCTTTTAATCTCCAAATCTTATTAAATCTTCCCTCTTTCTTTTGTTTTATGCCGAAATTTCGCTTCTTTCCTTGCACGATATGGAGGGTAACTCTGTGAATATCAAACCTCAAATTGAAGTTGAAGGAATTGGGATTTTGGAGTCTAGGGTTTCCAATTCTCTATCGGTAATTACTAACTTGCCCTGATTTCATGAAATTGTATGTTTATTTTCTGTCTTATTGTGTGCTTATGCAGTTATTTGTTTGATTCGATTGATATCAGCATTTTTTTCTTTCTTTCTTCGGTGCTGTTATGATAATTTTTGTGTTATATCAAATTTGGATTGTTTAAATTATAATTTTGAGCTAATTATTGATGTGAAAGCAATGTTAAAACCAGTTATCTCATATCAGTAATTTCAGTGATTTAGAATCTGAGTTCAAACTTCTCTGTTTTTTCGTACAATTTTTTACGCTATATGAAGTTGATATAGAAAAACAAAGGTAGTATACATGAAAGCGTGTAATTAGGGCTTTTCTGTATCTAACTGAATCCGTCATTATCATTGGCATTGAATCCATCAAATTCACAAGCACCATTGTGGCATTATCAGTGCCACACAACAGCATATGAATATTAGGCATTTAACCAGAAGTCAAAAACTAGAGTCAAGCATTTTAATTCTCTTGAGAAAAGAATTGGTAAGAAAATACTTGATATAATATGTTATTCTCTCCTCTTGCAATTATGTGACCAGCTTCCCGTTTTCAATGTTCTTTTATTGATATTGGCTATATTTTGTAATGATAACAGGGTAATGCAGGGCTTGAAAGTTCTACAGAATATTATAATTCTGCACCCACTGTAGGACTTGGGACCCAAAGAATATGTGAATCTGGAGAAAAAGAAACTAGTAATGTTGAGAAGAAAGGAACAAGAACTAGTGAGCAAAAGCTAGGGAAATACTTCTTTTATGACTCACCACTTTCTGAAGAAACTGGAGTTTGGATACCTGTTTCTGTTCCCCCCATGTCAGAAAGTGATCATGAAGAGTGGAGTAGAGGCTTTCACTCAAATGGTGGTTATTTTCCTGAGGGTGACTTGGGTTGGAATCAGTACATTGGAGAAGAGGAGAAGGATTTGACCATGTGGGATGTTATAGTTGAAATGTTACTTGCAGCTCGTGGAAAAGTCAGCTCTATTGCTTCAGGTGATATTCATAGTAATTTCTCATGGGTATCAAGCCATCTACTAGAGCAAGCGTGGCAAGAGATGGCTCAAACTCTCACAGAAGCCAATTTTGGTAACGTGAAGGAAATTATTGAAGCAGAGCCACCAAAATGGTTAGCTGATAGTGCTGCCTCTGCTTGCATGCTTTGTGGCGTGCGGTTCCATCCAATCATGTGCTCTAGGCATCACTGCAGATTTTGCGGTGGAATATTTTGCGGTGAATGCTCCAAGGGAAGAAGTTTGCTGCCAGTAAAGTTTCGTGTTTCAGATCCTCAACGGGTCTGTGATGTATGCTTTGTGCGGCTGGAGACTGTCCAGCCATACCTGATGGACCAAGTAAGCCATGCTGCCCAGTTAGCAACCCATGACTTGACAGACCTTAGTACTTTGAGATCCTGGGTTAATTTTCCATGGGGACAATCTATGGAATATGAGATTTATAAGGCAACAAACACAATTCAGGGATATAACAAGGTAAGCCTTTAGATCTCATTTACCTGTTTTTCTTCAATCGTTTATTTATTCTGCTTGACAAATTCTATACAAGTCACTAGACGAATATGCTATAAGTTTAGAGTTTTCTGCTACATGCTTCTGTACATATTGTTTAGGAATTTTTTGTGTTAGTCTAAAGAACATATTTTGCTGCGTATATTAACATAGCAGGAGGATGATGAAAATAAGATTTAGTAGAGCCGTGTTGCCAAACAACTAAGCTGCAATAACTGTTGTACCTCTTAATTTCTGACTCAATGCATTTCCATTCTCAGGGAGTTTGTCTAAAACCTGAGAAATCAATTCCAGATGCCATTCTCCGACAAGCGAAAGGCCTTGCAATAATCACAATTGTTAAAGTAGGGGTTATGGTTACATATAATATTGGAACTGGGCTTGTAATTGCTCGCAGAGAAGATGGCTCATGGTCTCCACCTTCTGCCATATCTTCTTTCGGAATGGGATGGGGTGCTCAGGTAATGATGTTGTCTTTAACTTCGATAATTTGTCCACAGTGCAAGTGTTCAATGTAAATGTAGATGGAAATTATTTTCCAATATATCCATTTAGCTGCTTAGTTCAGTGGCTTTCTCTGTAAATAGATTCCGGCAAATTGTCTGTTGCCATCTTCTTTGAAAATTGTGTTTTTATTGTGGCCAGCAAGCAAATGATCACTCAATTCTTTCATTCTTGCTCAGATCTTTCTACATTGTTGAGCATATACGCCATGGATATATGCATATATTTGATACTTTGAGAGTTTTCCTTATGCTTTTATTTTGGTTGATGTTCCCAATTAATTATGTAAGAAACTACCTGATGCCTTTTTTTTTTATCTCTACTCAACAAAGTCTTGATCTCATCTTGTAATATAATTTTTAGTTTCCTGTATGTTTTTAGATATGTTAGTGGTTCTATTATTAAGGAGGTGATTTGCTTGCAGGCTGGAGGTGAATTGACAGATTTCATAATTGTATTGAGAACAAATGATGCTGTCAAGACATTCTGTGGCAATGCACACCTCTCTCTTGGAGCTGGTTTGAGTGCAGCAGTTGGTGTCTTTGGACGGGCAGTTGAAGCTGATCTGAGAGCTGGTGATGGTGGTTATGCTGCTTGTTATACATACAGCTGCAGTAAAGGTACTTATTATGTCAGAAACTGTTCTGTTGATTAAAAGAGTGCCATGGTTTTTGAAATTTCAGAATGTAATAATAATGGCCAAATACATAAATTCACCTTTGAACTTTGATACTTTAATCTTGTAACACTTTAAAACTTTTACTTTGACCTATCAAACAATCCAAAATTATATCAAACACTAATTAAATAGTTTAAAAAATGTGAAATTTATTATTCCAAAAGTTATCCTAACTACATCTTATCAATATTTTGTATATAAAAGCCAAAAATTCTAAAAACTACTAACAGTGCGAAAAATTATGTAATGCCACTAAAATTTACAAGTTCAGCTGCACAATAGGTTAAAGATGCAAAGTTTAAGGTTGAGTTTATGTTTTCGGCCTAATAATAATTAAATTGCATGTAGTCCTTTGTTTTTCATTTCAGTTTCATCTGTATTACATGCTTCTTTGGCTGTTAACAAATAACAACCCATGTTTTTGTATCGAAAAACCTACATGTTATCTGTTGCTTTTTGTTTTTCCTTTATTTTTTTTACATTTATTTCCCTCCTTTGAGATTATGGAAACTTTGGATTCACCTAGATCCATTTCTCTATTCTTTCTTGTTTCCTTAAAATGTTACATGAAAATTATTTGAATATGCAGGAGCATTTGTTGGATGTTCTCTTGAAGGAAGTATGGTGGCCACTCGCTCAAAAGAGAATTCCAGATTCTATGGGAGCCAGTCATTAAGGGCATCAGACATACTTCTTGGCTCATTACCGAGGCCACCTGCTGCAGCAATTCTTTATCGCGCACTTGCAGACCTATATCAGAAGTTCGAGAGTTGATTCATTCTGGTTCATAGACAAGTATCTTAGTGCCAGTACTAAGACAACCAAATCTCCCGCCGGATAATTATTTGTGCGAAATTGTGTGTGTAAGATTTTTCTTCGCTCCATTCATTGCTCAAGTTAAGACGTTGTACAGGATGTTCACATTGATTGGTATCTGCCCCAGTTTCTTTTTCTCCGGAAGGGAGAAATGAGGGGTGTGCACATGAAGATATATTGTGGTTGTATATAAGATAGCTAAGCTATAATGTTGAACATTCTTTAAAGTATTTAATGTATATTCTTCACTAATAAAAAATAAAGGTCCTCTTGAAATGGTTGCTCTCCATTGTTATTTGTTAAACAATTATCCGTTCTGTGCGTGCTTTTCTATTCCCTTCCTTTCATTTTTTTTCCCCCTCTTTTATCTCAAAAGGTTATTAGCTGGTCTGTTGTCAACTTTTAAATTAGTGGAACTTAAATGGCACTTTAGACTAGAGAGTCTTCGATATTGCATAATCGTGTTGGTAAAGAGTGGAAGTAATTAGCTTGGTTGTGCAAGAAAGTAAAAATAGTAAATGTTTAATGGGTAATGATAGTGACCTCTCTGCCCTTTGGCCTTGGCCATCATTTTCCATCATCATTAAACAAGTCAAACCACCATAATTACACAAGTTAATTACCTTTTTATCCCGCGGATCACTTTCAAAGCATATATTTTGGACCAGCGCTAGGACCCAAGTCCAAAATTTGTGGCTCAGTCAACACCTAATCTAGCTGACTAGCTCGGTACATTTTTGTGCTGTGTGACGACTGATGAGTACATGATTGCAATATAATGATATAAGCCGTCAACAGGCAACTCACAAAGACGTAGAATCGTGTGTATCATGTGTAAATTCTCATCAGACGGTTCTAGTCTAAGGAAGAACATGCTTGCTTTATTCATTACCTGATCAGTTGGGTTCAGAAAAACGATGACTAATGTGCAGAAATGATGGGTGGCTGCCTGGCTTTGGCATATTGCGTCCTAAATTCTAAAAAAAATGATCTGTTAAAAATAATCAAATGGACTGGCAAGACAACGGAAAGCACTAATGCAACGTACTTAAATACACAATTCCATGATATCACGTTGCTTTCTTCCCTAACCAGTATAAAAGGCTGATAGGCACCTACTCTCACGCTCTTTGTGCAAATACCCAAAACAATACGACGTAGTTGCACTTATAAAAGCCTACAGTTACTGACAGATACAATGATAAGCATTATGATATTGATAGCTGTGCCTGATCTTCTTTATTGGTTTTATGATTAGTTGTAGCAACAGAAAGTAAAAGAAGATGTGCCAAGAGATATATCGTGAATTACCAATATCTCACAACACATAAACACTAATAAAGATGCATGCATGAGTGTGGCCACAACTAATCTGTTGATCTTGAAATCCATATTCCCTTTTCAATGGCAAAACTAAAATCACACCAAACAAGCATTAATGTTGCAATAGGAACTTCTCTTTTTCGGCAACGAAAAGGATAAAAAAAAAATTAAAAAGAAGAATGAATTGAACTGAAGGGGCTACGCCACCACCATGACATATTTATAATTTAATTTTCAGTTCTCTCCTGTTGAAAACGGAAATAAGTAAAAAAGAAGGGAAAAAAAAATGGTTCTCCTACTCACTGTACTTCTAACTCAGCTCCCCGCCAACCGAAGCATGCACAATACAAAGTCATTGACACGAAGGCATTAAATTGAAGGAAGAAGCCAAATCAAGAGATCCATAGATCAACTCATCCTCAACCTTTCTACCAAGCCCCCTTATCTGCACCAAGAAAGCAATTCATTACAAAAGAATAGAAGTAATTGTAAAACAGGCTACATCTTTTTTTTTTCTCTGGTGCTTTGGATGCAAGAGCTTGGTTTTGAACTCGTAACCCAAAATTCAAATTTTCTCATGCATATCAACCAGAGACAAAGATGTGACTATTTAGCAAACAGACTCTATATTTCCAGCCAAGGTTTTTTATCCCATTTTACCGAGTTCTAGAGTTTCCAAGCGTAAGCTCGAGATCATCAGATACACATTCTTCATGGATTCTCTCCCCTTCCCAAGGTTTCACTAATCCGCCTGTGTTACTTCCAAATGCAAACTCAGATGCAATACTGTCTGCCATTGGAACATCCGCTGTCTGATCAACACCAGCAGGAACTGCAGGAGAGCATGTCCCACTTTGCCCAGGAGTCCACATTCTAGATCCAGCACCTGATAAAGGCTCATCCCTAAAGCCAAATGGGTTCCGTGAGACAAGGCTAAATGTGGGTGATGACGGTCCACTTTGGGGAATTTGGATACCCGCTAGCCATCCTGAATCGGGCAGGACTTGACGGCCAGGGCTTGGTGGGGTAGATGAGGGCATAGATGACGGCAGGAACGGATAGTTCTGCCCTCCCCAGGATGGCCCAGCAGCTGGATCATCCCAGTCATTTTTTGTGCGAGGAGTTCGGGCAGTTGGGGAGCTCAGCGGAGGAGTGACAGGAGCACTTATTGAACCAGTGTGAATGTAGAGATGGTGAGGGTGCTTGGATGAGGCTGACGATGAACCAGATGAGAGGTTTTTAAGCCACGGGATGAGGGAATTGGCATCAGGATTGCCATTAGTATTCGCAGTGTAACGGGATGAAACAGGACTTGGGAAAGAAGATGAGCCAGGGCTTGGATTATAAGATGCACAAGGACTTGGGTGGTAGGATGAGCAGGGACTAGCTGATGCTGATCCTCCCATAATGTCCATGCGTTCCATGGGTTTGCAGCCCTGTACAAATGAATACAGTGAGTACAACAAATTATTCAAATTTCTCAAGAGGCACAATATTATTCAAATGAATACAGTGAGTGAGACAAATAAATGGACTTCGAGAAGTGTCCGTTTATGCACAACGAGAAAACTAATAAACTAGCAGTAGCAATTTTCCTACCATATCACCATATATTATGCTATTAATATTAAGAAATTTGACCTAATACAGATCCCTTAACATCCACCTAGGAGGTTTAAGTATAATGCAATCTTGGTTATAAGTCCATGCAAATGAACTCAGCCTAGTATAATGCAGCTCTACTACTTCAAAAAGTGTCATTTGTTCAAATTAAAATTGATTAAAATAGAATAAAACCTTTCACAACACCTGTTGGAAAATGTGTATGAGCAGTTTCAATGCACTTCAATCCCAAAACACCAATATGCTGCATCCAGATGCATTATTTGGTGCTTCGAAGTGTTAAGGTATGCAAGCACTTGAAATACAATCCCCAAACACATATTATACAGCAAGATATGATGCATTTGACATAGAAATAGTTCAACCATGGGACAGAAGTAGCACCTTGATGTTCCGCTTCTGTGCTGAATTTTTTTTGTGGATCCTGTCCACAATGGTATAGACATACAAATAATTGTGAGCCTACCTCATTTATGAGTGTAGTTCACAGTGTATCAAGTCTACCTAACCATAATTTCTTAATGGCACTTCATTAATAAATATTTGAGATTATCTCATACTCATCACCCTTATACAAGCTCCGATTGATCTGCTCTAAAGCCTACTTTATTAAGGTGCCTATCAGTTTGTCGTGGGACATCCCACAATCACCTTAAATTCTCAAAGCCTATCACCTTAAAGTCTTATTATATGACCTGCTTCAGCTCCATCTCATCCATTTTTCTATACAATTAAATCACGGAATAAATAATTCCTAAACCCCACTCAATACTAATGATAGAATAAATAAAAAGTTAATTTTAGAAGCTGTCAGAGTGAACTTATTTCCTTTTCTCTTCTATTTGTCATGCAAATTATGCAGAACCAATTTCACATGTGAACGGATCACACAGCATACCATGTGCTTACTTGGTGACACTTTTGAGCCACCATTTCCACACTCCACCAAAAAGTACCCTTAATTTATTCAAAGCAATGGACAAGATGACAGGGAGGGGGGCAACATGGTAATTGAAACCCGACAAAAAACTTTGTTAAAGCAAGAATTAATTTCAAACCATAGCGTTATCAAAATACTGCACCCCACGACACGCTATCTTCCCCAACATGTTCCTAAACTAATCAAACGCTCTCCCCACACGCTTTACTCCTTTTAAAATATTCCTCAAATTACTTGATATATTTTCATACAAGGGGAATCCAAGGATTCCATCTTCACACCCCCTTCTCCATAATCTACTCAATTAAATCACACTTTTCAACTTTATCACTACAAAGGCCATCAAATGCAATAAACACAAAATAACAGTAAAAATGAATGCAACCAATTATTAGTTTATTACTATTACTCCCGCGAATATCGGGGTAAATTACACCCAATTTTTTATGGAATGACCAAAATGACCTTGCGATTGCAGAAAGTGAAAGAGAAAACTGAAAAAGAGTTTTTTCATGAAAAAATGCTAGACAGCCGGAAGATCAGGAATCACCAAAAGAGGTAAAAAAGAAAATTGAGCTAAAAAAGAAACATCAGACTCGCATTAAAGCCGGCAAAGCGAAAGTTCAATCCAAGAGACGGATTGTGCTCTGGAATGACGAAACCGCCCCTCTGAAATTACTGAACTTGGAGCCTCTTGATCGTTCAGGAATGGATATTTTCGTCTGAAAAGGTGTCTGCTCAATATCTGAGTTACTGTTTACCGTGTTCGTATATAAGGATCGAAGTCCACAGACGAATCTTAAGATCTCGTGTTTTGTGCGTTGAAAAGGAAAATAAACAGAAAATCAAAAAGTGAAAAAGAGGAACAAAAGACAACCCATACGATCTAACGTCACATGAAACCAACCAAAACAATCAATCCTAACCGTTCATTAGTATGCGTTACCTTACTTTTTTAAGTCACGATTCGTGCTATCGCTATCATACGCCACGATTCACACCGCGCACTTTAGCAAAGAAAACCAACCAAGACACAGCTCCACTGACATTCATTTAGCAACTCAGGTTGCCGGAAAAATAATTCTCGGAAAGTTTTTCGAAACAGAAATGCTGAATTCAGATCTGTGACCGGTAATCTAACACTACCGACCGCAGTCTATCATAACTAACAACTTAAGATTTAACAAAAACAAGCTAAAAAACCAGTTAACGCGCGAATACAACTTTATAACAGAAATTCGTTATTTTTTTTAAGTTACCTTTCTGTAAGTAGTGCCGTCTTCTTCAACGGTCCAACCGGCCTCGTTGCAGAGAGCTTTAAGGACCTCATTATTGTCGCAGTGCTTCGGGAGCTTGTAATTTCCGTACATTCTCAGTCCAGCATAGATCTTTGCGGCGATCGCCCTTCTTCTCCTTTCTCGTCTCTTATTGTTCTCTCTCTCCTTCCACGTAGGCATTCTCGTCCCCGACGTCATTTTTTTAGCTCTCTATCAACAGTAGAGCAAGCTGAAGCAGAAGAGCTAACCGATAGAAGCTCTTCTCGATAAGAAAGATTGCTTGAATTTTCTCAGAAAACAAACAGTGCAGAGAAAATAAACCGGAATTTTGGCGGTTTTTCCTTTTTTTTTTTTTTTTCCTTTTATTTATTTTGGTTCTGGCTTCTGGTCAAGAGAAGTAGTTAAATGAGGGGTGGGTTGGGGAAGGTGAACTAAATACAGAGTATTAGAGAATTTGACCTAGTAAATGCTATAAATAACGAGAATGCCATTATAGGCTCTGCTCCGGGATCACGGTGTTTGAGCACGTGTTTAGGCTTTTTATAAAGAGTAAAGAAGTTGTGAGCTGACGTGGGGCTTGGATGTAAACACAATAGTAGACGTCGAGAACAGAACGTTGCCGTTTTAATGGTTAGAGGGTAGTTTTGGAATTATGACAGAAAATATTTTTTTGGCGATGAGTGATAAAACCGTAATATATGATTTGGCACAGCCTATTTGGATTTTGGACCAGCTTCGGAATGGTTTGACTTAAGTTTGACCATGACCCATAACCAACAAATGGTAAGTTACATAAAAGCCAAATGGGCTAATCTGTTGGATACTAACCTGAGTGTCAACCTGGATTCAAATGTAAATTTGCTAATGGCCGACAAGTCTGTCCTATATGGCCCTAAATATACTACTCCTCAGCTAAAAATTCTCGCACCTTTTCTCTTTTACTAATGATTCATTTTAAGCAAAAAATAAATGCAAGCCTCTCAACCATGTAATAAGTTAAAATTTGGATAATAAGTAGGATTTGGTTGTTATAAGATATTCCTTATATAGTATTAATTAATGAATTTATGCTAGTATAAGGGCAATTACAAATTTAATCACTAAAAATTATTTTCTATAACTAATAAACTATAAATAATAAGTGATCTCAATTTCTGAAAAAATAAAATTATAAATTCAATTTTGAAAATAGATAAAAAATCTTTATATTTTACGAATTGAAAGGAATCACACTGCCGATAACGTGAAATCTTAATCATTAATGTCACATTGCCAATGGGAAAGCGGATTTAGTCGAGGCAGGCGAAAGAGGGTGGGGCGCTAGCAGCCTTGGCATTACGATTGATGGAGCACAAGTGCGGGAAGCGGTGGGGATTGCTGTCTTGGCCGACTGAGTATGGCCCGAAGAATTGCAGTGTCACTTTTGTCAGTGTATGTAAGTTTGTATTGTGTAATTAAAATTATGTGCATGTATGGCTGTGTGGGTAAGGCCAGATTATCATAATATCTTTACATATTGAAATGACATGTTTAATCCTTAGAACACAACTTGTGTATTCCAAAAAACCCTCTCCTTTCACGTGATGGTGCCCCCCAAACACTGCTCTTTTAGCGTGAGTAGTAAGAGAGTTGCATGATTAGACAGCCCAGGTGGGTTTCTCTGGGTAATTTGGACAAAAGACCATGGCATGGCTATTATTTCCTTTCTTTATATTTTTTTCCTTTTCAAAGTTTGGTATTGGTGGTGGGCCACCTGATTTGCGCCACCTTCCAAATTAGATGATTGATTTTGATCGCTTTATCGTCTCGTCTTCGACTTCCACTTTCACCTCTGCTGTGAAACTCTAAAAAGAGGGCCACGCACTTACTTACGGGGCTATGGCTATCTTTAGAATAAATTAATTTTAGACATTTAAATAATGTGAAAAAAGATGTAACTTAAAAATGAAAAATAATGAATTTTGCCTACCATAAATTTATTAATAATCTATATCTTTAGAATTAGACTACATAAAATGTGCAACCCGTTTTCTTCTCTAATCAATTTTACCAAATAAATATATTAGTATTTAGTAGATGATTGCATTTAAATTTAAGATTTTTCACTTTCTAATAATAAAAAAGACCGATTAGAATTTGTTATTGACAATGATATATGTAAATTTAAATTATTATTATTATTATTTTTTTCCTCGCAATTTTGGGATTAAGAAAAATGACTTCCTTTCTTTTCATATCCCTTTCCCTCCTAACAAAACAAAAACGAAAATGTTATTACTGGATTGGCTTGACTATCAAAGATTTGCTTCACCAATAAGTTTTGAGTAAATAATAACATTTTCTTGAAAATGAAAGACAAAGTCAAATTAATCAAAACCAAAACATAAGATTTGACTTTAAAATTCAATTAGAATAATAATTTTTCTCTTGAACACGTATGGTTAGTTATTCAAAAGTACTTTTTTTATTGAATAGAAACACTTTGTAAGAAAATATAAAATAAAAATAATTGCTTAATGGCAAAATGATAATAAAACATAAAACTTCAATTTTTAAGTTTTTTTACTATTATAACAAATTTTTTCAATTTTATGAATTGATACATTGTATTTCATTTTTCATAATAATTATGATTTTTATATAAAATTACTATCTAAATTCAATTAACATGTTAGTTTTAATTGTGCAAACTCTACATATCACATTTCAGTATTAATTTATAAAATCTACTAACAATTAAAAAAAAAAAATCTTAACCATTCCACTTTTATTACTCAGTGCTATTTTGTCCATCTAGCCAACCAGAAGAACTAAATTCTTTTTGTTGAATTGTTAATAAATTTTCTAAAATAACTTACATATGACGTGTGGAGCCTACACACCCCAATTAAATTTGGATGGCTATTATATGAAAATCACAATTATTATATTATATAATAAAATATAAAATATAGATTGATAAAATTAGAAAAACTGAGAGAGATTAAAGAAGTGTCAAAATTAGTTTTTTTTTTTTATTATTTGGCTTGCTTGATTTCATATAAAATTAAAAATATTCTTGAAGATCAACATTTTAAATAAAAAAAAGAAAAAGAAAATATCAAAAGAGTGCCTGTAATTAATGATAATTATCAATTGCTGGGCAGCAGTCAGCACTATAAAATGAGGTAGGGGAGCGGGTCCCTTCCCTTACCACTCCCCCCAGGCCCCAACAGTCATTATCCCGAAGACTTGAACAATCCCGCACGTGCGCCGCGGACTCCAATTGGTACTCAATAAACTCAATTGGAATCCACCCACTTGGGTCCGTTTCATACGTTGGGTCTGCTCATCAGTTCATGTGTGTTGTTGATGCTGGGCTCGTTAAGCGCCTATGACCAAATGAGTTATACACAACTTTTCGTTGTTTTCATTTTTTGAAAAAATAAGATTAATTTATGTAATTAGTCATTAAATAATTATAAAAATTGATATTTTTATCCTAAAAAATTAAATAAAAAATTACCTTTTATTTTGTCCCAATTTGCGTGGCAATAATCACGGGAGTATCGTATGAGGTGGAGTTCTTTTTGACATACACAGAAGAATAGAGAGTGGGGAGTGTTATTGTGGTGGCCGATGTAAGTGTAGCTTAATGGTCCTATGCTGTGGGGATGGGGACCACTAATTATGTAAGAGGTCTAATCATATCCGTTAAACTGGTGGGGTCACGTGATGCCCGATATGCTTGCCACCCACGAGGCACTTCACTTGCGTTGCGTGCTATCTTTTTTGTAACGGTGGATTTTTCTTTTTTCTTTTTCTTTTTTTTTAAATGAATTAAAAAAATTGAAAAAATTTGTTGGCTTTCTTCTCCCACTCAGACACGTCTCTCCCCCCATCCCATCTATCCATCTTGTAGTTGTAGCCCAATCGTATCATTGTTCCTATCATTTTATTATTTCCTTTTTCTTTCTTTTAATTATTCTACTATATTTTAGTTGCTTCTTGTACGTATATGCCTTTTCTTTTCTTCCTTTATTTATTTATATAATCAAATTACTATAAAGTCCTTCAAATTTAACCAAAATTACTATTTGATCTTTGGTTTTTAAAGAAATCATTATAAAGGCATCGAAATCTGGTTTTATTAAATTATTACTCATTTCATAAAGTACTTTTCTTGTTAAATAAAATTTCTTCACTAAATAGTAATATACTCCGGCGAGTATTTGATAGAATTAAAATTTTAATGTCACTTAAAAAATATTAAATCACTTATTTTAATACAATTATTATTAACTATTTAATCTCTTATATAACCATAAATTGAAAAAGACGGTTAAATGATTTAACACGAGATAACCTTAAAATTTAACAATAATTTTAAATTTATTATAGTTTGTCTTATTTTACATTTGTAAACTGAATATCAGTTTGTTTTTTAAAAAGTAAGTATATATCGTTTAAAATATAATGTTTGTATTTTCTCGGGGGAAAACGACGGTGGATTTGACAATTTTATTTTTTAAAAAAAAATTGAGAGCTTTATTATCTGTTAAAAGTGCAAACATAAGTGGCAGCAATTAATCTTTCCGCTTTGTAATGATAACTGACAAGTGCATCAAGTCGGAATGGGAAATATTTGTTATCGATTGACATTTGAGTCCTCCACAATTTACCTTTCCCTTTTAAAAAAATAGAATTTTAATTTATTACTAATTTCAAATAAAATAATATATTGTCATTAGCGTAAATTTTTATAAGACAAGTGTTTTATGCATTTGTAAATCTTTTAATTTTCATTATTTCTAGAAAATAAATATGAGTCACGAGTGGGCTTCATCCATACGGTCAGAATCTTGGCTTATATTCCAAATGGGCTTTTGAAATCTTAGTGGGTTCAATTAGGGATTTCAAATCCAGAATTAGATCCCAGAAACCCAAAACAAATTGGGTTGGGGCCTTTTGAAATTCCCTTTAAGAAAACCCAGTTTCAAATTTGACAATTTTGTGTAATAGTTGCAAAGTCAGGCCACGTGTAAGACACCAGTTACGAGACGCTTACATCTTCACAAACAAGGCATCGCCCTGGAATTGGACAGAAGACTCGAAAACGCCGAGTCATGCGGACATAATTTTTAATCGTTGTTAAATCAATTTGACATCGTAATAATTCCGTCACTGTTTCTTTTAAAAATTGATTTATTTCTTTTAATAATTCAAATTCTTACTCAATAAGAACTTTTCGAAAAAACAAAAAGTACTTTTAAAAAAAATTCTTAAAAATTAATGTTGCTAGAAATCATTTTGTTGACAAGAAATCAAACACGTGCATAGACTACTTATCGTACATTTTAAATATATTTTCTTGATAAATGGTATTTAATAACTAATTTGATTCTCATCACTTGGCCATATACTGATACATACTAGAATATATATATATATATATACATTATTTTTCATTTTTATTTCCAACTATATCAATAATTTAAAAATTAGTTTATAGATAAAAACCTGATTAATATATACTTAATAATATAATCAGGCAAAATTCTGGTAATTTTATAATGTTTACTGATCTATGTAATCCACAAACTTTCTACAACAAATCGGGAACTGTGATGGTCCAAATAACTACACCTCAGACTAATTTATTTATTTATTATAGTTAAGTAAGAAATGCACAACTCATTTTTGAGTTAAAAGATAAAGTTCCGCTTCTTCATAATATTATTTATTTTAATAAATCAAATTCAAACTCTGGACAATTTTATAAAAACATATTTACTTATATAATGTATGCATCTAATACATATTTTCCACAATCATTTTTTTCATACACCTAACGATGGCATCTCTACAAAATTATTACATTACAATTTTATATAAAAGACGTATTAAATTAAATGACCAACGCATTCATCTCACACACTCTTTGCGCAGCTAATTTGTCATGCACAATTTTAATAATCAATGTGGGATTTTTAAGGACGAATTAATAATATAAACAAATATAAGTATTTTAATATTTTAATAATGAATTTTAGAAGATATAAGAAAAATTCTTCAAGCATGACTCTCGTCAGTCGTCAAGCACTTATTAGCCACCAAAGCGCATACGTCACACTATATACAGACAGTTAATACTCGACACATGCAAGTATGCAACATAGAGAAAATAAAATAAAGTAATTAATTTTCTTTGAATAAAATATTGTCTAAATTCTAGGAGATTCTTCTCATCGTCCAGCAGGGGGTAAGAGAGAATATCGCAATCAAACAGGGTAATATCACATTATTATTTATATTATAATAATTTGATTTAAAAATTAAACTATATCCAAAAATCTGTATTCCTTTTTAATGATCACGCAAAAACAGATAAATAAAAACCCTAATCTAGGAATTCACTTTAAGCGGCTCAAGAGCGAGAATCCCCAAAATTTCCTAAACGACAATCGGACAAAACGTTTTCGTCCCCCAGCAAATCAAATCAAAATCAACCCCGTTCTTTGCAACTCCTCCATTCTGGGTAACTTTTTTTTTTTTTTTTCTTTTCTTCAGATAGGTACAACAATTCTTTTTCTTTAGCTCCAGGTTTCCTTTTTTTTGTGAAATTTTAGTTCTTGTTTGATTAGTTCATAATTAAAATATCAGTGCTCTTTAATGACTTGTCAAATGAGTGGTCTTTCTTATTTCTAACTAATAACAGAACTCAGGAACTGTTTATTTTTGCTGTTTATGTTATAAATACAGGTTACCTGCAACTGTTTCCGTGGGATCATAGAATTGTCTTGAGTTTTTTTTCCTGTTCTATGTGGCCACTGGGAAGGTCTTTCTGAGTTTGTAGATTTGAGCACAATTTAATCGCGATTGTGTGGGATTCTCTGAAGATTTAAGGTATAGAATTAGGGTTTTGTATTGGGTGTTTAGAGAATTCTGAAGGGATTGTTGATTGATCGTTTGGAGTAAAGTATAAGGAGAGCCCAACAAAGCTGCTGTTCTGACCTGGTTTTGACCAAGAAGTGTCGTCTGAAAGTCTGATTCGTGTTCTGAAGGAAGAGGTCTAGAAGTTCTCACTGTGGATTCAACGGTTATGAATTTACTCATTTGGATTTTGGCAATTAAATAATAGGGGGACCTGAGAATTTCATATTTCTTGGTGAATGCTTTTGGGTCTTGGAGATTGTTGATGTTGTGGTACTGATTAGAGGTTGGAGTTTAGGATGGATGAATCTCAGGGCAGTTCCAATTCACTGCCACCTTTCCTTTCAAAGACATATGAGATGGTGGATGATCCTTCCACAGATTCAATTGTTTCCTGGAGTCAGACCAATAAAAGCTTTATTGTATGGAGTCCACCAGAGTTTTCAAGGGATTTGCTCCCAAGATTCTTTAAGCATAATAACTTCTCAAGCTTCATCAGACAGCTGAACACATATGTAAGCTAATGCTGTCTCTGTTCTGTATGTCTGTGTGTTTTAACGTTTGGTGTGTGTATACTTATGCTTTCTCTTCCAATTTAGATTTATTTAGGTTGATAGATTGAATTGGAATATGTTGAATGTAATAGGGTTTTAGAAAGGCCGATCCAGAACAATGGGAATTTGCAAATGAAGATTTTGTAAGAGGCAAGCCACATCTTATGAAGAACATCCATAGACGGAAGCCAGTTCACAGCCATTCTATGCAAAATCTCCAAGGACAGGGATCTAATCCTTTAACTGATTCAGAAAGACAGGCATTGAAGGATGACGTAGATAGACTTAAAAATGAGAAAGAAGTGCTTATCTTGGAGTTACAGAGGCATGACTGTGAGCGTCAAGGATTTGAGTTGCAAATGCAAGCTTTGAAGGAGAAATTGCAACAGATGGAACGGAGGCAGCAAACTATGGTGTCTTTTGTTTCCCGAGTCTTGCAGAAACCTGGACTTGCTTTAAATCTCATGTCAGAATTGGAAACAGGCCATGACAGAAAGAGAAGGTTGCCAAGAATTGGTTATTTTTATGAGGAGGCCAGCATTGAGGATAATCAGATGGCAACTTGCCAAGGTCTCGCCAATGGAAGTGCAGATATTACTTCTACACCACTATCAAACACAGAGCAGTTTGAGCAGTTGGAGTCATCCCTGACATTTTGGGAGACTACTGTAAATGATGTTCAGACCAACATTCAACGCAATTCAACCTCAGAGTTGGATGAATCTATAAGCTGCGGAGAAAGCCCAGCCATATCTTGTGTACAGTTTAATGTTGATGTTCGCCCTAAGTCTCCTGCCATCGACATGAATTCTGAGCCTGCTGTAGCTTCAGCTCCAGAGCCAGATCCTCCAAAGGAGCAAGTATCTGGGACTGCTCCTACTGCGGCAACTGGAGTCAATGATGTATTCTGGGAACAGTTTTTAACTGAGAATCCTGGTGCAACTGATGCGCAGGAAGTCCAATCAGAAAGAAAGGATTCTGGTGATAGGAAAAATGAGATCAAACCTAGTGAGCAAGGAAAATTTTGGTGGAATATGAGGAATGTAAATAATCTTGCAGAACAGATGGGGCATCTTACTCCTGCAGAGAGAACTTGAAATTGCTTGATTGTTTTTTCAGGCTTCTGATGCCTCAGAGCCTCACATGTATTAAATTTAGGTATGATTTGTTGATGCAGTAATAATAGATTGTGTTTTGATCTCATCATCAACTTATGTTGGCATGTTGCATCTCACATCCATTGTTCACTTGCTGCTACTATACTTGCCGGTTTTTCGCAGGCTCCTCAGTTTAATTGTGATTTTGTTGTTATATGGCTAGAACAGTTTTTTGGCATGGCATCTATTATATTCAGGAGGAAATGTCAGTTAGCTTTAAGAATGGAAAAAGTTTTGGTACCTGATACTGCTAGTTATGTCATTATGCATTGAGGGAGCTCCCTGTAGCTGTCGTGGACCAAGCAACTTTGAATATCTGAGACATTAATTGGATGAGGCTCGAGTGCAAATATAAACAGTTAACTAACCAATCTCCTCTGGTCCTCTCTACTCACATTTCTAGATTATTAAGAAATGGCTATAGCCAACTAAGGAAAAAAGGGATGGAACTTGAATGAGGATGGCATGACCATTAATGACAAATCTTAATCAGAGGAGTATTTTGGTTTTGTTGGATTTGGTTACAAATATGAGAGAGAATTATCTTAAATTTGATTTAGATGTGATAATGCTTAATATGGCAGGAAATAAGCAAATGGATTCTAGCAATCAGCAATCTAGACTTCCGTGAATTTTTTAAAAGCTGAGTGAAAATTTCGCACCAATATTGTTCTTCATTATTTAACTTTGTGACAAATTTGACTTCAGTGCACAGCTTGGTTACTTGGATCAGTAAGTGCAGTATACTCACTTCATCTACATGCTTTTCAGGTTAAATTGCATTTGCTCTTATTTTTTGTTTATCAACGAAAGCTTTGAGGTTGTATCAGCTTCATTATTATGAAGTCGATGTTTCCTTAGATTGATACTGGATGTAATTCATAATTGTCAAAGATTAGAGAAACGCATTGTCGGGTTCTGTTAATTGGTGAGCTTGAGAGGAATTATCACCTGTCAGCTTCAGTTGCTCTTGCTCTGTTACTGCTGGTTATCACTAGGTAAAATTCGTTATGGTAGGATCTTGCTATAATAAACATCAGTAGGTTACTGATGACATAAAAAATGTGAATACTTCTTCTAAAGTAATTTTAAGTATCAGAAGTCAGAATCACATGCATTTATTACCTTTGATAATTGTCAGGGTGCCCAGTAATGTATTGTCTTCTGGTTTCTAAACACTTATAATGATTTAAAAAAAACCACAATCTCATCTTCATCATGCATGGAATTAAGGATTGCTCTTTTCTTCATCAACAGTATGCTGATTGCATCCAGTCTTCCTCTATTATAAGTCTAATTTATGTCGAAGTCTATTGTAATGCAGCTCTGAAACAGTAGGACAGGTAGACTGGTAATGGCTGGGTAGCCGGACAGCTATGCAGATGACTTCTGGACTGTAATATTTCTTAATTTAATATTCACAGGTTCCTTGCTATAATCTTAACCGAATCCTGCTACTGAAAATGACATTTCCCTTTTTCTTTGTTACGCCACTTTTAATATATAGTCGATTATGCTACATACAAAAATGGCTTCTTTCTGATGATTAGATATCAGAAGATAGGAATGTGATTGATGAGGATGGTTTTCCAACCATTCCTTTTTTGGCATGCATTGCAAATTGTGAGAAAGCTATCAAAGTGTATTTCAGGAAGGTGTTAGCCAGTCTAATTTCACTATTGCTGGTTCAAGCACTTGTGCATTGAAAATGAGAGCGAACTTGCCAGTACAATTTGAAAGTAGTCTTCATGTGCATGCAGGGAACTTGTTGAAGTGGTAATTTTTTGCTGTTTGAAACTCACAGCCTCGCTGTATTAGAATGGTGCACCTAGCTATTACAGGACTAAATTGTAGCAACCATAAGAGCATATGGCTTTTGGGAAGGAAAGTGTTTGGCAAACATTATTAACTTTGCTGCTTATTGCTATAGGGGTTGAATGCAGAATAATTTTATTGCATAACAACCATTGTACTTCTAAGGCCTACATTGCGTTTTGGTACTGTATAGATTCTCCCTTCAATGGTACATTTCTTCTAAAAAGCCTCGCTTGAAGATAAGATAACAAGCAGCCAAGCACATTAGTATTTATTATTGAAGCTCTTTAAGCTGAACATTCTCATTAAAACAACTAGAAGCATATGATATTAGAACTGTAAAATCTTCCCTATTCACAGGGTACGTACAAGTTACCTTTTCATAAGTAGAAATGTTGTTAATTCTAAAATCACTCTTCATTCTCTAATTCTGTATCAAAACAAGCTTGGTTCAGGTCAAACCATACCTGCCGGAATACTCTGATGATGAGATCATGGTATTCATCAGAATTTAATGTAAGATAGCATGCTAAGAGTTCTTCAAGCTCTTCTGGTCTGCTAATCCTCTGTTCTTTAATCATCTCTATCATTGAATCTCTGAAATCTTTCTGGGGATTGTATGAACATTTCACCACTGCAAAGCTCTCTAAACCCTTGAATCCTAATATTGTTTTCTCCTTTGCTTTCTTTTTCGTTTTCAATTTTGCCATCTTCATATCTTCCAAAGCTTTTATTTTGCTGATTTCAGTTCTTGAAGATGTTCTTGGAGAGTAAACTCTTACTTTGTTGTTATGTTTTGTTCTTTTCCTCTGCAACTCTCTGCTTATGTACAGAGATTTCCTCTGTTCTGCATTTCTCGACTTGAACTCTTCGACTTTCTTTTCTTTCAATTTTTGCCACTTGGAGCTAAAATTTTCTGCAGAAAAGCCATAATTTTCATTCTCAGCAGCAAAAACACAATCTTTTTCAATTTTTCTTCGATAAGAAAAAGAATCTCTTTCTGTAGTTGAATCAACAGCTGCCAACTTACAGTCCACCCTTTCAAGAACACCGTATCTTCTTGCTACTGTTTTTCTTTGAAACCCTTCTGCTTTATCAAGTTGTAATTGTTTCTCTTCAGACTTCCTCAATATCTTATCTCTTTCAACTTTCAGCCTTGGAGTTCTGATTTCTGCTACTTTTTCACTTACACAAGTTTGCATTTGTTGCACAATCTCAACTTCTTCCGGCAATCCTCTAATTTTCTTCACATGAGAAACTGTATTACTAAATTTTTTAGTCTCTTCATCTCCATTCACCCTTGACAGTGGAAAGTCAAGGTCATCATCTGAACTATACCGAACTGATCGAAGCACACCCCTAGTCTTGCTGTCATCAACACTGTCATCTCCAAAAGATAATCTCCAAAAAGCATCACCATCACCTCCATAAAATTTCCCTCCGCCATTAGAGGAGTCTGTTGTTGTACAAGTAGAATTCCATGTCCCTTTTTGCTTGACTTTTGCATGTTTTTGTCCTGAGCTTATGCTCATTTGCTTGAACTTTGTAGTCCAAGAAGTGGGCAAAACTTGAGAGATCGAGAAAGGACGAGAAGAAAAAGCAGCAGCAGCAGAAGAAGGTTTCTTCTTACACCATTTCATGTTTCGCTAAGACTGATAAATGGGTTTTCGTAATTTTTTTTTTTTGCTTTGGATGAGAATTTGCTTTGGTTTGTTAAGGATATGAAGTTGCAGAGAAGGAAATGGTGATAAGTAGAAGGAGAGAGTTTTCTAGCAGTTGAGGGACAGTTAGGCTTATAAATAGGAACGTGGGTTTCCTACTTGTTTTCTGATAGAATTTTTTTTTCAAAAGAAATGCCCGCTCTAAATCTTGTGACCACTTTGCCTCACTTTAATTTTCTTTTCCACTTTATGGTTTGTACTTAAAAATAATTCATGTCGAGATGGGGACCTCTTTCGATTTCCTAGGTCCAGAAACAACATGACATAACTACAGATTGTTAAGTTCCCAAGTAATGACTACATTTTTTTTTTTTTTCAATTTTGATGTGAATTATTTATTTTTTAAATTAAATACAATGTATGAAATTCTTAAACAAAAGGTGAGTTAACAAGTCTTGTTTTTACCTTTAAATTGTCTAAACATACCTTGTTTGATAGCAGGAAACAAGTTATTACAAATAGAAAATTAGAACATTTGTTAGACTTAGAAAATTGCACCTCAAATATTAAGATCGTGGAGCAGTCTAATTGCCAACTTTTTCCGATGGCCTGAAACAGCTACTTGGCTTTGAAGTGGAGGCAGATTTTAGACAATTAGGATAGCCAGTTCTCTCTTTTGGTTTTTGTGATTTGGAAAAATTTCTTTCTTTTGTCATTTTCTTTTGTTTGTTAGAATCAAATGGTTCCTTCTTTTTTCCCTTTTGCTTTTATTTTTGGGTTCTAGATTAAATGACTTCTTTTTTTCTTTTTTACATACAACTTTAAGTCAAAGACCACTATAGGGGGCAAAAGGAAGAAACCATTATGTAATGAGCTTAGGGTCCTTAGAGATTGAAAAGAGAAAGGCTGCAAATTAGGTTTGAGTTTTTTGGTAGGGCTATGGTCTATGCAAGAAAGCTAATAAGCCCAAACAATAGAAGTGGTTGCATAGCCACCATTTTGCCACAAATTTTATCTGTGGAAAGACAAGGACTGCAATCTAAGGACAGAATCACTCACTCTTGTCTTGGTTTATATTGAGGCATCAGCATCACTTTGTTTAAAAGATACCCAAAAGCCTGTATATCCTAATCAGAGACAGAGAGGTTGGTAATATCAGAGTTTGCGTGTTAAGACCAAAATTTAGTTATTGCCAATATTAAGATTATGCACTATTTTTGTCAATGCTTAATCATATTTGATAGGGGGTAAGAGGAGTAATTGAACCGCCACAAAAAAAATAAAAAAAAAGATGTCCAATACCAATTAAAATTTGATGTATTTAGCTATTTAAATTACTAATTTATGTCATAATAGGCATATTGTGAGTATTATTAATGTGACTTGCCCTTTGTGAGGGCACTTACTTCCACTCTCAATTACCCTTTTAGGTCTGCTACATATGCAGCCAAGCCAACCTATGAGGAAAGGGTGGTCATATTCAATTTTACTGTTAAGGGTTTTGTGATCATTGCCATGTACAAGGACCATAATCTCCAGATCACATTTTGGGTATTTCACTTCTAATTTTGACCATCATTAGACTATTTGAGTAGTTTTGAAAATGCCAACATCACTCGCAAATTCTAATCATTGATCCAAAAATTGTTAGCCAGTGTTATATTATATGGCTTTTGGTTGCCAAAAGTTCAATTGGAATTCAAATAAAAAGTTCAGTAATTTAATTCTGCATTTTGTTCAACATAATGAGGGAAGTTGTTACGGCAATTTGTTAGGAGTGCCAAAAAAAAAGGAGCCAACAGAAAATCCCGAGTTACGACTGAGTCTGACATAGTGATTTCTCCAATTTTCTAGAGGCGCTTTTTTACATGCAAATTTCCTGCAAATGCTTATCTACCAGAAAGTTAAATGTCTTGACAGGATAATAATAATAATAATAATAAAAACCAATGTTGATGATGCTCATATTTTTTGTCCCTGTCTTTTCTGGTAAGAAAGTTGGTTTAAGAAAAGCATAAGCATCCTCTAATGAAATAGAATGTGCACCGAATAGAGTATTACAAAATTAATAAAAATAATTTCCTTTAAAAAGAAGGCACATGAGGAAGAGTATGTTCCATGCAACAGGAAGTTTAAGACTAGAGTCCAAAGCAATGGATATTTTCTAGTAAAAGACTTTATTATTGTTATTAGATTAGTAAGAGCATCTTTACTTGACTGTTATATAGGACATCTATTAACTGCTTATCCTTTGTAATCTCTTGTGTTTGAATCTTATCTTTTGTTATCTCTTTCTTATATTTGAATCTTATCCTTTTTAATTCTTGTATTTGCATTGATTTCCATATCGGATGTGTAGGATTCTTTTGGCTGCTGTATAGGCGTTTAGTTGCAGCTCCTAGCTTATATATACTGCACCTGTGTATTTCTCAATATATGCAGAAATTCCACATTTCAATTAAAACCCATTAATCTGTTCACATCATAAAAGCAATTCCTTAGAGTTGCTTCATTTTCACAAATGGCTATACAGAGGAAGCCAAATTGTTTTCTGCTTTTTCTGGTAGTGATTTTCCTTTCAGGAGTTTTGTATGTTAGAGCAGCAAATGATTATATATCAGCAATAGGCGATCCGGGAATGAGAAGAAATAGTCTAAGAGTGGCAATAGAGTCATGGAATCAATGCAATGAGGTTGGGGAAGAAGTTCCTAATATGGGTAGCCCAAGAGCTGCAGATTGTTTTGACGTATACAAGGCTTCTCCCCAGGCAAAAGGTAATTAATTAAAGCTTTCAGATTGTTTTGAAAAAAAAAAAATCCAGCCAATGTATTATTGTTGAGCAAGAATTGGAAGAAATATGAAACTAAAATTGTTCTTTCTTTTTAGAAGTTTCGTTTGTATAAATCAGCAGTTATTTCAGCTTAACAGTCTGTTTTGTGGTTAATTATTTTGTAGAAAACAAATGCTCTATCTGCAGTTTGCCGCCATATATGTTGGTCCATAGAGTAACAGAGGAAGACAACAAGTTAGGTGTTGGAGACCCTTTTCTTGGAGTACACCCGAGGACTCTACATGATGTAGATCTTTATGCAGCAGAGAAAGAACTTTACTTAGGCTCTAAATGTGAAGTTAAAGACACACCAAATCCATGGCAATTTTGGATGATAATGCTTAAGAGCGGTAATATGGACACTTACGCATCTAAGTGCCCTAATAATGGGCAGAAAGTGGGACCTTTTGGCCCTGATTCTAGGTTTCCTTGTTTTGGAAAAGGGTGCATGAACCAACCATTAATTTATCATGACTATACTACATTGCGAGGGCCTAATAAGACTACTCTTCTAGGAAGGTTTTATGGATCATGGGATTTAAACGCTGATTTAAGAAAAGGAATTTCAAGTAATATTTCATACTATTCTGTTACTTGGAAGAAAGAAGTTGGAAAAGGCAGTTGGGTTTTTCATCATGTCTTGAAGACTTCATCAAACTATCCATGGTTGATGCTTTACTTAAGATCAGATGCCACTTCCGGAGTTTCTGGTGGCTATCATTACCAAACCAGGGGAATGTCCAAAATTGTGAGTAATTAATCCTTCTCTTCCATACTCTTTTTCAAATACACCCTACATAACATGTTCATTAGCCCAATAGTTTTCTGATGTTAAAGAAAAAAGTTCATATTTTATATGCTATATATGCAGATACCAGAATCACCAAACTTTAAAGTGAGGTTCAGTTTGAAGGTAATGAAAGGCGGGGGTCCTAGCAGTCAGTTCTACCTAATGGACATAGGAAGCTGTTGGAAGAACAATGGAAAACCTTGTGATGGGAATGTCACTTCTGATGTTACTCGATACAGCGAAATGATAATAAATCCTGAGACAACCGCATGGTGCCGTCCTGACAACCTTAATGTCTGCCCACCTTACCATACATTTTCTAATGGAACGCGAGTCCATCGAAACGACACTGCTCGCTACCCTTATGCAGCCTATCACATGTATTGTTCTCCAGGAAATGCACAACACCTTGAAGAGCCTTACAATTTGTGTGATCCTTACAGCAATCCTCAGCCTCAGGAGATACTGCAGATTTTGCCACATCCTGTTTGGGGCGATTATGGGTATCCAACTCAACAAGGTCAGGGTTGGATTGGTGATCCAAGAACATGGGAGCTTGATGTAGGGAGGTTGTCAGAATCACTTTACTTTTATCAGGTTTGTTTTCTATTTTCTATTTAGAATGAGTTCAAAATTTTGTTAAAATTTTATCAGATTTTGACATCTAGCTGTTAAATAACTGTTTCAGGATCCTGGGACTAAACCAATTAAGAGGCGATGGATGTCTATTGATTTAGGAACTGAAATTTACAAAGGTGCTAATCAGGTTGCTGAATGGACTGTTAGTGACTTTGACATCTTTGTACCTAAGCAGTGATGGTGGGTAAGCTTTTTGAATTGATAGTTATAGCTTGAACACAGCCAAAGGGTCTGTTTCTTCATAAATGAGGAAGAAAAGCAGAGTAGTTTTCTTTTTCTCAAGTGTCCATATTTCTTTTTTGTTGCTTTTCTCTGCTAAGACGGCAGAAATCAATCTGATGTAAATATTTTTGCTAATCCGATTCAGCATTTTAATTTTCTATTTTAAAATTTTTCAATCTGATGTAAATATTTTAAAATCTGACTCAGCATCCTTGTACCTAAGACGGCACAAAACAACTCAAGTTGAATAAATCCAACTTGAAACAACTAAGTTCTTGGATAATTCAATTCGTTTTTGCTGCAAACTGAACTAGATCCAAGTAGTAAATACAGTAAAACAAACGCAACACAACAAAGCATTAATATTCTGATACACAACACAACAAAAGAGGAACAATGATTCACCTGGGTGCTGATAGAAGTGATGGCCGTAATAATGTAGTTGTATTTTCCAAATTTGCTTCTATCCTTATTGGTGCCATTGTTGTTGGATGTTGGATCGTGTAATCCAGGTCAGCTTCCACTTCCACAGTGCCTTCTAAGACTTTAACAACCATAGACATGGAAGGCCTCCTTGTATAATTACTTTGCAGACACCAAATTGCAACTTTCATCATCTCCACAGCTTCCGACTTATGCAATTCCATATCTTCGCTGCTTTTGTCAACCATATCCATTAATTGATGCTCCTCTGCTTTCCTCATGAAAATTGGGAGCAAATGCATGCATCCCTCAGGCTGTGACCTATCAAGATTTTTCCTTCCACAGACTACTTCCATTACTACAATCCCAAAGCTATAGACATCTGCCTTTTCTGTAATGACAGAGTGAAACAATTCAGGAGCCATATATCCAGGAGTTCCTCTCATTGTTGTCACCGATTGGCTTTGATCCCTATCAATCAACTTAGACAAGCCAAAGTCTGATATCTTGGCATGTAGGTTAGCATCTAACAGTATGTTTTGGGGCTTGATATCCAAATGAATTATTCTCTGCCTGCAATCTTCATGGAGATAGGCGAGCCCCTTTGCTACGTCCCAGATAATTTTCCTTCTTGTTTGCCAGTCTAGAGGAGGTTGAAATGGTTCTTGAAAGAAAATCCATTTGTCCAAAGACCCATATGACATGAACTCATAAACCAAAAGCCTATGCAATTTTTCTGCGCAGAAGCCAATTAGTCTCACCAGGCTGTTATGGTGGATACTTCCTATAGTCTTGACCTCAGCCAAGAATTCCTTCTTCCCTTGGCCTAATGAGTCAAGACGCTTTACTGCAATTTTGTCACCTGTTAGTGAATTTCCTTCGAAGACTGACCCAAACCCTCCTGCTCCAAGCTTTTTCTGGAAATTTTCAGTTGCTATTTTCAATTCTTTGTAAGTGAATCTGACAGGCATTCCTGATAGCTCATCTAAGTAATCTTCAATGCCTTCTTCTTCCCCATCTTTTTTCTTCCCGAAAAAGACAATCCAAAAGAACCCGAAAACCAGACCCACAAGAATTAAAGCTCCTAATGTTGATCCTATTATTGTAATAGAATGGTTAACTGATCTAGAAGAACTTCTTTCAGGCTGTCTAGCATTTGAATTTGCATCCCCACCTTGTCTGATCTCTCCATCATTAGACATTTTAATGAAGGCATATGATTGATATTTATATGTTTCCTTTCCTTCTTTTGTGAGAGAAAGAACCGGGGACGGTAAGACACAATCCCCAATGGAAGTATTGTCATAGAATCGAAATAGAGCAACCGTGCACGAACATGTTTTCAAGCATGCCTCTTTACAGCTGTTCATGTCTGTTACATTTCCAATTGCTGCTTCATAGCTAAAATAGTGAATATCTTCATAGGGTAAAAGAAAATGGGACGACGGATTTTCACATGTGATTGGATTAATTTGTGAGCATTCGACTGCGCTTTGGCCATTTGAAGCATCAGTTGGAGCAAATCCTGGAAGGCAAGAGCAAACTCCATTTGTGCAGAGCCCATAACTGCCACAACTTAATGGGTAATCACATTCATTCATATAATCTGCCAGCAGATCAAATGACTGATCACGAGACTTGTCATCATAAAATCTCAGATGTCCATCAGGATCTAATTTCATATAAGACGTTTTATTTCTATATTGCTGATATGAAGTATATAATAGCACACCCTCAGTTGAAAGTATATCTAGACTAAGATAACCATTAGATGATTCCATTTCAATTCTGTCTACGTCATGAGATGTACCTTCATTATATGGATATCTGCAGTAACTGAGAGGGACCTCAGCCTGGTAATAAGCATCCAGACCTCGAGAGGTTACAACAAGATTGAAGTTTCCCTTAGACAGATTGCTATTTGAAACGCTAGCCACTAGTTTCTGTCCTCTCATCAATTTTTGCCCAGGAAGCAGTGTGTCTGTTGGATGGTCAAAAGATTGCCAAATACTCTTATTATTGGTATCATAAAGTACAAGATTTCCTGTTTTCATCATCTTCATACCTACAACAGACTTATTAGCTGTGCCAGTAGACCAGACCAGACTTCCATCTCCATCTCTTAGCACCAAATTTCCATCTGAAAGGAATTGTAATGTAGCATGCTCACTAACAGCTCTATTCCTGTTTGCTAACCATAGTATGTCTTTGAAATACCAAACTTGTTCGTCGGGAAACGAATCCATCCATTCAGCTAATCCAATAGCCAAATACCAGGAATCTGCATGTGCTTCATTCTGTTGGGAGTAAAACCCACAAGCAAATCCAATACCATATTCAGCATTTGTTTTCTCATTGGACAGAATTATTTGATTATAACTGCCCCATGATGTGAGCGGCATTGCTGTTGGAAAGTAATGAATTTTAGCTTGTTGGAAGTGTGGAAGAGATAAAATCATCAAAAGCTGCACAAGCAGAATAGCCATGACTTTGTGTTATTAGCTGAGCCTGAGGAGATACCAGATATGCATGAAAAAGAATATTGACATAATTCAGATGTAGATAAAATGATATATACACTTAAATGTATTGTATGTATATTGAATTTCATTAAATAATTTGCATTTCAGCTTGTAATAAACATGCCTCTATGTAATTCAAACATCCCAATTTTCTTGAGTGTAAAATCAGGAATGAGGTATCTACTTTTCATCTAAGTAAAAAATGTGGAAAGATTGGTCTCCGGTCTTTGCTTCTTTGCTTCTTTTTCATCTAAGAACAAGAAGAATTTATGACAAGTGACAAGGAAAAGCTAGCCACCTTATTTTACTAATCCAAGTCGATATGTGGACTCAAGACTTATAGGAAATTTCAAAGAAGATCCCTAAGATTTGGAACTCCTGTTAACATGTAATTATATTTCATTTATATTAACTCTCACATTTGATTATTGTTGACCATTTATTTCACATAAAAAGCATAAAATTATAATATTTTCTAAAACTTTTTTTTTTATTGGCTCGAACCACACATATACACAGTACGTAGATAAGAAACTTCTAATATAGAAATCTCTCAATGGTGGAGTTTTACACTCTTTTATTGCAAAATCATTCCATTATTCAAATTCTTCCAATAAATATGTTTCTAGAATGATTCATTCTTTTTTATATTGGTTTAGCAAATACAAAATTAATTTAATTGAAGAATAAGAGCAGATGTAGAGATTGTAGTCCAATAAAGGATCCACCAAAAATAAAAATAAAAAAAAAACATTCCGTTAGCGCGTTCTAGCGATACAAATAATTGAAAGAGCAATTTTGAAAACAAAAAATCAGAATCTCGGCCCAATAGTATGAGGCCGGTACCTTCTATAGCCACATCCAAATAGTAAGCCCAACATGTACCTTATAACCAAAGTCCAAAACTACAAATACAGCATTCCAAAGGTTACATACCAATTGCCAATATAATATCTATAAATGTTTTAAATTAGAATTTCATTAAACTTTTCCAAAAAGAATTGCAATTTATTTATTTTTATTTTCTGAAAAGATTATTAGAAGACAAGTTGAGCTATATTATATTGATTTGCCTTTTCCTTTTCACTCTCCATTAGTTTAGCAGTAAAGACAAGTTATTCTTGAAATAAAAACTTTAAAAAGGAAAAATAAAGTAAATAAAAAGATTTGGCAAATTGATTAGTAACCAAAGCAAACATCATTCATATTCAGAATGCTAATTCAACTCATATGAAGCTCAATTCTCAACTCTCAGCTACTGTCTCAGGTCTCAACCTATAAACGGTATGTTACCGTAATATTATAATATTAAAGAATATAGCAATAAGCTTTGCAACCCCAACAGTCTCTAATCATTTCATTGGAAAATGGCCCATTTGTTTGTGGATCCACTTTGCTTGCCTTCAGTTGTGGGGATACCCCACTGCATCTCACCATTACCAAAACTCTCAATTACAAGAAGATTCTTCCCCATCCATCTAGTCCATTCACTGGAAAAAAAAAAAAAAAAAAAAAAAAAAATATTAAAATCGGTCAATTGTTACCCCGTAAATATAATATTAAGACTTATAGCAAGTAAAGCTTTGCAACCCCAAAGCTCTAATCATTTCATTGGAAAATGGATCCCATTTCCCTTGGTTATTTGTGGATCCACTCTGCTTGGCCACTTTTTCCCCAGGGGGGTTTGTGGGGGGATACCCCACCTGCATACTCACCATTATCCAAAACTCTTCAATTACATGAAGATATTCTTCCATCCTCTTCTAGTTCCACTTCACTGGAAAAAAAAAAAAAAAAAACAAATAAAAATAAAAAAAAAAAAAAAAAAAAGAGCCAATGTGTCCGCGCTCACACCCCATGCTCTATCTAAAAAAAAAAAAAAAAAAAAAAAAAAAGAGCCAATGTGGGTAACCATGCCACTAAAATTCTTGATTTCCACCAGAAGATGATGGACATCAGCATGATGATATGTCACTTAACTTCTTTAGTGGTAGGAATCTAATAAGGCAAAATGAGTGGTGTCACCTTATCAAACTCAATTCTTGGTGCACTTATTAGAAACAAGAAAAAGTTGGTCAATCTTCCATCACTTGAAGAGACCACCACTATTTTTTATCGTCTTCGGAAAATTCCATTCCTAGGAAACAGTCTTTCTTGCCTTTCCCCTTTGAATCCCCATAAAAATAGAATTCTTCTGAGTTAAAAATTTTAGATGCTTGTTCTCGTAACTTTTACAAGAAAAACAGAAATGCTCATCATACGCTTTTTTGACCCTCTGGATTTGATAGATGATGCCTCTTCTTTTTCTCTAACATATGGGTTAAAACAAGTAGAATCTGTAGTCAGACCACAGTCTAATACTCATTCTAGATGTAACAGACGTAAAGGTAATGAACCTTGATTAGTTTCCCTCCATAGCAAAAAATACAAACAAAAAAAGTTCTTTGATCTGGGATTTGAGATTAGTTACAAACCTGCCAATCTGAAAGAATCATTTTGATGCGAAATCTGTGATAGTAAACAACTGCATTTTGCTGCAGAATTATTCATGTAAACAATTGATAACTGGTGCTCTCTCGATAATACCCCCAAGAGCCTGACTAGCATATCTTTTATGATTTCTACACCAGCGTTCTATACCGCTCACATATTAGATCATTTCTCTTCATATTGAATCATTTCCGTTTTGTTCTTAACTACTACACATTACATGTATACAAATTAACAGCTCAATAGTACAGTTCATTCTCTGGAAAAACACAAGATATGATGTTTCTGTAAATTTTTCTTTTTATCATCTAAATTTCAATGAAAGAATTTGTAAATATTACCAACCAAAAAAGAAGCATATATGAGCGCAATACAATAAGACTGTTTGCCACCACTACAAAACGGGTACTGAAATGGACATGGGTACCGAGACGTCACCAACGAAACTTGAATCCCGACTTGTAGCAGAGTTGCCAGCGTATGCATATCCAGCACCCAATCCCCCAAAATGTAAAGCATAATTCTCACACCTTTGAAACACTCTAGCAAGGGATGCTGCCTTTCTTCTTGCTCGCTTTGTACCCGTGAACAACAGAGTCTGAAGCAAACCAGCCAATGCTGGTGCACGGAGCACTCTCTCAGTTGCAGCTGCCCCACCACTCCTGCACAACTCAAGCAAAGCTGCAACAGCATTTTCTTTCCCTCTTGGAGTCCCACAACGCATCATCCCAATTAGCCCAGCCACAGCCATTTCCTCCTTACCCACTGCTTCGGCCCCAGTAGACTGCCTCACAATCAAAGCCAATGCACCAGCTGCTTCTTCTGCAACCCCTTCATTTCCCAGAGCCCCCACCAATGCTGTAACAGCCCCTGCCTCAATCATTCTCGTGCAATTTTCTGTATGAGTTGATAGATTAAACAAAGCTGTGACTGCATCCTTCTTCCCACGCGGTGTCCCCACTCTTAACAGCCCTGCCAGGGCTTCAACTGCCCCTACTTCATCTGCTATTTTCTTCTTGTAATCATGAACTGCTGAAAGACTGAATAATGTTGCTGCTGCATTTTCCCTTGCCTCTGTCGTGAGTCCAAACCTTAACACTTCAACAATTGATCCCAAGCAACCTTCTTCCTCCATAATGCGGGTTTTGTTTGTATCATAAATTGAAAGATTAAGCATTGCTGTTACAGAATTCTCTTGAGCAACTGGATTCGAAGATGATAGTAGCTTGCAGAGGTGAGGAATAGCCCCAGCTTCTGCAATGAAAGCACGGTTTTCTCTTCCTGTTTTTGCTAACAATCTGATCTCACGGGCAGCAATAGTCTTTGCACCTTGTGACCCATTTGCCAGTTGTAGAATGAGAAGTGATGCTGTAGCTCTGTTAGCTTCAGTTGCAGCTTTAGTAGGTAATGCCATAGCAAAAGCCTCTGCAGATGAATCCATGTTCTCTGGGGGCTCATAGGGGATTCCATGGGCAGTGCACCACTGTACAATCAAATTCCTCAAAGCCCGATTGGGTACAAGGTGAGTATTGGTGAGCATTTGCCCTGTTTTGGGGCAAGTACAGTGCCCTTCCTCTACCCACCTAGATATCGAACTCCGATCATAAGTCTGTCCTGTAGAAATAATCACTGGATCTCTCATCAAATCCAATGATATAGGGCAACAAAAATCCTTTGGTATTGTGATAAAAGTATCTGCTATCTCTTGAGTGATCAACCTTTTTCTTGGCTTCTTCTGATTCCCAAATTGCAACTCCACCTCATTTTCCTCGAACCCAAAAAGCAAAAACCTAGAATACCTTGTAATTGCAACAAACCCATTAAGCACAGAAGCAGTTGGTTCAACATCTCCCTCATGATTAACAATCTGTTCCTCCAAAAATTCAATCTCCGTTCTACAACTCTTGGCATCCCTGATCCCCAAATTATCCACAAAAAACAATCTAAGGTCAACATGGCTAGGAATTCTCCCATTCTCAAACTCGTTAAGAAATGAAAAGAACCTAACCCTTAGGGCCTCATCATTCTTATCAATATATAATTTGGCTTTCCTTGCCTGTTTTTGCATAAGCTCAATTTGCTCCCTAATATCCTCACTCAATTCAATATTATTCAATGGAAATACATCCAAAAGGGTTGATATTTCCTGATTTAGATCATGAAAATGCCCTGAAATTGACTGATTTTGTAACAATAGCCATAACTTGCTAGCCTGTGAACAATAATCAAGCAATATTTTTGAACGGTACAAAAGCAAATACAACTCCTTAAAACAAACAACCGCCGTTGAAGATAATTTGGAACCTGACCCAGAACCCGTCAAATACTCTAACAAAACAACGAAGAGCTCAATCTTTCGAATCAGAGAACGCGAATTCTTTCGCTGAAAAGGAAATGATTTCCCCGAGTAACATGAGACCAGCTCGGTTGACACCGATGCCAAAGTCTGTACAAGGGCGACATCGGTCAAATCAACCGGCGCTAAGAACGCCTCCAACGACGGCGACCTCCGCCGTCTTAGAGACGAGAATATAGCCGCCGAAGCCATAACAAACTGTCCACGACTGAATTTTCAATGAAATGACTCCAAAATTTAGATCTAGATACAGCGATTTTGAAACGGCACAGACGTTTTTTCTTTTTCTATCGTATTTGAGCTAATTCAGGACTTCCGCAGCTACAGAATCTCCTTGTGCAACAATTTGTCCACTTATTTTCAAATGAAATGAAAAGAAAGAAAAGAAAAAAAAATTTAAAAACGAAAATTCGGCTTACTCTTGTTCTTCTTCTTCTTCTTCTGGGTATTGTTGGGTGGAATATTTATAATAGAAAGATTTAGTCTTTGCAAGAAAGATGCAATTTTTAAGATAGAATTCCTGAATCCGCGTTTTTGAGAGGCAGAGAGAGAGAGAGAGAGAGAGAGAAAGAACAGAGAGAAAGGGAAGAGAAGGTAAAGGAAAAAGGGACTGAATTTCCTATGACTTTGTTTTTCTTTTTTGCTATTATTAAATTTTTTTTTTTCTTCTCACTCTCCCTCTCTCTCTCTCTAGAAAAGAAAATTCAATGCAGTTTTGGTGAAAAAGACATATAAGGTTTTCTCTGATAATTATCCAGATTCCTGTCCATTCGTTTCTTCTTCTTTCCTCTACTCTACAGTATTAGTATATAGAGGCTCATTAAAATTTATCACAAAGGTCTTCCCTTTTTCCTTTTTTTAGTTGCAGCTTTGATCACCCTTTTATAACAATTTTGGTTTGATCATCACCTCCTTTTTTCTCTCGTTTCCATTATTCAATCTCTGTGTCAGATTTAGCTGGCCGTTTTTTAAGTTTTGGATATTGTCAATTTGTCATTACTCTGTATAATCAACTTCCTTTTTCTATAATCTAACTTCCAATACATTTTAAGGTTGCTTTTTTTAACACTGCCCCTAATATTTAGTCTTGCAAAAATAGACATTAGAGAATTTACTTAATGTAAACTATAATTTGGATCATCATACAAATTATGATTTTAAGAAGTCCTAAGTGTAGCGAGATTAGAACTATGCGTTAAATGATTTAAACTATAAAATCCAACCAAACATTAATATTTTAATTTCATAAAATTTGGACAAATTTCATAAACTCTAATATTTTCGATTCCAAACATTACCTGTAGTATAGTTTGACTTTGCAATTCTCAAATCACTTATAAATTCATTCCTCGTTCTTAATAGTTGAATATTAATATTTGATTTATTTATTAATTTATAAAAAAATTTAAAATTAACAAGAAATTCATTAACAATATTTTACAAACTTTTAAAGCGTTATTATTGCTTTACAAAAAATTATAATTTAATATATAAATAATTTATATTTAATATAATTTATTAAAGTATTTTAATGGTATCAAATTGCACAGGACCGTTCAATTTGATTTTGTTGATTAAATGGTTTAATTTAAATTGAAAAAAAAAAATTAAACCAAAATTTTTGATTTGGTTTGAAGTTTCTTCAAATGTCACCAAACCAAACCGCTGACCCCCAAGTGAGGTGGAAGATGTATAAATACTGAACATCACCATATTATTATTACAGTTCTTGGTATCTATCCAAAGGCTATACACTTCTCTCTTTTTAACTTTAAATTCATCTTTGGATTGCAATGAGGTCAGGTGTCACAAAGAAGGACATCTCATTGCTGGCATATTATGTAAATAAAGGTAGAAATTGCTTAATTTTTAAGGATAAGTCATTGCTTAAGGAGTTGGATTAGAGTGCGAGGTTGGCAAAATTGCAAGTTTGCATGCATAGGATTTGTTTCTGGGCGAGGGGTTGACCAAATGAAGTTGTGGGGAAGGTTGGACCCCACGCGAATTTTAGGCGCGTGGAGACTTTAGGAGAAGATTTATTAAAGTCCAAGCATATTAATATCCCATCTGTCAGTGGCTAATTTTTCTACTTTGACTCAAATGTCATAAAACACGAGTTGACTGATCCAAACTCACAGCACTGCCTTACATTCACATACACACTTCTTTGTCGGACTTCAGCATTTTCAAAACTGAGATTTGTTTGAGATACTCGGCTGTGATCTAGAAATGTGGCACCTCCAATTGTAACCCTTCCACGTATTCTTTCTTTTTTAAATAGGAATTAGAAGGGTAGGGTCCACTAGGTTGTTGGTGCCGAACTGCAAAGAGCAGCTTATAAGAGCAGCCGTCCGTTTCAGGATTTCAGGTTTTTGGCTAAAACGTCTAATCAGTTAGGCCAAAATTTGCCATTAACGTAGAATTTGTTCAACATTTTAAAATATTTATTTTAAAGTAATATAATTTATTATAAATATTTTTACTCGTAAAGGAATATAAACAACAAGTAACAGCTATTAATAACAACGTGAAACACATATTATAAAAAAATAATAAAGTATAAGTAAACAAATTTGGCTCTCAAAGGATGTGTATATATTATTATGATAAAAAAATATTGTAAAATAATTTTACTTATACGTGCCAAGTCTGGAAGTGCTACTGGCCATACAGTGATTTTTGAACTACACGCCTCCATCTGCGTCTCTTAAATTTTAACCACGCCATGGTTAACACGTTGCAGGCACACGAAAAGCCGACAAAACCACTAGTTTCTGTCCATTACGATTATGCCACGTAGTTCGATCAATTCGATGACGAGTCAAAGAAAGCAACGGCCTGAGCTAGACGTGAGAGGTACGTCTCCACCGGATCAATGTTGTTTAGCAAATTAGCGGCCATTTTGGTCAATAGAGTTTCACGGTGAAGCTTCGTCGTTTTGCAGTCGATGTGGCGCCTGCCGTTTTCTTGGTTCACGGCTGTGAAGAGTGAAGCGGCCACGTGTGACGTGTGATTCTGGGAATGATGATTATTGGGTATGGGAAATGCCGGCTGTTACCGCGTAGCCATGGTTAAGATCTCTGATTTCTTAATGGCGGCAAGCCATAACGCCAATACGGCTACGTATATTTATATTCTTATATAATAAATATTTTCAATTTTTTCCCAAAAATACATGAAATTTATGAATATCAAATAGACAGGTGATTCTTTTTTATTACTTCAAAAAAAAAAATCGACGGATCGAGAATTAATTAATTAGGGAGTATTAATTTTTAATTAATTGAATGTGAATTTTTGGATCTTATGGTTAGGAAAGTCTCCTTCTAATAGCTAGGCCCTAACAGCTAGTTGTTATTGCAATTTACCTAATCCAGAGGCTAAATTAAGTATGTAAAAATGATTAATTAATGACAATCCAATCTATTACCTACTGCCATATTGTTTGCATGCGCGCCGTTGAATAATTAATGGATAATATCAAAACTACTGTAATGTGTGCCCTAAACTGAATCCAAATTATCTTATTTTAAGACATAATATTATCAGTTGGTCCAACATATGCGCACATTTCAAGTAAAAACAATGTAATTATGTAACCACCATGATAAATATATAACACCTAAATATCCTATTTATTAATGTCCAAAAAATAAAATGGAAAAAAAAAATAGAAATTCGTCAAAGTAATTGTCTTTCTGAAAGTTTCTTTTTTTTTTTTTTTTTTTTTAAAAAGTAAAAACCAATGTAATTAATGTAACCACCAATGATAAATATATAAAACCTAAAATTATCCTATTTATTAATGTCCCAAAAATAAAAATGGAAAAAAAAATAGAAATTCGTCAAATGTAATTGTTCTTTCTGGAAAGGTTTCTTTCTTTTTTTTTTTTTTTTTTTTTTTTTTTTTTTTTTTTTTTTTAAAAAGAGCTGATTCGATTCCATCGCTTTCCGACTACAAACAGACCGACCGCGGAGTTTTCAAATATGTGTGTGACTAATCGTAGGTAGTAATCAGTTGGGTCCAAAATTCTAGTAATTAATTAATTAATTAATTGGACATTTTATGGTGTACACACAAACGATTTCGAAATTATTTTTTATTTGCTTTTGATTCTAAGGTTCACATTCTCCTGATGAATGAATTAGCTTTAACATTTTCACACTTACATCTATAAAATTTCAAAAGTTAGAAAAAAAATAAAAAAGTTATTTTTCGCTTTCTCAATCTTTGTTTTATCCAATTGAAAATTTCTTTTTTCTTTATTTATCTTATTTTTGTTGCACAAAATTTCTAATTTTAGCTTTAGCAACAAATTATCGAATATCCTGAATATTGCTTATCAAAGAGGCAATAGGTTGGAAAATCAGTTAAAAAGAGTAAAGAATTAAAAAAATTGCTTCAACCCTTGTTTTATTAGCTTACTTTGATTTCTTTTTTGTCACCATTCTTGAAGTACAAAGTAATCAATCAATTTTAATTCTGGTATTTTTGACTTTGCTGTTTGAGCTGTTATTAAAAACAATATACTATTAATTAAAAATATTAACTAGATATAATCAGAGTTTACTTTGAAAATAAATTCTAATAGTGAGGGTAAGATTACAGGTATTTGAATCTTACCTGTAAAAACTCCATCCTTTCACATTTATCAGAAGAAACTAGGAAGAAGTTTCTAATGGATCATAGGAATCAGGGAGAAAAGGGATGATGCCATTAATGTAAATGATCGGATAAACATATGAAATTCATTTAAATGAAGCTACACTACATAATTCTTTCCTACGTTCTTACCGGAAGTGTAACTACTACATTTATTCAAAAGAAAAATATATGAACGGCTAAATTTGAACTACTAAATGGAAAGAAAATGTCTAATTACAGAAGTAAAGAAAGATGAAGAAGTTGCACTCTGAATCTGTAAAAGCCATTGAAAATTTTTCTTTCTTGTTCTACCTTGGAGATTTAGAAGAGAGGCACTTTCCACAAGAAACGAGCTTAAGCAATGAATGAGGTCTTCGCGTCCTAATTTTCAAACGAGAAAGCTGCATATATTAAAGGCACATTAGCGACTTCTTCAAACTAAATCACATCAAAACAGCTATTAGACACCACAGCATTATATTTTTCTCATTCAAACTCTTAAATGACTGACACTGCTGCCAATTTATGAGAAACAAATGTATATTATACTATATATTAATGCATATACAATTCTCGACAGTGCTGACAATTCTCAAAGATCAATCCTTTTTTCAAAAGCAAGAAAAATGGTGGATTTATGAAATTTAATTGTTAGTTAGAATATCATCCAGGAAAAAACAAAAAATGGTATCTTACCTTTCTACGCGTAACTCTAGATGCTTTCCAACATAACAAGCTTCGTGATCTAGGTTCCAGTCTCCTGTAAAATTACAGTACATATGAGCCCATAAAAGACTGTGTAGATATTAGGAGAACAAAATGTACTGCTAGAACCTACAGGAAGAGCTTTCAAACTATCACTTCATTCAGTAACTGTTCAAATTACTACAAACCGCTATTCACTTAATTTAAATATTGTGGCCTTTTCTTGTGCAATATTATTTGCCCAGGAGCATTACAGTTATCCTTTTTAGCTAGGTAAAATATATTTTATCAACTCCCAACAAGAACAAGAGAGAACACAAAAAAGAAGAAAAGGTACGGTACAGAAAATACATACAAATTTTCTTGTTCAAGCTTTTCTGCTATAGAGACTGCTTTACGTTTGGACCATCCAGTTTGTTGGGTACATCCTTCTGCCTGCTGAATTACATGTGCAAGGGAAACCTTGCTTCTCACAAGGCTTTTACTCTGACTTTGCTCTCCAAGTTTCCTTCTTTCCGACATAGGACTCATGCTAGATTTCTTATGTGAAACTGCTGATTCTCCCGACCTCAATCTAGACAAACCTCTTTTACTAGATTCTGCATTGTAATCAACATGCCCATTACCCTTGGCTTCCCTAGGAGAAGCTGGTATTTCAACAATTTCACTCCTCCCTGCATCAAGAGATTCTCCTGTCCTAGGCATTCTGGTTGCAATAGTGGCCTCTGGCTCTGCAGCCATCTGGGATGAAGCATTCCTAGAAACTGGTAATATAAGGGGCCCTCCACCTTGATTTGATTCACATCTGATTTCAATGGTAACCGGTGACCCAAGAACAGACTCAAATGCTTGTAAAATATGTGCCTTAAACTTCTCTGCCTTCGATTTGGTGGGATGTGAACTGAACATTAACTGCACAGTTGGAGCTGCAAAAAGAAAAACTAATTTAAAGAGTCAATTAGAGAACACTATCAGATTATTCTCTAATAAGGACATTCCAATTCCACAGACCAGTTTGGTCCCAAAATTTATGAATAGTTTCGTATTGAAAAAAAAAAAAAAATCTTCACATAAACAATGCAATCCTAACAAATCAAAATATGATACTGTTGAATGAATCACGCCTCATTTAAGTACACTGTGCACATTATATGCATTAGAAGTACCTGCACCAAAACTGACAGAGATGAGCTTTCCTTCCTGATACAAGAACTCTCTTATACTGTTAAACTGAATTTTCCCAAGTACTTCCAACCAAATTTCTTCATAGCCCTTACGGCTTTTGCCTGAAATCTGCCTGCCGCTCACCCTAACCATATCAGAAGATAGCGCTGATGTCCTCTGGGGAGTCATCCCAGCCCCTGCATTTCGTCTCCTATCCACATTAATACCATTTGATACACCATTGATATGGAAATCACCAGAATTTCCAGCAGGGAGATTTTCCAACCTACTTTGTGTTGACAAGCCTCTATCTTTATTGAACATGTCAGTATGCTCACCACTTTTCATGCCTATATCTCTTCCGTTTGGGTGATTTATGGTGGGAGGGCTATGATTAAAACTAGTTTCTGTAGATGAACTAGGCAACATATACTGTTGATCAGGAGCAAGTTGAAGCAATGCAGCTGTTAGCCATGTTATTTTGTCATTTGACATTCTAAGTTGTTTTTCAGCCTCCGATAAAGTTTTCAGGGCTTGGCGTAGTTTTTCCATATCTTCCTTGGACACTGGAACCAATAAATTTGTACCATCAGTTGTAGAAAAAGGAAGAGATCAAATGTACAGAATCAGTTATCTCATTTTAGTTATTACTTGGTGCAGAGCAGAGGATCGCCAGAGCAACTATTCACCAGGTAGATAAAAAGCTACGTGATTTCACAGGTCAAAGTGCTGATATAAATGACTCGATAAATCAATTAAGGAGCATGCGAAAAAATCAAATCTGAACAAATATGAATTTTTCCAAGCTGAGGAGAAAGAAAATGTAGCCACATAATAGCTAATACAGGAAGAGAAAAACAAAGAATTCAATGTTTACACCCAGCTTTACATTGTGAACAAATTAGTTACACTGTGAACTGATTAGTCCATTACTAGTCACTTATATACCAGAGCAACAAACAATTTGTGAAACTCACATGGTTTTCTTCGGAAAAACTTCCTCCTACGCCTCTCTTTTGTGAAATCATAACTACCAGCTAAAATATCAGTAATAACTGTAGCAAGCTGCGACATTAAAGCCAATGGCTCCACACCAGTTTCCATTATTATTCTCAAATTCTTAACAGTGTTCACTGTGTCTGCAGATAATGCTAAATCAAGAAGATCGACCAACTTTTCATCAGAAATAAGCCCAACCTGTAAAGAAACAATTTATGGATTTTAGAGCAAAAAAATAGCATGAAATTGTATCTAATCATAGGATGACCCCTTTTTTCTTTTTATTTATTTATTCATTGTTGAGTGGGCAAATTTTTCCATTAATTTTAAGTGTAAAAGTACCACGACAAGGTCCAAGTATCCTTAACTGACATGGGTACTTAAAATACTGTACTTTAGGCTAACCTGAAGAAGTTATCATAAATGGTAACTTGATCATCACTCTGGACCAAGATCATCATCTTCCATTTAAGTGGGAGAGGCACATTTATATGCTAAAAGAATTAAACATTCTAATTTCGGTCACAAGAATGAGGAAAACCTTACCAGTTCCTGAACCAGAGGAACAGATATCTTCAGACCAAGTAAACTCAGCTGTTCTAGAGTCATCTCAGCATCCCTCAATGATCCATCTGATCGTGATGCAATAAGTTTTAGTGCATCCTTATCGATATCTATATCTTCTTTGGATGCAATCCACTGCAAAGTGTAAATAATATCTGCATCTTTCAGCTTCGGGAAAAAGAATTTCTGGCACCTGGATATAATTATATGAGGCAAAACATCAAGACTTGAGCTGACAAGGATAAAAACCACTCGTCTAGGTGCTCTATCAATGACCTTTGACACAGCACTCCAGCAATCAGGTGACAGAGTATCACAGTCATCAAAAATAAAAACTCTGTACTGTGATGGCAGGTGGGAAATAATCATGTTGTCGAGCAGATCCATAATACTTTCAAAATCAAAATTACTGACTGGACCAACTTCCCTTATGTTTCGACTCTTACCCATGTCATGCGCAATGCAAGCATTGCAATAGCCACAAGGTTTGGAATGTTCCAGAGATTGACAATTCAAAGCCCTGGCAAATATGCGAGCACATGAGGTTTTTCCCGTACCATGAGGCCCATAAAACACATATAGCAGCCCAACCTTTCTTCTCATTACCGCATTGGAAAGAGCTTGTGCTACCAGATTCTGTCCTACTAAATCTCTAAAAGTTCTTGGCATGTATTTTTGAGTCAAATTTTGGTGCCTGCTATTGTGGTTCCGCCCAAGTTTGTGTCGATCACCAGACCTAGCTTCAGAAGCAAGGTCAGAATCAACATCATTTTTAAGTAAATGGTCAGCATATATACCTAGCTCTCCAGAATAGTCATGCACCCAACCAGCATAATCAGTGCTTTCTAGGGATCCAGACGCCTCAACTAATAGAGGCAGCACCTCTGCATCAGACTTAGTAGATGAACTTGAATGGTCAGATGCCACAGGAAAATTAGGACCATCTCTCTCCTGGGAAGCCATGCCACCTTTCCTCAATCTTGAGTCTGACAGACCACAGGACAAACTCCTACCAGCCATGTCAAGGAATGTTTTACCTCTGTGATGAATTCTTGACCAATTCCATGGAATCCCACATCCATTTCTAGGAGCTCTTGTCACATTTTCATCCCCATATTCTTCTTCTTCCTCCATGCGATGCCTTGGTCTTGATGACCCTTGAGCCAAAGAATTGGAAGCAACAGACATTTCATTCTGACCCCCAATATCTCTAGAGGATGGAGTAGCCCTAGTTCTTCTGGCATCTCTAAACTTCCGCCTTTTCACCCTATTTAATCCGCTTGAACCACGAATGCTGGTCTCAGGTTCCTCACCAATTTTTCCATGTCGAGGCCGTCTTCCACGAAGTTGGATGTTAGAAGAAGCTACATCACTATCCATTGGAACCTCATTCAGCTGCTCAGAAAGGGTCTTAATATGGGAACCTTGACTATGCTTCCCCTTTTGTTTACTCTTTCTAGGTTTAGATTCTGAACTCCCAGGAACAGCATCATTAACCAAACCATTGACATCTTCATCTCGTAAAGGGTCTTCATTACCACCCAAAAGATCAGCCCTAATGCTCTTTCTACTAGATTCTTCTCTCTTAATTCTCCTACCATCCTTCACTCCACTCTTGCTACTGCGATCACTAAAAGCTAGCACTCCATCATTTCCCCCAGTAAGCTCACCAGGAACGACCTTTGATGATGCTAAACCCGCAAGGGTTGGTGAGCCACCTGACAACCTCCTACCTTCCCTTCGACGTTCAATGCCAACTGACCTTCTACCCTCCATAACTGTGTCATCCTTGTCACCTTTCTTAGGAAGCAAATCAACAACAGAGGGTGAATGCCACGAAGGAGGACTGGCAGAAGGGTCCCTCAATGACCGGGACCGCTGAAGAACTATAAGGTCCCTCATCAGTGACCTATCAGCCAGTACAGGGCTTTGCTTATGCATATGGTTTTTCAGATGAATGCAGTTGGTTAAATGGATGTGGTTGCGAAGATGATCACTGATATGACCATTTGCATCCTTGAGAATCCTATTGCGGACAGCCTTGGTCATGATCAGAAACTAAATGCATATGATAGCAGTATCTCTTTCAACTTAACTAAACCTATCAAATTATATTGCATCTTCCCCCAACCAGTCATCAGCCAGAATCTTCAAAATTAAGCAAGTAGTCACAATAAACGCCAAAATTCAAGCGATCATAGATCTTCCATCAACGAAAGTGCATTTATTTGCAAAACTGATAACCTTTTTTGCAATAATTACGCCACACATCCCCAAATCCCCCCAAGTAAAAAAATATTGTTCACAATAATCTTCATTTTCCTCTGAAGGGCATAAACCCATCAGTACCAAGCTAAAGAAACGCAGCACTACCCAAAACCCATGAAACTAAATTCAAAATCTCAAGCTTTTATTGAAGCTCAAACTGCACTATTTCCGTCCCAAACCAAAACCTCCCAGCTTCACTGCATAAGATTAAAAGCAGAAAACCCTTCAGTTCAACAAGTAAATCATGTAACAATAAGCAGCTATAGCAGACCCTACAAGTAAAGGCTCAACCTTCTATCTTAAAGCACAAGAAGACCGAATTTTTTGGACGAAAAGGGTATAGAACAAACAGGGTTTAGATTGAGAAGAGCATGGAATTACAAACAAAGGAGACCATAGCTACTAGAAGAAGAAGAAGAAGCAAAAAGAAAGCAACAAGGGAAACACTGCATTCACCTGAAAATACACAAAAAGCAAAAACGACCCGTTTGGATCATTAACGCCACCAGATTAGATCTCTCTCTAGCTATCTATCTCTCATTAGTCCCACTCCTCAGCCACCAACTTCACATGCACTTCACGAGAAGAAGTGTTCCTTTTCACTGAAAACGATAGTCGAAAAACCCACTAAGCAACGGAGCTTGTGTTAGAGAGACAATAACTCAATAAGCTCAAGAAAGAGAAACTAAAGAGAAGGAGAGGACATACAAAGAATCTCTGGCAAGAATGCTCAGGGGAGAGGTATGAGATCTGTAAAAACAGGACACACACAGCCAATAAAGCGGTGTGCCCGTTTGTTTGTTTGAGCATGAAGTGCAAAATAAATAAATAAATAGTAGTAAAGGTTAAAAATTTATGGGTTTTCAATTTAAAAAGATTGTAAATTTATTTATATATTTGGATCTTTGTATGATGTTTTTGCCATAGTCAAAAAAGGGAAAGGAAGAAAATTGAAAACTGAGATTTTGAATGGGGACCAAAGAAAGAGCAGAGAGCCCGTTCTGTTATGTAATACATCATATAATCTGGCTGTTTGAAATAGCCGTTTCTTGGTACTCTTCTATTGGGTGTACAGAGTTTGAGACTGTACTCTTGTATATTAACCTTAAACTGCATTGTGGGGACCTGTAGAAGTTTCACCTATTTTTGGATTTTATTTTTATTTTTAATGAAAATTTTCATATGATCCAATTATTGAATTCACCCGTTAAATACTAATTTTTATTAAATACTAATTTTTTTATGGAAAAAACTCGAATTTGAAAAAATAACATTCAAAAAAATATTTATAGTGAAGATTTTAAAATATAATTATAAAATTTATATATTATCTGATGTACGTATTAAATTATGATAAATGAATATTTTTAAATTAAATTTTATGAATTATTCAAAATCTCACATTTACTATTTTTCACAGGAAAAAAAAAAATTCGAATTAGAGAAACAGATTATCAAAAAGATGAACAGGAATCTTGACTTATTTTCACTTTTTAAGTTTTTATAGAAGCAGAGTGAGGACAAAAAGCACAGCCTGTGGCCTGTGGGTTATCCAGTTCCTTTTATTGCATATAAAAACCCAAAATATCTTTTTTTTTTTCAAAAAAATAGGTCAAAATTAGATATGTCATTTGCTTAATTAATGCTAAGAAACAATATGTAATACTTTGACTTGTTTTGTTAAGCTAAAAAAAGAAACACAAATACATTATGAGATAGCATAAATTATCATTTTTATTACATAATTTATAAAATCATTCCAATTTAGTTTATTTTTTCATAAATAAAAAAGTTATTTACTACTAATATCTTGCGACTTGGAAAGTGATCGTTGATATAGATGGGAATTTTTAGACATGCATTGACCTAATCCTCCTAATTTCCAGAATTTAACATGTCTAAAAGAGAAACTTAATAAAGACTCTTAAATGCGAATTACATATAAAAAAAAAAAAAAAGAAGGAAAGTTAACCTATTCACCCACTGTAAAATTTAGAAAATTGACAGTGGCCTGTGCAGGGCAATAAGCAGAGACCCTTTTTTTTATTTTTTTAGAGAGTGGTCTGAACTCTGAAGGGCAATAAGCAGAGCCACAATCACGTGCGCCCATTCAGTTGAAGACGATGATGATGATAAATAATGACCGGTTTTCAATGATGTTTCTGATTCTGATGATGCTACAGATTCCGCTTACTATGTTATGTCAATGCGTTTGATGTTTTTTTTTTATCCACTCAATTGTAGTATTCTATTTAGAGCCCTTCATCTGCTCTCCCATCACCTGGTTCGCATTGTGCAAAATTTAAGACTCAATTGAACAAAATAATGAACATTTCAATTTTTTTTTAGGATACATTTCAAAACTATTTTAAAAATTTGTAGATAGTTTTAAAAATTACATTATTTTGGTCCAAAATTTAATTAGTGGGTGTTTTTGTTGTAATGCATTAAATTTTGAGTTGAAATATTAATAATTTTTCAAAAAATAGTTTGTTTATTTATATTCAAATTGTTTGATTTAAGTAAATTCTTACCTACACTAAAAAAAAATACATGAAACCAAAATAGCTTAATCAAATGATTAAAAATGCATTAAATCTCGTTCTGGTGATCACAGTATTGAGTCATGAAGTCAATATCTTAGAGAGATTTTTAAACGTAATCGCTTCATGTCGCTTTCCGTTCAAAAAGAATTAATCTTTCATTTAACAGTTAAACGGAAAGTGAAAAGACACACTCATTGATTAAGTTGGATTAAGCTATAATACATGAAGATGAAGCGGTTCAAATCTTTTTATATAAGAAAATGTCAATTCATAAGCTACAAAAAATAATGTCTTCTCAAATCTTACATGCAAAGGGGAGTGTCCCCAAAATCTTACAAACTTCTTATAATAAGATCAACGGGAAACATCCAATCTTGATGGCCCAGAAAAATTTGTCCGAAGGGGCCCCTGTTTGGTACACTTGTACATTACACTACCTGTATTTTACAATAATGACCTTAGGATTGCCACTGGGTTTAAGAATTGGTTGTATCTATTTGTCTGCCAGTTCTTTACAATACAACTTCTTTTTAGCTTTTAGTTTCAATTAAGTTTGAATTGTCATAGTAAATATCGAAAATTGAATTTCAGTTATTTAGGTAAACCCCCCTCTTTAATGTTTTTCTTTTTAGGTAAAGTGCCAAACTGAATTCAAATGATATTTTGATAGGCAGTGAATTCTAATTTATTTATTTATTTTTTTATAGATTCACTATTAGGGATAATAGTACTGAGTCGACTCTTTTTTTTTTATTTATTAAAAGTATATATTCTCCCATTTCAAAATATTTATTTATTAAACTCTAAATATTTGTTCGAACTGAATCTGAATATTGAATTAAAATTAACAGTTTATTGAGTTGAATAATTAAGAAACAGTATACGCTATTTTTAGGGTTTAAAGGAGATAATTGCTTGGTTGCTATTATAAGTTAAAAATTAAATTTAATTATATCATCGCAATCTACACTATAAACTTCCTCCAATGCAAATGATCAGGGTAACTCCACCTTTAAATAAAAAAAGATGCACTTTAACGAAAAAACACATAAATATTAACAATAATTAGTAATTTCATAGTTGTCTTTACATTAAAATTATGCCCAAAATCTTTTTTTTTCCTTCTTGTGGTGGGGGTAGAGTTTTGAAATGTGATTTGCATAATCTAGCTTCTTAATCAATAATTACATGAATCCAATAAGACTAATCAAATTGAAGATCCTAATTACTTTATATTTCTTGACCTTTATATAAAGGTGGAGTGCATCATTTTTATTCATTGGAAACTTTGTTACATGTCTAGTTCCGGAGGGACAAAAGCTTGTTTCTGTGTTCTACTGAGAAATCTTGTTATTTAATTATTTTCTGTTCATGGGGATAATGCAATCTCTAATCTTGAGAAGTTAACAATTTGGCTTTTGTTTTTAGCTGGACTAGTTGATCACTTGCTCACGTGACTCTATGTGTCTTTGCGGCGGTTTTCCACTCCTTCATTACTCCCTCTATATGAGGGCTACTAGCCTACCAGGGCGGCGAAGCCGCTAAATTTTGAATAAATATTTTCACGTTCCATACCTAAACTTACAGATAAAATGAATCTATTTTTATAAAAAGTTATATCCCAGCTGAATTATGAACAAGTATTAATAAAACATTTAAGGGGCAAAAAAAGAAAAGAGAGAGATGTAGTTTCTCTTTTGGTTACAGTGTTGGTAGTGTGCCCCTTTAAAGTTGCATCTTTGTGCCTAAATTGTGGCTCTCCGCCAGATGGATAGTTTAATGTTGTTAAACTGAATTGAGTTTGAAACAAGATAGTAGAACAAAAAATATAGAATTACTTCCATGAATTTTTATTTTTTCGCTCTGTGATCAAACATCAAGAACCAATTTTTGTGCTTTGCATTAAACCATGTCATTGTCAGGAATGAATGATTTTTCCTTTTAATTCGAAATTTTTAGTACCGGAAAGCTAGGGCTTTGAAACTGTAGGCATAGGGAATGCCTAATACATTAGCTGCACCTTAATTTACTCTGGTGCAGCCAATTTGGGATGGCTATAATTATTTTTTTCGTCGTGTTAATTTACCTGTCAGGAATTGGGACTTACTTGATTGCCCAATTCAAACCATGTTGTTGGATAATGGAAAAGTTGGACGCGAAGTTGAAACCCAGAACACAGCACAGGTGAGGTCACTTGCACATCTCAGATTAACCAATACCTGAACACTGAGTACATGATCAGGGTCAGCAACCATAATCTTGGGTTCCAGTATGGACTTACACCTGCTATCAGATCAGCAATTTACAAGCATTATTACTAAATTTTAAGTCTATTTTCGTCTTTTTCTATTATGAATTGTAATTGCAGTTTACATAATTGAAACAACAGAATATTTCACAGAAAGAACTGTTATTGTACTATTTGTTCCTTTGGAAATTGTCGCATACCGATTAGAAAAGCCCCACCACAGTCCAGAACTAGCTGTTTATCTATTTTGTTTGAATTACAATTTCATGGCTTTTGCCTAAGCTTTTGAATATTATAAGAATGAAGGCTACCGACTTGTTTTAGAAGGGCGATGTTTCAGAAGTACAATGAAACTGAGACAACTTATACCAGATTTACAGTTGCAAATGGACCTATTTTCAATGATCTCGAATCAAATTGGTTGGTTCGCTCAAGACATACTTAGGAAGTTCATACTTTGCACCTGCGGAAAATTTAATATGCTATGAAATTTAATACTTTCATCTGAAGAAATTTGCAGATGCGTGCAAATAAGTGCAAGAGAAACATGAAGAGATAGATAGGGGAAGAGTTTTGGCACCTCTCTCATCGTAGCAGATTGTTAAGTCTTCACTTTGAACAATCACGCCGGCGCTGTCCACAATTGCTTGTGCAAGAGTTAAATCAGCTTCAGCAGCAGCATGAAGTGCATCCCATATCTCTGTTAGGAGAAAATATCCTCACACATGTTAGTTATTCCAACCAACACCATTGAGATGTCTCTTAAAGATACCAAAAAAAAAAAAGGGAATTACAAAGAACGCATATCACCGAGCACCGTTATATGTAAAATAAAATGGTCAGACGAACAAAATAAAGGCCTTAAATTTTATCACTCCTTTGATAATATAAGGCAGGTTATCAACCCAGAGAAATGCCAGATATAAAATAACAAGTACATGATAGCATTTTGCATTAGCCAGGAGTTGCACAGGTATGAAATAGTAAACCTTAAAAAGGAGAAGCCAACTTACTTAAGCAAGTTTATCCAGAAAATAACAGTCAGACGTTTGCAACTCTGTGCATGTTATTTTCTATCTTTGCTGTCTGAATAATTCAGCTAGTCAATTCTATAGACCGGCCTTAGGCAATTACAGTATAGAAATGAAACAGAGCAATTAATAACTAGAAGCATGATAGTAGCAACATCAACAATAACACAAACAAATAGATGGAAATGAAATGGATATGAATATAAGCATACAAGAACAAAAGCAAAGGTCCAAAGTGCTTTAACTCAGTTGTTAACCATCATAATGTCTGCATCTGGCAGATTGGTATTTTCACAGAAGTAAAGCACATGCTCTTCATAAGAAAGAGAATTTCTTCAGAAAACGGAAATTCTCAGTAGAAAACTAATCTAGAATAGTAGAAGCAGAAAAGAGAATATAAAGAGATAAAAAAAAAAAAAAAAGGAAAGGGAAATAGAAAGATCCAAATTGACTTTCAGGTCAATTTATGCTTAATTTAGTTCAGTAAGATACTAGGATGCCCTCATAAGGATATTGATTGTTATAGACTATGAAACGATACATATCAAAATCTTAGTAATTTATTCCAAACATCAAGAATTCCATCAAATATCTTATAAATTAAAAATAAAATCAAAATATCCCAAAACGTCACTAAAAAACCCTCTACAAAAATATGCGACTCCTATCACGGCTATAAATGTGCAAGATAACTGCACACGGACAACTATGATGCTATGACACCTATTATCTTACACGCTTAATCAATCATATCTGTCCCTGTACGAGCTGTGTGTTGAAACTCTCTAATACCTAGTGCAAGCAGCAAAATTTATATAGCAATGTGTCAATCCTTGCCCTAACAAACAATCACAGCAAATAAATAACTAGCTATATATACTTTCCTTTAAAGTACTAAACCCCCAGGAGCATCACAATGTATTGATAACCAAATAAATGGGCTGCTTAGCACCTATTCTTCTTCATTGTTGTGGATCTATTGTAAGAGTATTTCTATGCATTGCCCTCCACAGCACTGTAGCAAATTATTGCTAGATATCAACTATGCTCTAGTATTACAATTGTTAAGTGTGTCCAGGACATTTACATAGACAAAATCCTTCAGGAAGATGTCTGAATTTCATAATTTACCAAGTCTAAACAATAACAGAGTGATAAAGAATTGCTCAGGTAACTGCACTTGGAGAAAAAGAAATTGCTATAAAAAAGCACTCTTTTTCTGCAAAACTTTGTTCAGTCAGGTCTGGTAGAAAGTTTCTCCCAACACACCCCCCCCCCCCCCAAGAGTGATAAAGGAATTGGCTCAGGTAACTGCACTTGGAAGAAAAAGAAATGCTATAAAAAAGCACTCTTTTGTCTGCAAAACTTTGTTCCAGTCAGGTACTGGGTAGAGAAGTTTCTCCCAACACACCCCCCCCGCCCCATTTCACGTTTTCTTCTTCCCACTGGTTGCTAGGCTTTCTTCCAACATTATTGACTCCAGAGGAATAGATAAAATCAAGACAAAAATTGCTATCGCCTTGGTATGAAGGTTTACACTGAGAACAGCAATGCTTTGTCCCCCCCCCCCCCCATTTCACGTTTTCTTCTTCCCACTGTGCTAGCTTTCTTCCACATTATTGACTCCAAGGACTAGATAAAATCACAGACAAAAATTCTATCCCCTTGTATGAAGGTTACACTAGAACAGCACATGCTTTGCTCGTACGTTGCATTTGCATGTGCATAGTGCACATTTCTTTCTGCACCTTGTTTTATGGTGTGTTGTGAGGAAATAAGATCAGAAACTTCAGTTTAATGCACAGATGAATCAGATTATGTCAGTCAAGGCCCGCAGATTAGAATAAGATTTCATCCAACTGTGATACTGCATGAACAGGAAAGAAACATTTCACTAGCAATTACTATTAATAGTGAGCTGGTTTAAGGAAAAAAAGAATACCTTTCCGTCCACCATAATGAGGAGCAGTATCCCAAAACTCATCACGCAGCTGCAGGAGTTGTGTCCTTGTAATTGGCTCAGAATGCTTCCAAGGTTTTGGTTTCCGGATTTTTTTCTTCGTCTGTTCTGCAGACACAGACAAGCAACAAATAAATTCACTAAAGTCAACTAAGTTTTAACAATTAGTAAAATCCAACACTAATGTAAAGCATTTAACTATAAAAAGCCAGAAGAGGCCATAAGCCATGTCAAAAGGAAACTTTCCAATGCATGATACAAACACATGTATACTTTGGAGGAAAAGAAATGTTGTGAACTTAGCAAATAAATCGAACCCTTTTAAATCATTAGCTTGCATCATGCCATGTCTGCCTAAGTTAATATCTAACTATGCACTTCCGGTGTTCTGACAGCATGTCAAGAACTTTCAAGTAATTGAGTTGTGTTGCTTCATTTCATGCAGATGCACACTGAGGAAATACCATTATGCAGGTGTGATAACTCAACAGGCACCGGTAGTTTCATATTAAGATTATGAATTGAGCTTGATTTTATGAAGTATTAAATTCGCATAAATCTCTCGTCTCCCAAACTTTACAAGGCATAAAAAAATATAATTAAAAATTCACAATCGCAATCAAAATCAGAAAAGTTGGAACCATTAATAGCCGGCCCAAATTAAACATCAACCCCAAATTATGGAAAAATGCTCAATCTTGAATAACTAAAATGCCATCTACAGAACTAAAAAAAGAATCAATTACCGCAACAGAATCATCAAATATCATAGACAAAAGATAAAGCAGATAGTAAAACAACACTTAAATGTCATATCAAGATTTGCAAACATCAAGAAACTCATATTTAGCTGCATACAAGAACTCGATTCAAAGAAAAGGAAAACAAAAAGAACCGGTTAAAGAATCAAAATGATAAAACTTTACCATCTCCTTTGGCCCGAGAGGATCCAGAACATCCCATTTCACAAAAGAAGCAGAGTCTTGAAAGTTGTAGATTGATTGATGGAAGCGAAAAGAAAAAAAAAATGGAAAAAGAAGAAAGATGCAGAAGAAGATAAGTAGCAGTGATGTAATGGTTGCTGGGCTAGGTACTTTGTTTTGTGGGTGTTTCTTTCACTTTCTTTATTGTAAAAAGAAAGCTGTTGTTTTAGGCCATTGGACCTAAAAGCCAGGAACAGAGGTACAAGGCCAAGTAATACCTGGGATCCATCCAACTAAAAATGTTGTTGTTGCTGCTGCTGTGAAGAAGAAACTTTGTATGGGAGAGTAGGAGTCCACTTTCAGGTCCCTATCAAATTCATCATTCATCTCTCGGTCTGCCCTCCTTTGTGAAGCTGTCTACTTGGGGTCCATCATCCTTATCCTCCATTTTTTTTTTCTTTTCTCTTTCTTCCACGTGAGGCTTTTGTGGTAGTTTCTGTTTAGGTGTCCATTTGGCACAAAGTGCGGTGGCTATGTCCATGATATATATGCGTATATATATATATGGAAAATACTAAGAGTAGGCAAGTATTCTCCTTTATAAGAAGGCAAATAGCACCATCAGCGTGAATTATTTGACTGCTCTGCAAGGGAAATTTCATGGAGAATGGTTCTTTATATATAAAAACGAAAATCTTCAATTATCAATTCAGGAAAGAACAGTTGATTATAAGAAAAAGAAAAGGAAAAATATTTGAGAGAATATTAAAGGTTTAACTCAGACATGTTAGGGTATAATCATTCTTGAGATAGATATCATTTTTACTTTTTACCTCAAATCCATTGAATACAACCCTAGATTTCCATTATTAAACCAAACAAAGCATCTCATATATTTTGCTAGTGAAAGGTCAAGAAGAACGAGTGACAGAAGCTATCCTCTGATAAAGGCAACAAAGTTATCAGCCATGATCGGGTAAATTTTAAGTCCATGGATGAAAGTTATTATATGTAATTAAAGAAAATTTAATAATTAAAGCCTTGACTGACTACCAAATTTCTTTAAACATTTCGGAAAAAACCGTTATTCGTAGGATTAACTGACATGAATCCAGATTAATAGTAAGCTTTGGATATCCAACAATTAAAAATTAATTATAGTCTATTTGATCTGTTGTTAATATACTGATGAGTTCAAGTTATAAAGTTATTTCAAAAATTAAATCTTTTGACCAATAAGATAATTTTTACATTATAAATCAATGCGTTTCTTATGCTTTTGAATCATTATTAACGAATTTCTGCTTATCTTTTAAATTATAGAATAATTCATAAATTTTTGAGGAAGTCGATAAAACAGGGTTGAAGGTCTGCTTCCAAAGGATGATAATCCTATTTCACAAGATGACAAGATGGACATCCTAGTCCTACGGATGCTTCAAGTTTAATAAAGTGGATCATGAGGCGCATGATAAAATCCCACCTCTTGCCAAATTGGTAAAAGCTAAACAATAAATTATATTGAAAAAAATACTGTCATTCTAAAGTTAAAAAATTAACTATAACGTTTTTAATTTATAATTTTTGACACTGTTAAAATTTAAAGAGATGTAAATATAAATTAAAAATATTACAGTTATACTTAAAAAAAATATTACAGTTATTTCTTAAATAAAAAATGTAAATATTAATATAAATGTAGTTTAAGGACACGGCTATGTTTTAGCCTTAGGCAAAAAGCCGTTTCCAAATGTCACCTCAGCTTCTCTCACAGGACATCCATTTCATTTTTTCACACTTTCACGACAATTAAATTACTAAATAAAAAAAAAACAAAAACAAAAACAAAAACAAATCGCTTCCATTTCAATTCAATTTTCTGCGCTCTCGGCTTCAAATTCTATCATCTCTTTCTTTCTTTCTTTCTGATATCTAATAAACCTACTAACCAGGGAACCAAAATATAGCCTCCACCATGAATATCTTCAGATTCCTCGGGGATATGACTCATTTGATCAGTATTCTAATTCTGCTTCTCAAAATCTACGCAACCAAATCTTGCTCAGGTAACAACCACCGTTTGCCGCCGCTACTACCGGCGCCCCTTCTTTTCTCAATTGACTGATAATTTTTAAGAAACTAGTAGAAAATGAGAGAGAATTTTCGAATTGCATGTCGGTCCCTTTTTTCCCTTTTTAAATTTCATTTTCTTATTTAGTATGTTTTTCGTTTTATTTTGAAACAACAAAATCGGGTTGAGGAAATGTTTTTGCTATTCTAATTTCTAAATTGATTGTAATTTTGATTTACTAATTTTTTTTTGAAAAAATTAGGGATTTCCTTGAAGACGCAGGAGCTGTACGCCCTGGTGTTTTTGGCGCGGTACTTGGATCTGTTCACGGACTTTATATCCGTTTACAATTCTGTAATGAAGGTGGTGTTCATTGTGAGCTCACTTGCAATTGTATGGTGTATGAGGAGGCATCGTGTTGTGAGACGTTCTTATGACAAAGAACTGGACACATTTCGTCATTACTTCCTTATCGCTGCATGCTTTGTGTTGGCTTTATTCGTACACGAGAAGTTCACATTTAGAGAGGTGACCTTTCTTCAACTTTACCTTGTAATTGCAGATTGTTTTTGAGTAGGAGTCAGGTAATGTAGTGATGAAACGTGATTATTGTTTGATTGCATTACTACCTAATTGTGAATTAACACCTTAATTTCAATTTCAAAGCTCATCAATTATCAATGCATTTATGGCTGTCGCACATGCAATTGCATTGCTTTGCCTTGATAAGAAAAAAATGGGTATAATGATATTAGCTTCCTCTCAGTTTCACCATCAGCAGCGAAAGATGCTATTATAGTTTGCAGCACATACTATTTTCTTTTACATGCAATTTATAGCAGTGGGGTTTCAGTACGTTCTTACTCTCTGCTGCACTCTCAAATCACTTCTATCACTTCCTTTACATTTCATATAACTTGTTGCAGATCTTTTGGGCATTCTCAATATACTTGGAGGCGGTAGCAATTCTTCCTCAGTTAGTATTACTTCAACGAAGTGGGAATGTGGATAATTTGACAGGGCAATATGTTTTCTTTCTCGGGTATGTATCTTGCTTAATCTCTGGCATAACAGCCAGGGACTCAAAAATATTTGTATTATATGAATGCATATTATTGGAGTTAATGATGCACTAAATCCTTTTTGCTCTTAGGAGTCTGAACTATCTGTGATGTGATGTAATTTACTATCTGTCACCTAAGCTCCATGAAAATAAAATGATATTGCGTCGGTGGCCATTCATGCAGCTTTTTGTTTCTAGCCTTGAAACACTAATCTTATCGTTTGTCATTGTTGCTGATAAACCATGAAACATTCCATCTAGCAACGAAGAACCTTGAATATATTTTGGTCTAATACAGAATCTTCCTTTCATTATTCAATATTAAAATTTCATGAATTGTGACTGATTTAGCATCAGAATTTGCATTAACAGGCATGCATAAACATGTTCAGACCTCCATATGTAAATCACGCGTACCTGCAATCTATGGTTAAAATATCTTCCTCATCTTGATTGTCATTACATCTTGGAACATAAGATTTATTTGAGTCCTTCCTTTCCTTTCCCTCTTTTTTGATATCAGCAAATGTCCTCCTATGAATTAAATTTAACAGAGATTTCATTTGCTTTCCCATAGTGCATAGATGAATTCTTCATCAGGTACTTGGAATTGGTAACATTGGAAGATTTTGCAAGAGCCTATTCACTGTGACATTCTTTTTGTTTTACAAATAGCTTTTCTCTTCATGGTGCTCCTTAGCTTGTGGACAATCAGTTAGTTGAACTCTACTTGATGAAAAGAATATATATTGAAAGTGTGGCTGGAGAGGACCTCCTTGCTTTGCACACAGCAGGGGGAGTGAAAATTTCTTTTCTTTTTGATAATTTTCTGGGTATTTTAATAGTCACTCTGCATGATGTTCACGTCCTTAGAGATATGTGCTTTGCAAAAATATCTTTGGAAAGCCAGTAATTAAGGGATTTGAATGTTAGTTTAGAGCTAAACGATTCTGTAAGACATACCTGAATCTGAATTTCCTTAACATGCATGTGCCTACTTCTCTTTCCGCTTGTTCTGATTTTGCAATGTACTAAGCAATATTTTGTTGAATATGCAGTGCTTATCGCGCTTTCTACATCCTCAACTGGATTTACCGCTACTTTTCAGAGACGCATTTCAGTCGATGGATATGTAAGCTTATTAGATTAGATTTAAAATAAGACTTTTTGGCAGAATTTTTGCAGTGGACTGATCTGATCTTACTTCCATCTTTGCTTTTGGTTATTTCAGCTTGCGTATCTGGTATTGTCCAGACAGCTCTCTACGCAGATTTCTTTTACTACTACTTTATTAGGTGCTAAAACCCTCACATCTATATTTCTCCATATCTCTCTTTCTCTCTCCTATTAATAATTTATAAAGTAAGTTTCTTTTTTTCTTTCCCCCTGCAGCTGGAAAAACAATGCAAAGCTTCAGCTGCCAGCTTGAGCCAGATGTCAGTGTTTTGAGGTTTCAAACTTCACAAACTGAATCACTGCTTAGTTTTTGTAAGGGTGGTTGGTATGCCATTTGTGCCAGTTGAGTTTGTATGGCACAGAGAGGTTATGTTACAGTAGTTTTTGGGGGTTGGGATGGATTCCCTTGTGTAAACGTTGATGAGGTTGGTGGTGGGTTCATTGGAGTTGCCCATCTCACAGACTTTTAGATTAGATCAAATACCCATGTTGATTTAAGGTGCTAATTTTTACAATACCAGCAGCCTTCTGTTAAATTTGTGTCAAGATGCTATTTGGAAGGGCCAAATTCAGATTTGACTAACTACACAGCTAGATCCAATGTAGATACAGTTAACTAAGTCGTATTTGTTTGCAGAATAGTTAGTTGCATTTCTGGTTTTGCAAACTATTTTCATTTTCCCTTTTTGAATGCTTCATTAATAAAGAGTTCGGATTTTAGCCATTTAGTGCAACATTTGAGACATTGTTGAAAGAAGCATAAATCTTGCAAGTTGCAACCTTTTGAGATCATGACACCTTGTACCTGCTTGTCAACGACGTTTGTAGTTCCTTTGGTAATTGGTATTTTTGCTGTTGACAAATAAATATAAGATGTTTTAAAGAGGATCTTTTGTACATAAATATTGAGAATATCTAGAAATAATTAATAAATTTTTAAAATTTTATCCTTATCCTTATTTATAGTAAATACAATTGGTGAGATTATGTAACAATAGAGATAAAACGGTAATTTAGTTAAATGAATGAATATTTTGTTCTAATCTAAGAAAAATAGTTAAACCACTTGTATTTGGAAGGGAGCATTGAAATTGCTTTGTTATGAGTATTTTATTTGTTCTATAATTACTTTGTTAATTAAATTAGGTACTTTTCACGACATTACCGAATACCTATACATCAAATTTGAACCGAAAATGACGCCCGTTAGCGCTATCTATCCACTTCACCTTAAAAATTATTTAACAAGGTCCTACTTTTGGCGGGCCCCATCTTGTAATAGTCCAAATCTCAGTTGAGCAAACACGTGAAAAGTGCGTAATGAAAACTCTTTAACGGCCCAAGCCCATCCGTCCTCTGTGTACTAAGATAACATACGTGGCACCACTCCATTGGCTGAATTACCGTGGCAGGCACCTCGATTCTACGACACGACACCACGATGGCACAAAATATGAGCTAAAATTGCAAAATAAGATCATTTTAGCCTTTTCCGTTGACGCCTGCAAGGGGGGATTTCGATCTATCCGCCCTCATTATAAAATTTCAGATTCTAGTTTCTCCTCATTCTAACCCTAATTCCTCACATCTCAACAGAGTTGTAAGTTTCATCATTATCGTTCTCCCTTTTTTACGGTACCTGCTTTGGGATTGTCGCTCTCAGTTTTTCATGTTTGTTTCCTAGGAAAATGTAGATAATTAGTTCTCTGTTGTGATTCATTGTATTTCTTTTAACGTTATGTAGATCTCGGTCTTGTTCTTTTTCAATTTTGCATCGATCGAGTTAGATTGGCGTCATATTTGCTTCTTAAAAATAAGATTAGGAGAATGCAATACTTGTATTTGCTTTCAAGTTTGTTTTTTTTTGGCTTGCAAATTTGATGCTAATGCTTTTACAAATGTTGTAATCAGACGGGTTCGATTTGAATAATCGAGATGGGAGGAGGATTCAGAGTGCTGCATTTGGTTAGACCGTTCCTTTCCTTTCTGCCTGAAGTTCAAAGTGCTGATCGAAAGGTTCCTTTTAGAGAGAAGGTCATATATACTGTCATTTCTCTCTTCATCTTTCTTGTGTGCAGTCAGCTACCACTTTATGGCATTCACTCCACCACCGGGGCTGATCCATTTTATTGGATGCGTGTTATTCTTGCTTCAAATCGTGGGACTGTCATGGAGCTTGGGATTACTCCAATTGTGACTTCCGGACTTGTGATGCAATTGTTGGCTGGATCAAAGATCATTGAAGTGGACAATAGTGTTCGAGAGGATCGTGCACTACTGTAAGTGATGCAATTGTAATTGATTACTTCCAAGATCGTGCTCTCAAATAAGTCCAGTCAGTCAGAAACTTTTTGATTTATTGTATTGTATACATTAGCAGTTACATTTCTAGTTTCAGCTGAAATTTGCGTGTCTGACGTGTTTTGGTTATCTGTTCCCTTGTATGCTAATCTCCTTTGGACCATGTTTGCAGAAACGGAGCCCAAAAGTTATTGGGCATTCTGATAGCTGTTGGCGAGGCTGTTGCTTATGTGCTATCTGGGATGTATGGTAGTGTTAGTCAGCTAGGTGTTGGAAATGCTATACTTATTATCATCCAACTCTGTTTTGCTGGTATTATTGTGATATGTCTTGATGAGCTTCTCCAGAAAGGATATGGTCTTGGCTCTGGAATCTCGCTTTTTATCGCCACAAATATTTGGTAGGCTACGAACCCTTTTGTCCCTTGTCTATTACAAGCGTAAAGTTTTTGTAGAGTGTCGCTTGTGTCCATTTTTTTCTGTTGTAATTTTTTTCCTGGTGTCCGTGCAGTGAAAACATTATATGGAAAGCATTTAGCCCCACTACTATTAACAGTGGCCGTGGTGCTGAATTTGAAGGTGCTGTTATTGCTTTGTTCCACCTGATGATCACTAGGTCAGACAAGATCCGTGGCCTTAGGGAGGCTTTCTATCGGCAGAACCTTCCAAATGTTACCAATTTACTTGCCACAGTCTTAATCTTCCTTATTGTCATCTATTTCCAAGGTTTCCGTGTGGTTTTGCCTGTGAGGTCAAAGAATGCCCGTGGACAACAGGGCTCGTATCCCATTAAGCTTTTCTATACCTCTAATATGCCAATTATTCTCCAATCTGCACTTGTTTCCAATCTTTATTTCATCTCTCAGGTATGCGTTGTTTGTAATGTTGGTTATAAAGCTTATTTTAATTGTTGAGAAGAGTGTAACACTCTGCTGCTATACAGTTGCTGTACAGGAGGTACAGTGGAAATTTCTTTGTCAATCTGTTGGGAAAATGGAAGGAATCTGAATATTCAGGTGGCCAGTTTATTCCAGTTGGTGGTCTGGCTTACTACGTCACTGCACCAGCAAGGTGAAGCGGCATCTGTTTCTTACTATTTTTTTCATTTATAGTATTACATTTGTATTGGTGTGTATGTTTCGGTAGTTGCTGTCTTTCTCTGATTCCTTGTCATCTATCAATTTCAATTTAATGCAGCCTGGCAGATATGACAGCCAATCCCTTCCATGCTTTGTTCTATTTGATCTTTATGCTTTCAGCCTGTGCTCTCTTCTCAAAGACTTGGATAGAAGTGTCAGGGTCTTCTGCACGAGATGTGGCTAAGCAGCTTAAGGTATATTAACAATCGAAAGAGTTCCATTATTTTAATTCTTACATACGTCAGCTTAAATAGTTTTCTAGTTTAGGTACACATTGTTTTTTTGTTGCTTATAGTCATGAAACTTGCTTCGTACAGTATAAACCCAGAGGAGCATCAGATGTAGATGCTGCTCTGGTCTTTTAAATCTTGATTTATTTCAAGTCAATCCTGGATAACTAGCTTATTTAATTTAAAGAGTTCGTTTTCCACCATGTATATATTTTTGTTGAAAAAAGTGGCTGTTTGTGTTGGTTCTGCAGGAACAACAAATGGTCATGCCAGGACACCGTGATTCAAATCTACAGAAGGAATTGAATCGCTACATACCAACAGCAGCTGCCTTTGGAGGAATGTGCATTGGTGCATTGACAGTTTTGGCAGATTTCATGGGAGCAATTGGTTCAGGAACAGGAATATTACTTGCCGTTACCATTATATATCAGTACTTTGAGACTTTTGAGAAAGAAAGAGCCAGTGAACTTGGCTTCTTTGGCTTCTAAATCCAAAGGTTCCTTAACTGTGTTAGAGTAAGTGAAAGATACAAAGGAGTTACTGCTACGCTAACAAAAGCACCCTTTGGAATGGAGATCCCTACTTAGTGACTTCAATGTTTCACTTAATTTCATGTAGACCTTTGTATGTTAGACAAATGAGCAGGCAAATGAATGAGATTTTTTCGTTGAGATACTGATTTGGATTCCTTCTTTTTATAATTTTCTGTTTGATGTCCAAGTTTATGGCTGTTGATGATTCGAAGTACAGCTGCGAGAGAACCCATGCAAGGTCAATGGCATTGTGAATTATTGCACTAGCATATTCCTATCCGAGCTCCTTCACTTCTTTCCCAGCTCCATTTCTGTCTGCTGTTTGTGTTGCCACTTGTTGCTTAACAAGGTGGTTTGCATGTTTATACTCAGTAAGGTTGCCATGACTGAATTTCCAGGTGATGGATCATAGGGTCTTTTTGGTTTGGCTATTTGAAAATAAGTAAAAATTAACTTATATCTATCAAAATTATCAAAAGGGAGCATTAAGGTCAGATTTTACATACGAATTGAACTGAAACACATGCACAGCAGTTCAAGTAATAAAATGATCATACAGCATGAAGACGGGATATCACATTTGCGTCCTTTTCCTAGGGCACTTTTTATATGATATAAACAACTGTAACTAGCTCGCCAAATAATTAGTAGAAGAACTATTTGAAAGGATTCAATATTCAAGTCATCCTAACACGAAGCAAAAGGGAACTACCTGAAATGTGGACAGACTGTTAACTAACCAGGTGTCAGAATGGCATGACACCGTCTAGGTTTATCAGGTGGTGTCCGTGGTGCTTGAGAAGGAGTATTAGTTGAAAATGATTGGTAATTAAAGAGTCGTCTTGAGGCATTGAGGAATCGGTTAAGGTTTTGTGCGATTTTACGATCTCGAATTGCTCCAAGATGCCATTGCTGTGCTCTTCAATTGCAGAGCAGCTAAAGCGCGCATATGTAAGATAATCAATGGACGGTAAAAAGGAAAAATATAACTATTGTATTCCTAAAACGTCCGGTCGTTTGATGATCACGTGCCTGTGAAGAAACTGGCACTGTCGCGTACGTCAGTTCAAGTGCAAGTGCTGAAGTGCCTAGACATAACAAAGTCGTTTTTGAAGAGGGCCGATGCCTGGCGCCTGATAACGCTATCATCCTTTGGTTGAACGACAGCGTATTGGGTCTGGCTGTTAGTCTATTTTGTGGCCAAAGAAATTCCTCTCTGTTGCAGTGTAACTCGGACCATGCTTGATGCTTCAGTCCAATATAATATACAATAGATTACCAAAACAGAACTGTCAGTAGTCCAGAAAAACCACATCGTTTCTTAAAAACTGGATCCCTATCCATCCAGCAAAACGACCAGGCCCAAGTCTCCAGACGACCCTTCTTTTGTCGAATCAACGATTAAAAAACAATTTTGTTTCTGTTTTTGAAGATCAACTTGGAAATTGAGTAAATAACATCCTGAAAAATGAAAATCCATTATATATATATATATATATATAAAAGAAACAAATAAGTCAAAATTGTAACCAAGGGTGAAAATAGATTTAAAAAATATAATATTTTTTATTCACTTAGAAGTTAAACAATATGATAGGCTTTACAATAAGGGATGATCTCTTTAACCAACCACCACTACCGCCGGTTTTCATAATTTATAACTTTTTTTTTTGCATTCTTTTCATATTTAAAAATAAAATTTCCAAATTATAAAATTTTTATTATTATTAATAGTTTCTGGAGTCTTATGAGATAAAGACTTTAACATTTTTAATTAGTTTTTAATATTATAACCAAACAACGGAAAGTAAGTCATATAGAAAATATTTTTGAAAGAAAATATTTTCTATAAAAATATTTTTCAGCAAATTATTTTTCTGCAAGTTATTTTACAGAAATAAAACGGAGCGTTTGTTGGTAGTGTTCGGTGTTTATTGGCTGATTACGGTGGGCGCAGTATTTCTTTTCCTAGATGGATGTGATCTAAACCTTTATTCCTTATGTTTCTCTATAACATGAACACCAACCAGCTGGGATATTGTACTAGGACTTTTTAGAGTTTACTACTTTTTAAAGAATAGTAATTAATACAAAAACAGAATACTAAAAATAAATTTTATTCCTGAATTTGTCCTGTAAGTTTAAGCTTTTTCGTTATTAAATAGCTAGTTTCTTGTAGAATCTTTATTTTCACTTTTTTTTTCTTTTGAATTTGATTTACTTATATATTTCATCTACATGGTTTTTCTTGTAGGAGAAAACGTGGTCTCCTTTAGGAGTTAGGTTTGAGTTACACATCATTGAATCATTGGTATATATATGTCAAACTTTTGTCATCTATAGCAGTGCAAAATTTTTCAGGGTACAAAATTAGGCCATTATAGAGACACCCTCTGAGTAGGGTCCAATTTGAAAGCAAGTCAGACATATACATTTCCCATCATAGCCGTTGGATTCCATTATCCATGATTAGACCTTTGTGCTTGCCAAAGCTGAAAAAGCTGGTGTAGCACCATTAAGAAGTAGATAGCCATAGCCAGTGAGAATCAAAGATTGGTCCATTGAAATTAAGAGTGTAGTACATATACATATAGTCCTCTCATGTATATATCAAGTTTGTATCACTATAAATGGCCCTGGTGTTCTTTAAAGGGTGGATTCATTGTTTAAGTCTCCACAGTAAGTCCCACTTGGGCCTTTGGATACTGTATTTTCCGTAAGTTGGTAGTTCCACTTTCATAATTTTGGGCTGTGGTCTGGCTACTAATAATAATATGCACCTTAGTGTTTTCTTCATGAAAGAGATCAGCCTTTATTTCTCTGCTTTTGGTCATTGTTATCCAAGAAAAGCAAAAGTGTTAAAGGTTCGTCATAAGCCGACAGTTCTTTGCCCTAACGCAGTAATGCTCCTACCCTTTTCTTCTTTTCAGAGAAAATAAAATTGCAGTTGTATCTCAGCTTATTCAACGTAACGCAATTAGATTTCAAGATTAGAACTATTAAACAGAAAACTAGCGATAGGTTTAGAGTCTTTTTCTGAAACTGAAACGTTGTGAATTTGTTATTAACATACGAGACTAACCTTATTTCAGAAGTTACAATATCACTCAGAGCCATTTCTTATACTTATAGACAATCATCAATACAAAACATTTCATTTACGTTATCTGGTTGTTACACAAAGTGATGATGAGCTATAAGAATATATATATATATTTGCATTTCGTAGAAGGCATGCATGCAGGAACTTTCTATCACTGTTATCCCAAAGGCAAGTGCTATGCTATGTATTTAAACAACATAATTATTTTATGAGCAATAATACATTATAATTTGCCTTACCTTACATATAATCATGAAAAGAAATGCTACTCATTTGAGTTTCTTGCCATTAAAGCCTAGTTCGTAGTAAATATAACGAATAGAGTTACCAACACGGCTTCTTTCTTTATTCTCCATTCTATTCAAGTAATTAGGACAAATGTTCAATGTTTTTGTAATATATTATATATTGCCTGGGTATATATGTAAATATTTTCTTTTTGAAACGATGATATTTTCTACTATGCACTAAAAAAAAATTCAAAATAAATAAATTTATCAAGTCTTTTATCGTTAATTATAAATTATAAAGTATGATCCGTTTAGGAGTCACATCAGATGCTGCACTTGAGAATGATTAAACAACCTTAAAATGCATTTATTTATGTCTTATTGTCTGCGAAATGATGTTAAGCAGCGCACACCATAGATAAATACTAATTGATGCTCATAAAACATGAGAATTTTAAATTATGATAGCTCTAACGTACGACCATCTTATTATTCTTGATATTGAGTATTTAACTATTTGTCCAATAAATATATATATTTGTATATTTTAGCTAACCATCTTCAACCTAGCTTATAATCTAGACTAGGACCCATGATTAAGAGTGGGACTACAACGAAATCAATCTTGTCCCCATTAATGGATTACAAATTTCAAAGGGTTTCTATCTAAAACAGCTATTTATGAATTAATTGAAGCAAATTTGATAGCCCTTCATTGACTTTTTAGTAGAATTTCATATCTAAATTTAAAGAAATTATTTACTTTTGCCTATTCATTATTTATAACCTTAAATTCCAAGAAAGTATTATTGAATTATTATATTTTGAATGATAATAAACATTTCCCAGAAATTGTGATAATAAATAGTAAAGTTTAAGGTGAAATTTTGTTATACGAAAGATCAATTCTTTTATACATGTATAAATATTTAATGATGTATCGTTGAATTAACCGTTCAGCAAAAAATTAAACTAATTGTAAGAATGTATTTTAAATTGATTGGTTGCTGAACGTGTAAAACAAAGTCCATTAAATTTATAAATAAATAAGAGAAATAATTGCTGACAGTATTATATGCTAGCTGTTTATTTTATTTTACTTTGTCTTGGGGTCGTGGTTGTAGACATGGATGGATGAGAGGCTTTGTCCCAATGTCACGGATTTCAAAACAATATTTCCTCACCGCCTGCTTTCGGCCATGTCTTTTCTCGCACTAATTTCTTCTCTCCACTGGACCACTGCCAATATTATATATGTGAAACAAAATTTATACATGCATCTCTTCTAAAACAATTTCATTTTTTATTTTTTTATTTATATTTTAGTAAAAATGGTCAAAGGGATTGGATACCCAATATGCAAATTAGTAAAAGATTTTAACTTTGTTTGTAAATATTTTTTCACAGTCAAAAACACAATTTTTATTCCTATTGTCAAAATTTGTTATCGAGTCCAACGAAATTTCCATCTTCTTTCCTTTTTTTAATAAATTTCCAGATACTCAATGTCCCTGAAACTATACACAACAACAGTTTACAAAAATTAAAATACTGTTTCTGTCAGTGAATTTAATATTTTCATAAGAAAGGCAAGACATTGTGAATCACATTCTTAATGAGTTTAGCTGTACGTGTTTCCTTCATTCTTTAATATCCGTACAATCATGCATAATTATAAATTTTAATTTTTTTTTACTTTTTCAGCATTTATTATTGTTATTATTACATTGAAATAAATAAATAAATAATTATTTTTCCTTAGTTGTAAGGAATCTCTTAATCTCTGCATAAGATTTATCTTTAACCAAATCAGAAAAATAATTTTCAGACTATGCTTGAAAATTGGCCAATATTTTTTTTAAAAAAATAAATCTAAACTGACATGTAACCTGGAATTTTTTTTTTTATTTTTTTTTAAAAAGGTCAAAATACAGCAAGAGGATTAACTATTTCTTGCTTTCTTGATACTGAAGCATGATATTACCTTAATTACCCCAATAATGATAGCTTGAAGATGCTTATAAAAGGTTTAGCATGTGTGTGCTTGAATACCCTTCTCTTTCTCTTTTCTTTTTTTTCCCATAAAAAATGAATAGAAAAAAAATAGAAATTGGACTCTTAAGTTTCCAAATTGAACATGATAAATAAATAATCGAGGACTCATGGCGCGTTGAGCCTCTAATGAATTAAAAAATATATAAAATCTGAGGTGTTCAGATGTTTTATTATTTTATAAGTAAAATTTGCTTAGAAATTCACGTTAGGAATGACATAAATGTGATGGTAAAAAAATGTCCAAAAGGTAAATATAAACATTCTAACAAAGGAATTACGAGCCTCGACGAAGGAATATGCCAATAGCATAAAATTAGATTTACGTTCATCAGAGACCAATTTGCGTCACAGCTCAATTCTAGCAGCAGATTCACTTGATGACGACGCTGCTATGAATGGCCCACTAAAGATTCCAAATATGACATGTCACTTGACTTCTTCTGCGTGGCCATTGACTGTGATGCTTAGGATCACGCTGTACTGTGGTCTGCCCCACCGACATGTCCTATCTCCTATAAGTGTTATTGTTTTTAATTTTGTATCCATAATATTTGATATAGGCCCGCAAATTTCCTGGAAATTTTCGTGTTTGCCACTAAAATTATATGAATGCGATGGTCGTTAACCATGTAGCCAAATATTCAAACAACCCACTCAGCATTTATGGGGGGCTCTAAGTTAGTGGGGTCCTGGATTAGATTATCTAAATCCACCATTAGACTTGAATCATCTTATATTAAGAATTAAATCAGGCTTGAAAATTTAGTTATAATTATTACCAAGAAATAGATTAACTCACTAATTTTAAATCTTTTTAATAAAAAACAGTCAGAACAGAAATACAACACTTTCTTTTATTAATTTATTCTTATACTTTTTCTATTTCCCTCTGAATTAGAAAAACAAATTAAGTTGTCATTTTCTTTCTTTTTTTTTTTTTTCCTCCATCCAAACACAGTGGAAAGAATATATAGGATTAGGACATCAGTTATATTTATGCACATAGACCTAAAAATCTTACGTCCAAGAAATGGAAAAGAAACAAAAATTATTTAATTTTATTTGTTTATTCCACCGTCTTAAATGGAAAAAGAATGAAAAAACTATATTCTTCTTTTTTCTTTTCCCGCGCTTTAAATCCAACTTTTTTTTAATCCATTTTTTATTTTCATCTCTCTTCTTTAGCTCGCCTCCATCTCCGGCCCCAATTTGTTAGTCAAAGTTTGTCCATACGCTAAATTATATGGAATGCGCATTGGTCGAACCCATGTAATGCCAAAATATTTCAAACAACCTCCCCTCAGTCAATTTTATGGGGTGCTCTAAGTTTATTTGGGGGTCTCTGGGATGTCGATTTATCCTAAACTCCCAACATTAGACTTGGAATCATCATTATATTCAAGAAGTTTTATGCTTTTGAAATTTAGTTTCTATTATATTTTTCGACCTCAAGGAAAATAGATTAACTCACTAATTATTAAATCTCTTTTATGATAAAAGAAGCATGAGTCGAACACACAACTACAACACTCTCTCTTATTATTAATTATTCTTATTACTTTTATTCTAATTTCCCTCTGACTAGAAAAACACAATTAGTTTGTTCATTTTCTTCTTTTTTTTTTTTATTACCCCTCCTAATACATCCAGTATGGATACTAACCTAGTGATATAATATTTATATGTATCTAGATCCCATTATGACGATATCAGTGTGCCTATTTAATCTCTGCACCGTTGAGTCACTATATATATCCTTTAAAAAGAACATATTTGCGCAAAAGAAAAACAAGATGAAATTTATTTAATCTTATTTAGTTGGATAATTCCCTACCTCCTTAAATGCGATAAAAAGAAGTGGAAAATCAGAGCTACTAATCATATTGTTCTATATTATATATAACTTTTACCCACGCTTTAATATCCAACTTTTTTTTAATTCCCATTTTTTATTATTCCATTCTGCCTCTTCTTTGTAGACTCATGCCCACTCCTCAACCGGCACCCCAATGTTGAGTGTACGCCAATCGCGCCGACACTCAACACGTTTTTTGTGTTGTTACTCTTTTACATACATAAACAGTCACTATATCCATCTACCACACCTAATAAAACAAATCTCTTCTTTTCTATACCTTGAACTCGACTGTGATCATCCATCTCAAATATCTACAGTGAAATTTTATTCCATTATATTTTTTGTGATACCGAAACCACCCCCATCATCTTCAGTGAGATAAATTCCTTTTTGCCAATATTGGAGACCGGATCAAATTGTTAAATCCAATTTTCCTCTTTGACAAACAATCACACAGTAGGCAAAATCAATATGCATAATGAACAATTTATCAAAAAGAGTGTTAGCAATTTTTCTCAAGACATGCTTAATAGCTTTCTTATCGCAAATTTAATATGGGAATCTCTCCAATATCACAGCGAGCCTTCATAGCTCACCCGCAAATAGAGGACAAATGTCGATCAGGATGATCCAAACCGTATTGTTTCACTACATAGATAACCCATAATAATATGTTCTAAAAGATATGATGCTTTAAAGCCAAACGCAAAACGCTCTTTATACTCGTACTGGGTAGTACTTGACGCGATTAGTTGCAAAATAAACAATATTTGGCAAGCCATCCCACCGAGTGTAATAGAAGCTTACCCTGAGTTATTACAAAATGTGCTCAAAAAACCTTCTTATCGAGTAGCGATTATGCTGATTATCAAGCACGACAGAACATAGCAGTTTGTGGAAGATAGCTAAAACTATTCTTCTATGAACTTAAGCGAAGCTTCGATTTAAGAATGATTTCTTGATTCATCTTTCTCCACAAGTGACTTATTATACTTGCAGATATTCCAAGAAACAACTCAAAGCTTTACAGATATAGTAAATACTTTATGTGAAGAATCTATCTATTCAGGAATGGTCAAGCCGTGAACTAAGGTTGATAATGAGTGCGAGAGAGCACTGTATCGAACCCGTTGATTCGCCTTAAGGAAAACTCCAGATCACTTGTCGAGATCTATTAGCTTGTTTTAAAACAAGTCTTTAGAGAAAAAACTAAATAGACGAGTGAGCCTTTTCTATATCATATGTTTTGATAATATTGAGTTGTCTGATTTTATAAAGCAACATTCTCGCATTTTGGTCAAATTCTTGTGCATTTCGTGTTTTTTAAGAGTCTGTTTAAGAAAAGTTTTCTTTTTTCTTTTCCCGCGCTTTAAATCCAACTTTTTTTTAATCCATTTTTTATTTTCATCTCTCTTCTTTAGCTCGCCTCCATCTCCGGCCCCAATTTGTTAGTCAAAGTTTGTGTCTGCTTTTTTGTTTTTCTAATCACATAACAGTCACTTTCTACCCAAAATCTCTTCTTTCTTAAAACCTCTTAACACAAAAATCACTGAATTTTCCTTTTTTTTTTGTGACCGAAACCAAACCCATCATCTAAAAATTCTTCCAATGGAGACGATCAAATGTAAATCAATCCCTGGAAACAAGAGCAAAATAGCAAGAAAATTTCAAAAAGTGATAAATCTCAAGACTGCAACAAGAATTGCTTCCAATAATGGAATTGGGATTTGCATGCTCACACCGCAAAACAAATTTGATCGAGATGATCCAACCTTGTTCTACAAAACCCATAATAATAGTTCTAAAGATGATGCTAAAGCCAAACGCAAAGCAGTACTTGACGCATTAGTTGCAAAACTATTTGCAGCCATCACCACCATTAAAGCAGCTTACGCTGAGTTACAAATGGCTCAAAACCCTTATAGTAGCGATGCTATACAAGCAGCAGATCAAGCAGTTGTGGAAGAGCTAAAACTTCTTTCAGAACTTAAGCGAAGCTTCTTTAAGAATGATCTTGATCATCTTTCTCCACAAGTGACTATTATGCTTGCAGAGATTCAAGAACAACAAAGCTTAATGAAAACTTATGAGATCACTATCAGGAAAATGGAAGCGGAATCTAAGGTTAAAGATTCAGACGTTGATTCGCTTAAGAAACAACTTGTCGAGTCTATTGCTTTTAACAAGTCTTTAGAGAAAAAACTAAATGCGAGTGGGCCTTTATCAATGTTTGATAATATTGAGTTGTCTGTTTTAAACACATCTCATTTTGTTCAATTCTTGCATTCTGTTTTAAGAGCTGTAAGAAGTTTTGTCAAGTTGATGGTTCGCGAAATGGAAGCAGCGCACTGGGATATTGAAGCAGCTTCAAAAGCAATCGAGCCTGATTCCGTTTTTGCCAAGCCAACTCACCGTTGCTTTGTTTTTGAATCTTTTGTGACCAAAACTATGTTTGAGGGTTTTAATTTCCCAAATTTTATGCTACCAAATGAATCTCCACCGCAAATGGAGAAAAACCAAGAATATTACTTCCACAAGTTCAAAAAGCTAAAATCTTTGAACCCAAAGCACTACCTGACCCAAAATCCTACCTCTTCCTTTGCAAGATTTACAAGGGCTAAATATCTCCAACTTGTTCATGCGAAAATGGAATGCTCTCTGTTTGGGAACTTGAACCAGAGAAAGATAGTGAATTCCGGTGGATTTCCAGATTCTGCTTTCTTTATGGCTTTTGTTGAGATGGCCAGGCGAGTTTGGTGTTTGAATCTTTTAGCCTTCTCATTTGGAGAAAATGTTAGCATTTTTCAGGTGAGCAAGAATTCAAGATTTTCTGAGGTTTACATGGAGAGTGTAACTCATGAATCTTTACTTGAAAGCGACGGTGTCAACGCCGATCTCCGAGTGGATTTCACGGTGGGTCCTGGTTTCAAGATTGGCAAAACTGTGATACAGAGTCAAGTTTATTTATCACCGGCGGTTTCTCTCCGGTGAGATTTTTTTTTTTCCTTCTAATTTTTGCTATGTATAATTTTGTAATATAGAATAAATAATAGTACTAGATGAGAATGAAGTGACATAGGTTCACGCACTTTATTAGTATAGTAGCTAACTGCGGTTTTCAAGTGGCGCTTTGATCACTTGAAAGGTGCAGTTAGCAAGAAGTGGAGGAGCGTGTGGTGGCGCGTGGAATTGTGCATGCACCCTGTTACATGGGGCAGTACTGGTGTCTGGACCTACACGTGAAAGTGGGCGGGGCGTTCAGGCCGTGGGGACAGGGGCTGGTGTCTTTGTATTATGACACACAAAAAGAAACGGTGTGGAGGGAGAACTTTTATATTAAAATATCATGGCAATTTCATGTTTTTGTTTTGTTTAGACGTTCGAAGGTTCATAAAGTAAGTTCAATAACATTTGCAAGCATAATAATGATACTAAATAATGAAAAGAAATCACCATATATCACTGGACCATTTTTATAAAATCAGGTTTGATATTAAAAAAAACTGTAAAGAATTTCAATGATTTAGCGGTAAAGATGGGATTATTTACTTATTGACCAATCAAATAAAAAATAAATTTCCATGCGTTAAAAATACAATGAAAATAATATTTCTATAATTTTTATTTTTATTGATTTATTCAACTGAGCTTCTATTTTTATGCCATGCAGAAAAAAAAAAAAGGCATATTTATCAAACTCAAAATAATTATTCATCCCTTCCTACTCTATTGCTGGTAATAATTTTATAAACAAAAAAAGATGTGATGATGGTGTCCTCATTGTCGTATACTTTGTAATTTGGGTTACACTAGAGGTTTGGACAATCTGGCAAAAATGGTAGCGTCTAGTATATGTCATGAACAGTTTCCATAATAGAACCATACAAATAGGTCCAAAAAATCAAAACCTTTACAGCCATAAAAATGTCATGTATAAAGCTTTAGGAAAGGTCGGTTTCTGGAGAGTCCTGTCATCGTTCACGAGCATGCTGCAGAAACCGATTTAACTTGTAGCCTAACGTGTGGGTTCATATTGTTTCTCCTGGAATTTGACTTCCTAACCCTAATTTTAGTTAACCATAGCCCAACATTCTCACTAGTTTCCTCAATCATCAAGAGAAGGGAGGTGATCAATAAAATGGGCAGAGGGTAGGTGAGGACAATTATCAAGAGAAGGATAGATTTAGAAAATGATTTATTTTTCTTAAATGGGCAGAGGGTAGGTGAGGACAATTTTCAAGTGACAAGAAAGAAGAACAATCACTCACATGGTAGATTGTCTAGGAGGTTGGGAATCGAACGTTGTTAATGAGACAAAGCTTCGGTTCTTGTTTGTTTACGTTAAAAAATGCCAATCAATCAATAATTTTAAGTAGGGTAATAAATGTATTTATATATGAGAAATAAATATTGTTTGGTACTTTGATAACATCTCTTATTTGAGTTGGCATTCCGCATTTAACAAACCAAACCGTGATGCTGCTTTGGCATTTTCAATTGTATTTTCGTGTATGACAGAGAGGCTACCTCTTTTGTTCCTACTCGCGTCAAGGGCTCACTGGCCCCATCCTTAGCTACCGCCTTTTCCCCTCTTCTCTTTAACTTTGGCAAGACCGATGCTCGAGCCCAATGTCGTTTATTACTTAATAAACAAATGATTTCTCTATTTTATTTTTTGCTTAATAATAACAAATGATTAATGTAGTAAACTTTAGTAAGTTTCCCGCTAAAACTTAGTTTTTATTATTATTTTTCTTTACTTTTTTAAAAATAATAAACACTTTATTTGGAAAGAAAAGGAAGGAAGATAATAGAAAAGAATAATCAGTTATCAATTTATTTTTTACATTTGCACCTCAAGCATAAACTAATTATAAGTGTTTATACAAACTGAAAATAGATTTAAGTTTGAATTTTTTTTTTTCAATACTCAAAATTTATTTTTTACATTTGTATTGTTTGGATATAACGAAGGAAAAACAACAATTTATTTTTAAAATCCTAAAAGGGCTAAAAATTTACACAAGTACCATTCAGCGCGGGATGCGTGGTGTCAAACTGAGCAGGTTTTTCATAGGCATTGCATGACTTTGAATTTGGATTGGGTCGGCCCATGTAATCCCTTAAAGGGCTTCTAAAATTAAAAGCCCAGCAAAGTTTGCGTACTTTTCCCGCGCAAACTCAATATAAGATAACCCTCCTCTCGTTCAGCGACGGCGTTCCAAATCTGACCTGACATCTAGTTTCCTTGCTCTAAGAAAAAAATAATGTTAATAAAAAGCACTTAGGCTCGGCTAATTAGAATTATTTAACAATTTTAATGTTTTTTTTACTATAATTTGTTTACTAGTTAAATTGAATTCTACTCTGAATTAATTGAATGTCTCGGTTACTTTTAAAATATTAAGATCGAAATTCTTTATTTTAGATTATTGGATAAAAAATCGCTCTAATATTTCTAGATCATATTATCATTTCTGTTGAATAATTTAAACGTATAATGTTCTCATTGTTTTCATTATTGATTTGCTATTGTGGATTCAGAACTGGTGGCCTTACAATTGGTCAGTAGATCATTTCTGTTTGATTGATCCCTTGGTGATAATGGAATTTAGAGGGGCAATCTAATGGCTAATTAAGCATACATCGATTAACTATTAGCATATATACGTGATTCCTGCTTCATTTTTACCCTTCCTTCTTTTATTGAAGGGCTAAAACATTAATGTGCTCACAGAAGTAGTGCAAAAAACTGTTGGTTAGTTCAGCTGCATTGTTTAGAAAAATTCTCACTTCAAAAGTTGCAATTGTGCGCTAAAATTAAAAACAATGGTTGTGGAGCTTCCTTGATCAATACTTTATCAGTGTCCTGCCCTTTAGCACCCCATTTTTCCTTCTTGAATTTCTTTACCATAGCTGGATTGTAAATTTACTTTTTCGTATATTATAGATGACCATCTATTGATAATTTTTGAACAGTTGGACTCAATTCTGGTTTTGGTTCATCCGCTTGCTTTGGAGAATCAAGCCAAGCTGGTGATTCTTCAACGCCACCATTTATACTTAACCCTTCCACTACCACTAATACTTCAAATACTTTCGCATTCGGTCCTTCTTCCAGCTTTTCCGCTCCTTATCCTTCAAGCACTTCAGTATTCTGTCCTGCAAGCACTTCCGCATCCGGTCCTTAAAGCACAAGTGGATTCTCATTCAGTCTTTAAACTCTTCAGCATCTGCTCATTCAAACATGTCAGCATGTGTTCCTTCAAGCTTTCCAGAACTTTGTCTTTCTACTGCATCTCTTTCATCCGATGTTGTAGTCTCACAAGCATCAAGCGCTCTGGCATGTAATACTATCTCAAATCCTACTGCCTGCCAGTCCACTTCTGCATCTGCATCTGCATCTGTTTTTCCGGCTTCAAATACTCCTTCGTTTGGTGTATCAAGCAATCTAGCATCCATTGCAGCTGGATCTGGTGGTCAAAGCACCGGTCCATTTTGCTCTCCATGTAGCCCAGTATTCGTTAAGTATTCTGGTTAATCCACTTCTGCATCCAGCAGCTCCAACATGCTTGGTATTGCCCCATCTGGCTTTGACAACCAGAGTTTTGGCAACTATTCTCCACAATTGTTTGCACTAGTGCAAATTTATATATAATTCTAACATTTATTTGTGTTCCATTTAACTTGTAGTCAGACTTTTTTATTCAGATTTTCTGGCCAACAATGGTGCAGGGACGCAAGTTACGACAGGATCTTCTAATTGTAATGGAGGAAGTAGAGTAGCATACAACATTCAAACAGTAGACTTACTGGACTCATATCGTGGACAACCTCCTGCAGCTCTTATCTCTATATCAGCCATGCCCACTTACAAAGCTAAAAGTTCAGAAGAATTGAGATGGGAGGACTACCAACTCGGGGATAAAGGTATGTTTCCACTCATTGACTATGCTTTCCACTAAGCGACATGAGGCTTCATATTGATGAAATATTATTCGGAAAAAAAAAAATCCTTCTGTGTCTCTCACATCTAGAATTGTCATTTACTTTTTATCAGAATGTGTTCTCTATTCATTCACAGTGTTGATTTTACTACCGCGTGATATACATATATACACCAATGTGTCAGGTTTCTTGCATGGTTTGCTTTTTGAAACTGTACCGCTCCGCTTTCTTACAATAGTTCTACTTTCAGGTAGTTCCAAATCTGATTACCCTTCTCAGTTGCTAAATTGAAGATAAACACCCAAATCTAACCATTCTCAGTTGCCATCAACTTCTTATTTTCCTCCATTATCACATCCGAATCCTCCAAAATATCCAGTGACTTCTGCACCAACCGTGCAGTGTCAGTGTGTATGTCAAGCTTACTCTCGTCCTACAGCAGGAGCCAGTTCCTTTCCCCCACCGGCTTACAATTTGAGTATGCATATGCTTGGACCATCACTATCTATTTTGGGACCTGGTTCAGCTTCAGGGGTAGTTCAACCCTATGTATTGAATACCCAGTCATTCCCAGTGTCTCAATTCGTTGTATCCCCTCTTGTGTTGACCAATGCAGCTGCTGGACAGGGTACTACATTTGAGCACGGTCTAACACCTTACCAAGGTCATGCAAACGCACTGTCCGTGCCTACAGTTCCTATAGTTATGCAGATGACGTTTCCAAGCATGCCGCTGCAGTTTTATCCTGCACTTGTTTATGGCCAGAGTATTGTAAGTCACTCATGTAACTTGAGAGAATTTTGTTGTTTTTACATGTGGAATCATATAACAGGATTGGTTTTAACATGTTTGTGCATTGTAGAGAGAACTAAAAGAGTGTAATAGAACGTCGCGAAATAAAATTTTCTACCCATCACCATCCTACTGCATTACCGCATTCAGTTATGATTCCACATTTTGCATGCAGCCTCGCGTTCTGGCTTTTGCTCAGCCAATAGGCCAGCATCGGGTATCTTTTAGAGACAGTAATAAGAGATGTGACATTGCCAACTGAAGTTTTCGGGATTCATATTTCAGGATTTAGCTTTGGGACATTGCCAACTTCAAATGGAAGCACGTGAAGCTTTGGGACATTGCCAATTTCAAGATTTAAACTCTAATTTTCAAAATTGTAACGTTTGTAATTGTTCCTTATAAATATCTAATCATTTTATAAATATTTTTTTATAGAGTTAAGTTCATTTAGTAATTTTTATATAATTACTTCAAATGAAACTAACAAAAGAAAAAACCGAGAGTTATTTTTGTTCATGTAGACTCCCATGTTTGAATATCTTTGCGGTATTTGTATTGTATGTTTTTTCCTCTTCTTATTTCCTGGCTGCCTCTTCTTTTTATATTTCCATACCTCTACACTGCCTACTTTTTGAAAAAGAAAAAGATATCTCTGATCAGATCGAATACTATCTCATTTCATAATATTTATTCCATTTTAAAAAATAATTTATTCTAAAATACTTACATTTATAGTTTTAAAGAATAATAAATTCTTTTTTCCATATTTACCCTTCACATTTGCATTTCTAAAATCTCTCTACCACTGTGATATGATTGAACAAAACATGAGAATTGAAGAGCCTAAAGTTTAATTTAGTGTTTAAATACATTAAATTAAAAGTAATATAGTTTATTTACTCGATAATTTATTGTAATTTAGATAAATTTTATGCTTTTTTAAAGGACTGCGAAACTATAAATGTGATAAATATTAAAAACAAAAGTAGCAACAGACAAACTTTCAAGAGTGAAGTGAAAGTCTCTTGATGAATAATTTTTATTTCAGACTATGACCCAAATAATAAAAATTACTACCAAAATTAAAAGAACTCCACTTTGTTGCCGGTTGAATTTGATGAAGGCAGAGTTACTTGACAGGGAGTTTTCAGGTGAGCGTAGCATTAGAGCACACTGCTTTTTAAACTACTTGTATTTGCCTCTCTTTGTATGTACATAACGTATATTAGAACCGTAGATTTTGTCGTTGAATGAATAATTATTCTTGGTTTTGCATTAGTGCGGGTGTGTTGGTTTTGTATAGTGGATCTAATTGTAACAATTCCATTATGTTATGTAACTATACTTTTGAAATAGTCATCTTCAACTGTAAAAAAAGTGTTAACTATGGTCAAGTCTCTCAGATTATAGCCTCTGACAAATTCTCTCCAAAGAAGAAAATAAAAGTTGCAGAATCGTACAAGTTTTCCTTACAAAACTTTACCAGTCATTCAATGTAGCTCCCAAACATAAATAATTGTTTTCGAGCACGTCAAAAATCAAACAATTTGGAGCCGAAAATTTTTTTAACAGTATTATGTTCAATGCAATGGTTGCAAAAACAAACTAAATTGGTAATTTTACTATAGATTTACAGATTTTAGGAACTAGTAAATGAATTAATGAAGTTTTTGTAATAAAAAAAAAAATCACCCAGAAGTCTAAAAAGAAAAAAAATGGTACCAGTATATCTTTCGTTCAACACTCAACAGGGTTACTTAAAGCCAGCTGCTACCACCAAAAACACCAACTTCCCGCCATCAGAATTACTTCCAGGCAGGAATTCCCTCAGCTGTATTTTCATGCCTCCAAATGACATCTGATCCTACAAAGGCAGCCTTCACATTCACATTTATTTTGGCATTTGTTTCAATTTCAAGTCAAGTCTCCATGTATGAATTCACTCTGTCTCGCTTACCACTAAACATCTCAACCTTTTCCCAAGCTCACAATCCCATTTTAAACTGTTGAATTCACTGTTTTTGTCAGACAAAACCCAACCAAACTTGACATTTCTCAAACGGCCACATTAATCAACCACAAGGCCATAGAACGTCTTCCACCAAGCAACAAGAGCATAAAACGACTGTCACCCTTCTATCACAGGCCTGCATTGTAGTTGTACACCTTTCCCTGATTAACTTGAGGGAGCTGCAATATCATGAAAGCTTGAAGAAACATTTCACGGGGAGCTTGGTTCAGAAGGCGGTGAAGAAGGTGGCGAATCTGAAGCTTCTGCAAGAGCTTCGAGCATGTTTATGACGTCATTTGTATCATCCAAATAGTATTTTGCTTTGCTTGGTTTTTGTCCAACAGTACAGGCAAAAACAGAAGTGCTGGAGGAAAGGACTCCGCTTGTGATTGCATTGCCAATTGTCTCAAACATTTCTTCATCTGATCTGTCATCACCAATGCATAATACAAAATCAGCGGGCCTTCCCTTTTCAGCCATTGCTGTAAAGATCTTTTCTGCAACAAAACCTTTACTGATTCCCTGGAAGAATAAAAAAAAAAAAAAAAAAAAAAACCAATTTTAAACTGAGGTTAATCTTCACTGTTTTTATTCGTTCAGACAAAAACCCAACACAAGAGAAACTTGGACATTTCTTCAAACTAAGGCCCAACATTAAAAACACAAGGACCATAGAAAACGTTTTCCACACAAGCAACAAGAGAAAAACGACTGTCACCCTTCTACTCACCAGTCCTGCCATATGTAAGTTGTACACCATCCTGAATTAACTTGAGGGACGCTATGCAATATCATGAGAAACTTGTAAGAAACATTTCATCGTGGAGGAGCTTTGTTCAGGAAGCGCAGGTGAAGAATGTAGGGAAATCTGAAGCTTCCTTGCAAAGACACTTTCTCTGAAGCATGTTTATGACGTCATTTTGTATCATCTCAATAGTAGATATTTGACTTTGCTTAGGATGTTTGTTCTCAACAGTACAGGCAAAAACAGAAGTGCTTGGAGGAAAATGGACTGCCGGCTATAGGTGATTGCCATATATGCTCAAATTGTCTCAATAACATTTCTTTCAATCTGATCTGTCATGCACCATGCATAATACAAATAATACAAGGGCGGGCCTTCCCCTTTCTTCGATGCCATTATGCTTGTAAAGATCTTTTCGCAAAATCAAACCTTCTTACTTGATTCCCTGGAAAGAATAAAGAAAAATTAAATAAAAAAAAAGATAACAAGAAAAAACAGGTAAGCCAAAAAACCAGGTTTAAAACACTAACAAATATGAAAAAAAAAAAAAAAAAAAAAAAAAGAAACAAGAAAAACAGGAAGCCAAAAACCAGGTTAAAACACTTAACAAGGGGATATAAATAATTCCAACCAATAAAAGAAGCATGTAGACACCATAAAAAACCAAGTGCTAAAACACCATAAACAAAAAATGAATCATGTGTTAAGACACTTTAATATTGATCCGTGCATTATAGTAGTCCATTATCCAACAAGATATCTAATTGAAATGATGCTATAAAAAAAATGCATTTTTTTGGCACAATCTGGAATGAAAAATTCAACACTATTGTCCTCAACCATATAACTAATCAACCAATAGTGCATCAATTCTACTGATATTGAAATTTTGAAATGCACTGGAATTATAAAGAAACAGGACTTTAAACAACTTCCAAGCACACACTAACCATTAATTTTACATTTGGTACAAAACAATTTATATGCCACATTCAATCTCTTCCCCAACCTCATGCATCCACTAATGTGTGAATACATGTAATCTACTCCAGCCCTTCACCGCAAAAGGTGGAGCCACAAACAACTCCATCATTCATTCGACCAAATGGAGATGAGGTTAAAGGTTTTCAAATTGTGGTGAGTACGCCAGGACACATAAAAAGGGTTCATAAAAGCATCTTTATTACTTTCATCGTTTTGAAACAAGAACTAGCACGCATCATCAGCAGCACTTGAAAGGGAAAGTCACTTTAAGACAGAATAATTGGAAATTAGAATTGGAACAGAGATGTGTACCTGTGGCTTCACTTCCACAATAAACTGACCACTTTTCACAACAACAGGTTCATTTGCCAGCACACTTTCCAGATGATCCAGCATCTCCTTAGCCTGGCTGGCACCAAAACCAGGATCAGCATCCCTATGATGCCAGACTAAGGCACTCTCCTTGGTCTCAATAGAAGACCCATCAGTTGATTCTGTATACAACTTCATGACAGGCTCAGCTATCTGAGTCCATCCAAAATCACTATTCTGCCCACAAGTCTGCCATTGCTCATCCGCAGCCCACCTAACACATCATCAGGGTATTCAGACAAATGTCAGTGCAAACAAGAAACAAAGCAAGAGAATATCATATACCTCATAAAGTAGCCATGTTCAGCAGCAATTCCAAGCTTCTTGCATGGAGAAAACCACTTGCCTAAACTGTCCTTCCCTCTTCCACTAACAACAAAAACAGTGTTCTTCACATCACCACACAGAGCATTTATGATTGATATGACTTCTTGACTCGGGCTCTTGTTGATCGACGTTTGGGGCATTACAGTTCCATCATAGTCCAATAATATAGCCCTCTTTTTGGACCTTAAATATGCAGAGACAATTGCATCTATAGACAACTTTCTGAAATTAGGATCAAGAGCAACAACTCTAAAACCAAAGCTCAAGCCAATCCCCCAGCATCGCCTTCTGAAATGATCTCTGCAAGTTCTTTCCATATCTTGGAAGAAGCTTTTTGACCAGTACGCCACATCATGGGTGCTGACATACCTGTAATGTTTCTCATGGCGCAATTGCTTCTCAGAATCAGACATGGAAATAGCCTCATTCATCGCCTCAGCAGTCGCTTCAATGTTCCATGGATTGACCCGAATTGCACCACTGAGTGAAGGAGAACATCCAATGAACTCCGATACAACCAGCATGCTCGTCTTGGATCCACTGGATTCTGAACTAGACTCTGATCCAGAGACACCTTGTCTACACACGATGTACTCATATGGAGTGAGATTCATCCCATCCCTAACAGCTGCCACTACAACACACTCAGCAACGGTATAATATGCAGCCCTTTCACTAAGAGAGACTGGCCTATCAATGAACACAACTGGTTCATAGCCAGGTTGACCAAAAGTTTCATTAATTCTCTTGCAGCTTGCCTGTATTTCAGCCTGTATCTCCTCAAGATCCTTCCCTTTTCCTCTGGCAGGGTTAGCAATCTGTACCAATACTGCCCTTCCCTGCCACTTTGGATGCTGCTTCAGCATCTGTTCCATTGCCAAAAGTTTCAAATTCACACCTTTGAATATGTCCATATCATCGACCCCAAGTAAAACAGTCTTCCCTTCAAACTGCTGTTTAAGCTCTCCCACTCTCCAATCTTTATCTGCAAGTTTCAACACCGACTCAATCTGACCCATGTGAATCCCCACAGGCATGATCTTTATTCCAACAGTCCTTCCATAATACTCCAAACCAATGTAACCCCTCTTTGACTGATACTCCAAACCCAACATTCGACTGCAGCAAGAGAGAAAATGCCGCGCATAATCAAAAGTGTGAAAACCTATGAGATCTGAGTTCAATAGGGCCTTTAAAATCTCTTCCCTCACAGGTAAAGTCCTGTATATCTCAGACGAAGGAAATGGACTATGGAGAAAGAACCCCATTCTCAATCTATTAAACCTTCTTCTCAAAAATGTGGGTAGCACCATCAAATGATAGTCATGAATCCAAACATAATCATCCTCTGGGTTTATAACCTCAATCACCCTTTGTGAAAATATCTTATTTGCTGCCACATATGCCTCCCACAAAGATCGATCAAACCGACCACCATGATTTGCTGAAAATGGAAGCATGTAGTGAAACAGTGGCCAAAGATGTTGCTTACAAAATCCATGATAGAACTTGGACAAAATATCAGGAGGCAAAAATGCAGGGACACATTTAAACCTATCCAACAAAAGCTGCGAAACATCATCTTGTTCACTCAAATCGACTTCCACCTTCAAAGAACCAACATAGATAACCTCCATATCTTCTGGCAAACCATCTTTTAACTGCAGCAGCAACGCGTCTTCATCCCAGCTAAAACTCCATCCTTTGTTATCTGGTCTGCGCTTAGCCTTTACAGGTAGCTGATTGGCTACAATGATTATTCGGTCCTGAACTACTGAAGAGGGTACATCTGAGGCCACGCTATTGGCCTGATCATCGTCAAGCTCAGAGATAACCCCGGGAACGGTCATTACACGGGGTAACCGTTTTTTCTCACGGGGCTGACCCATCGCCGGAAAGTTACCAGAGGCTAGATCTAAGAGATTCGTATATGACCTAGACATCATTTTCACTCTTTCTTTTAAAAACCCTTTACAACTTATACAATCTAAAACAAGATCTCAACCTTCTAAACAGAACCGTAGATTGTTTTCCCTCCGAAATGACTATAATTTGGCAGGATCTGAAATGGGCATGAAACAAAAAATAATCATTATATGGATAGCAAATCAAAATCACAAATCAAAGAATACATCCAATTAAATATTACTTTCCATCAGTAAATGAGATCCAAATATGGAAAATAATCCAAACTCTTTAATTGGAAAAAAGCCATTAATTTAAAACCAAAACTAAATCAAGACGAGCAAGAAAACTAAATTAATGGACTTCGACGTATGACATCAAATGGAACAGAGAAATAAATAAAATATTGAAAACCTAACCTCAGCTTTGAAATGAAGAAAGATTGAAGCCCTCTCTTTGGATCTGAAAATCGAATAAAAAAAACAAAAAGAAAGAAAGATAGGTAATTTTATCTGCACAAGAAAGAAATCTTAGGATTTTGCTTTGGGTTTGGTCTTCTCTGTTTCTCAAGAGTCGCAATTACAATCGCTCTGCATTCACAAATTACAGTTCTTCGCCTTTATTTTTCTCTGTGAAAAAATAAAATATTCAAAAAAAGAGAAGAGGATAAGGTCGGCCAGTAGACTACCCAGTAATGCCAGCTGGCGTTAACGAGTTTTTAGCGCCACGCGCTCTTACGCCCTTTTGCTAAGGCAGATGATTATGTGGCAAGATAATAACAGAGACACGTTTCGAGTATCATTGTGGGGAAGGTCCCACACGTAATTGCACATCCATTCAGCAAAAAGATCGCATGTTTCTTTGTAGGTTCATGACAATTAATACCAACCAATCATGCATTTGCCGCACCAACATCAGACTATCTGTCTTCGATGATCACCTTACAGAATTATGATAATTATACATTTTCTTGATTATTAACTTTCAACATATTTTTTATTATTATATTCATATTTATATATAATATATGATTTTTTTTATACACATGTATAATATAATTCGATGCATAATGTATATTCAAATAAAATCTTTTTAAAAATAATAATTCAATTAATATATACATGCATAATGTATACCAAGTCACATTTTTTTTTTTTTGTTTCCTTTTAAGAAGAAGAAATAAAGAAGAAGATGATAATGAACGGATAAAAAGGCTTACAATTAGCATATACCTTTTACATTATTGTGGTCCACGCAGTACATGAATATACCCCAGTGGGACCAGGAGCACTACTTGCATGTTTATGAATGTTGCCACGTGGCAGAAGAAATTTGAGGATAAGGCAAAAACGGAGATGACATGGCGAATGCTGACGTCAGCACTGACGCACATTGTGAAGCACGTGGCTGAGCATCGTGTGCTCCAAAATGTGGGTGATGGAGGGTTTGGTCGTACTCTTAGTTGGTGGCATGTGCATAGACAACGGGGAAATAAGAATACTCTTGGTTGGGGTAACCAGACGTATCTTTTATTTCTAATTTTTCTATACGTGAAATGTCATTTTCATCCTCAACGGAGCTCTTGATGACCTCTAGATTTTGAATATAGATGGTTGTGCAATAATGTAGTGGTTTGGAGGGTATAAAGTAATTATAACTCGGACCGAATGGTGGGCGTAATTTGACTGTGTGCGCTGTCCTTACCTAATTCTTTATCTCTCAGGAGGAAGCGCGTGAGTGAGGTGTCTGCTGGGGTAGCTGTGGGAACAACATCTCCATTCAAAAAATTACTCCCATTCTTTTTTTTTTCTGAGAAAATTTTCTTCTTTATTTATTTATTTTTTTAGCATTTATTTATTTATTTACTTACACATTCAGTATAAATTATTATCATTATCATTTGATTATCATAAATATTTCTCAAGATTATGTTTATTTTAAAAATTCGTAATGAGGATTTTTTTTTTTTGCACGTTTAGATCATACCCTTTCCATTATCCATGAACAATTATTTTGTTTATTAAACCTTATTTATATAATAAAAAGTAAATTTATTAAACTAAAAAGAAGTAATAAGTGATGTAGCCCATTGAATGAAAAGATAAAATTAATCCTATAATTTTAAAATGACATTATATACCATTTTTTAATTATTCAACAATCAATTCTTAATATCTCTCGTGATTCAGTTCGATAAAATAGTTTATTTAAATTCAGGATTCAAAATTCAATCCAAATAAATAAATCATTTGTGTCACTTTTTAAGTTGCTGAAATTAGTTTTATATGAATATTTTTCAGTTTCCTTTATAAAAAAATAATTTAAAATCTCTTAGTTAATAGTTATGGACTTTGAGGTCCAAAATTTCCTATTCAAGAAGAAGGATTTATAGTTTTGCACATGTAAAATGGTTTTAAAGGAAAAAAAACAGAGTAGAAATTGGATGAATGAGGTAATAACCATGATAGAATTAAACTGACATGACCTGTGTCCATATATACATAGACTGTCCGAGCAAAAGGGACAATACAAAAAATTATTGTACAATTGATGGGTTTGGTTTGGTCTCGTTTACATAATCTCTGCCTGCACAAAAAATAAAGTTTTGCTATATAAAGCTGCTCTTCATCTAAATGCTATTTACTCCACCCTAAAGGTCAAACCAAACAGCTCATACATCATCTTCGCTGCTGTTTTTTTTTTTTCACGTTTTTGTTTTATTTCTTTCGTACTCTCAAGAATTAGATTAGAAGCCAACTTTTCTTTCAAAATAATCAACTATTGATTGTGTAAACTGGTGGGTAAAAGCCTATCGATCTTTCTTCATTTTTGTTTTATTTACATGTTTTGCATGTGCGTTTTGGTTAGGATGATATTCAAGTAAGACTTTGCAACTTCAGATTTTGAATCTCTAATTTTATAGATAAAATTTCCTTGAGGATACAATGCTTCCGCCGATCAAACCATTATCCATCTTTGGATGGGAATATGCTATATATTATATGTGGAAAATTATCAAGAATATTATCATTTCTATTTTAGTTATTAATCAACTATGATTATCCATATTGTTTATATATATTTTTTGTTCTTGTCCAAAGCCTAAACCTTGGATTATTCAATAACCAAGAAAACTACAAATGACATAACCTATTTTACGGGAAAAACAATGGCTAAACAAGTGTACAACTACAAAAAAACAATTCACGCAAAAAACTAAAAACAGGGCCTTCATGAGATACATTCAATGCAAATTTAAATTATTAATTCATTCTAAAATTTCCTTATTTTATAGTTTTAATTCTCATGACACAATAATTAACAATGTCCTCAAACAATGAAAAAATTCCGGTTGATTTGGCCGTTACAGTAATCGGAAAGTGGAAAGAAACTTATGCTTGGATACCAGTGTTTGGAGCTTTTGCTGCAATTGCACTAGCATTTTCAACTGGAGCAAACAATCTCACTGCACCTGTCTGTACATTCCTTTCTTTTTCCTTTATGCATGAATTTGTAAAATGAATCCTCAGTTAATAAGTCTATTGATTTTTTATTTGAATTTGCAGTTCTCAACACCTATAGGATCAGGAGCACTGACCCTCTTAAAGGCCTTTATAATAGCTTGCCTAATATATGTCCCTGGGGCAGCACTTGCAGGAACCCATATTATTAATTCTTTAATTTCTGATGTAAGGAAATGAAAATTATTAGTCGATTAACAAAATTTAAGTCCTTGTTTAATATACATAATCTTTTTTTGTATTTTATCAAAAATTGCAGCTTCTGAAACAAAATCAACCAAATGAAGGATTTCTAATGTGGAGCATGGTAGTTGTTCTTGTCAGTGCAGGTACTCAACCATTCTCACAATTTCATGCTTTTTTTAAAAAAAAAATTCTGACTTCTGCCGTTCTTGGATGTGGGGCAGTAATCTGGCTTTCACTTGCAACATATTTTGGGCTACCAGTTTCATCTCAGCAATCCATACATGGTGCTCTATTAGGTACCATTCTTGTCAATGAAGGATTTGGTTACATTCCCATGTGGAATAAGGTATCAGAACATTTGTTAATCTGTCAAAAGCACATTCAAAGTACTTGATTACCTATGTGTCTGAGATTCATTTTTATTCTTTTGTGATCGTTTATTGCAGAGTGAAAATCACAATTTTACGGGCGGGGGAATGGTCTGGATATTAGTTGAATGGACTGTTGCCCCATTATTAGCATGCTTTTTTGCATACCTCTTTTTCACTCTGTTGAAGGCTTTCCTACTTGGTCAAGAAAATGCAGAAAAGAGGATTATGATATTCCTTGCTATTAATTATGGAATATCTGCAGGATTGCTTTGCCTTTTTGCCATGTTTGAGGTTCAGTATCTTGAGTCCTGCCTCATTGTTTTAAAATATCAACATTCACTTAATTAGTTTCTCTTAATTGGATTGCAGATTGTAGGAAAAATTGTATCTGTCAGTAAATTGATTGCTATAGTTGCTGTCGGAGGAGCTATACTCGCTGGAGTATTCTTGTCAGTGGTATATGTGAACTAGATGTTCTTAACTAGATATTCTTACTTAATAAATGGTGTTTTTTATATCTTTTGTTCATTTCTAGCAAACATTTAACTTTCGATTCGCTATTAGGTTATTACAGTTCCCCTGGCAATGAAAAAGTTGGATGTCATCTCAAAATACAAGTCTGAAAAACAGAATGGATCCATAAATCATGAGTACAAAGAAAATCAAGACAAAACAAGTGTAACAAAACAACAAGAAAAGCAAGAAGAGGATATTGATCAAGTATTGAAAGATTTTATGCAGATGAGAGTGCTTGAGACAGTCTATGAAGAGGAAGAGAGAAGCTGGGCTTCTCCAGAATCTGAGCATATACAAGCACAGTTGGTTTCTGAATTGACTACAGCTACTACTCAATCAACACCATTCAAACAGTTACTTGAGTCTACACCAAATAAGTTGCTTCCAAACAGGAACTTTCAAAGAATTGAAAGAACTTCACTACTTGAAAATGCCTATAGGTTTATCAAAGAACAAGCAAAAACCATTCTGTTTCCTGTAAGTCTGCTTCACAGCCAGATATTTTATGCATATAGATAATTTAAGCTCATGCAAATCAAGAAATGATTTTTTTTTTTTTTTTTTTGCTTCCCAAACAGGAACTTTCAAAGAATTGATAAGAACTTCACTACTTGGAAAATGCCTATAGGTTTTTTCATTCAAAGAACAAAGCATAAACCATTCTGTTTCCTGTAAGGTCCTGCTTCAGAGCCAGAATATTTTATGATATAGATAAATAAGCTCATGGCAAATCAAGAAAGTGATTTTTCTTTTTTTTTTTTTTTTTGGGTTGATTTTTTTTTTTTTTTTTTTGGGTTGATTTTCATTATGGGACAGGTCTTAGATTATGACAGACAAACTCTAATTCAACATGCTTTAGCCGAAAAGTACGATGAGATTGAAGATTTCTTGAGTTTCCCCCATCTTCTTGCTTCGTGTCTATTGGCGTATGCTTAATCTTTGTATCTAATCTAATATTAAACGTTCCAAACTTTTACTCCTATTTGGTAGCTTCATTATACTCATAAGCATCTACTGTAATGCAGGCTCATCCAATCTGTCAATGAAGTAGCAGCAATTGCGAGTCCATATGTAGCCATTCTTGATGTGTTTCAACATAGAGCTAAATATTCAAGAAATGGGGATAATACCTATCAGGATTCCATACATGTGAAATGGTGGTTTAGGACTATCGGTGGATTGGTTGCTGCAATGGGATTTTTCGTATGCGGGTGGCGATTGAGTCAATGCCTAGGAGGCAAGTTAACCTATATGAGTAACTCCAGAGGATTGGTTTCTCAACTATCTTCCGTCGCAGCAATCATCATAATCACTAAAACAAAACTTCCAGTTTCAAGCGTGCATGCTTTTGTTGGCTCTTTATTAGGAGTTGGAATTGCAGATGATCATCAGGTAATATTTATGAACACAAAATGAACTTTGAAACTCGATGTCGTTCTCTTAGGACTAATTTCATTCTTTTGATGCAGAATGTGAATTGGAAACTCCTACTGAAAATCCTTTTTGGATGGGTGATGACAATGGTATTTTGTTGTGGGATTGCATATGTGATTTTTTCTGCCTCAATACACTCACCAGCCTATGTAGTGCCATGATATTGCAATTTCTAAAATCGTTATTCATTACACGACTAGTGAGCGCTTAGAAAAGATTGAATACTAATGTACATAGAAGAAAATTTGCAGATCCTGCAATTGATTGATACTCATGTAAAAGTAACATAATATGCAAAAGTGGCAAAAATAGGGAAAAATGGCCCATGCCGGTTTCAATCCCAAGACATTCGAGTTATTACCATAAGGTTCTAACCAACTAAGCTAATAGGCCAACTAATCTTCAGTGTCATTATTTTCTATATCAAATTATATATTTGTCAGACTCTAGGAAAATAACATAACTAAGTAAAGGAAATTTCATAACTCAAAATAATTGTTATACATACAACTTGAAAGTAATTGTGGATTTGTTTAGTCTGGAATAAACCTCCGCACAGACTTAAAAGAGAAATGGAAAAATAAAGGTGTTAGAGTAGAAAATTAAAAAAAAAAAAAAAAAAAAAAAAAAAAAAATAAAAAAAAAAAAAAAAAAAAAAAAAAAAAAAAAAAAAAGACTTTCTTCCATCCCTCCCTCGTCGAGGAAAAATGTTTGAAATGATAAGTTTATGATTTGAGGGAAAAAAAAAAAAAAAAGCTAATTAATTAAAATAATTGTTTGATTGAAAGGGAATAGCCTCTATCGTTTGTTCTCTATGGGATTTTAATTGTTTCCCTAAACAAAAAGAGAAAAATCATGCTTATTAATTAATTATCTTATTTCATTCCATAAATTTTATATGACAATATGTAACTTTTCCATGAATAAATCTTGTTATATAGTTAGCTTTTACAAAAGGTGAGCTTGGCGGGCGCGATACTTCGATGACTTAACTTTAACCTTTTCGTCAACATCATGGGATTAGTTATATATATACACTTAATCATGCGTCGTCAAGCTAAGCTAATGAGTGATTTTCTTACATCAAATCATGATTTTCTAGTGGATTTTATAAACTATTTTCTACTTTCTGCTCATGTAATGGGTGAGAAAAATATTTATGCATGGCTGCGATTCACTGTTTAGTGGCTTTAATTTCATTTCATATGACAATTCTTTTATCGTCTATACACACTTAATTATACAATATTTATATATTTTATTTTCTATCTTATTTATTATTTAATTTTTCAAAAGCTATCGTAATTCTTTTTATTTAGGTCAGTTAATTTATGCTAATAAAAGTCAAGATTCGACATAATTGATAATTGGCCTACGAAATGCTTTTTTTTTTTTTTTTTAATGCTTTTTTTTTTTTTTTTTGAAAGGCTACGAAAATGGCTAATTAAGCACTTATAATTGATAATTTTATCGCGTATATAATATCTCATTAATTATTATTGGACCGTTGAAGTTTGGTTTTTTTTTTTTTTTTTGAAAGGTACGAAATGCTAATTAAGCACTTATAATTGATAATTTTACGCGTATATAATATCCAATTAATTAATTATTGGACCGTTGAAGTTTGGAAGTTGTACTCACCAACTGTTATTAATTAATTAAATTTCTACATCTAGTGGCTTCTTCATTAATACAAAATAATATTCTTATAATTAAATTTTAACCAAAGAATTAAAAAACCAAATTGATCCGATCCGATACCTAAAAAAAATATTATTTTTGTTATAACTTATTCTACGCTCCACTAATACGCGGGTTGGATTTAAGGGAAAGAGGCTGCCCTTACACTATATAAAGGTCATCAACCCATCAAAGTATGCACACACTACTCAGTTCGCAATACTAAATCAGAGTTCTTTTTTTCTTTTAAAGCTAGAAAATCATCCATCATGGTTTCACTGAATCGAACACTTTGTTTCTTCTACTGTGCTTTGATTGTTATAGTTATGGCAGATGCAGTTTCTGCTGGTCGAACCTACTCGTCTTGGAGAAATTCTGCAGGTAAAGAAGCATTGCATGAAGCAACGTTTCAAGTACTAATGAAGAGTCGGAAGATAAGAACTTCAGATCCAAGTCATGGCAGTAATGTTGGACCTGTTACTTTTAAACAATTTAATTCAGTTCCAAGCCCTGGAGTTGGGAACTGATCCATCATCTACATATATGGAAACTGATCCATACATATATAGCTTTTTTTTTTTTTCTTTTTGGTAATAAGATTATACAATGTCTTCTGCTATCACTCCATTAATGCTGGTGTATTGTCTTGCTCTATCTCAGATCCATTGCTGGAGTAATATGAATTTAAACTGATATTATATATATATATAATTATAAGATCATTAAATAATAAACGAAAAAATTCAATGATTATGTGTGTGTTATTTAATGTAGGAAATTAAAGTTTTTAAATCCTAACACGTACGCTCATTTTTCTTTGAACGTTTTCACTGTACTTATAGTTCCCAGGCTAGGAGGCTAGCTCTACCACTCATCAAAGCAGAATATATATATAAAAAATGATAATCATGTTTTATATTTGAAAGGTGATTAACTAATAAATATACTCTAAGAAAATGTTTTAGGGTTTGAAAATTATTACTGTAAAATAATCCTCCCAATTTTTTTTTTTGTAAAGAATGCTTCAAAGTGCCTCTTTTTATAATCGTAAAATGAAAATTATTCTGAAAAGAAACAAAATGAAAATGCATGGAGAAGAAAACATAAAAATAAAATTGGAAACCATTTTAATTATAAATTTTGTGACGGATTTTTGTTTTGGTAATTTGTAGATTAAACCAAATTAAATTTTCTTGAATAAATATAAAGAATGGATATTTCATTTTTGTTCTTACAATGAATTCCCATGTGACTTTGTAGGGAATTAAGCAACCAGAAATCGCGTGTGTATATATTTCTTGGAAAGCATTGATCTTGCAGAATATAATTTGGTGATTTTGAAGAATATTATTGGCTATGGAGAAGTGGAAAACGTGTTAAATTTGTTTTCTACGCAGAAAGATGGCTTCTTCTGCTGAAATTTCTCTTTTCCCTGTAATTAATGCATTCTATATATCGTCAGCTGAGTCCTTAATATCCTTATTTTCGTTAGACCAAAAGTAATTAAATATTAATGGGAAACACGAGTGCAAAATTTCTGAACCGAAAGTGATACTCATGTGGTTCTATCTCATGAGTCAAACTGTCAAAGATTTGCGGTAGGCTGCCCACATGACGCATGATGATGACTTTTGACAAATGCGTTTCCATCTTTTCAAATTTCACATGCCAAGATACACTCACTAACCCTAAATCCCCACATATAACACCTACGTTTTTATCACCATATGCTGTTTTTGTTTTCTTTTCCATATTTTTTTTAAGCTACATGGAGGAAAGAAAAAAGAAAAAGACAGCTATATTGCATTCTGCCCAAGATAAGCTACACCATCTGAGTCATAAAACAATCAGAAAATAACATCCAGAAATTTACAAATCAGCAGGAATAGAAATTTGTAAATAGTGAAAATGGTGATATATATGGATAATCCAATTCTTATGAAACTTGCCTTTTAGAGAAAATACGTGGCTGTTAACTAATTCAAGTCATTATAATATAAATATAAACAAATATTAGTACAATGTATAATATAGTTAAATGTGAAATTAAGAGATGAAGGACAGTTTTGATGAGCCGACGGAAGATATGGAAAATGTTGCAATTCAGTTTGTTGAATCGAAATTAAATTAGGAATCAAGGGGCGGTTTGTGGAGCCCTTGTGTTGGGCAAGACAAGGCAAACTTTTGCTCGCCACTTTTATCTTTACTTGCCAATCTCTTTTGATTACTTCTAATCAACTCATACTATTTATTTTTATTTATCTCTTCACTTCACTTCTTTCAACGCTTTGGACTTTTGCTCAACGCCACACATTGCTTTGATTATACATTTTGTTTTTATAATAGAATACATTTATTTTTGAGTGAACACTTGAATTCCAATATTAAAAAAATATATAAAAAATTCTCTCTTTTGAATGTTAAAAAAAATTAATTTAATTAAAAATGATTATTAAATATATTACATTTTAATCAATAAATGGTTAAATTAACGGATATGAAATATATTTTAAGACAAACTGCAACATTGATTTGAAATGTATATAGAAGTGATCCGCGGAATTAAAAAAAAAAATACAAATATATTTCTTTCTTTTTAAGTTCTTAGCAAATGTTTGTTGTGTTTAGTGGACTTAGTTTTGGGCTGTGGTGGAGATTTTTTTTGTCATTTATATTTGTTGTGAGCATTAAAAACTATGACTAAGCTTTTCACTAATTTCGTTTTAAGGATTAATTAATCAAAGCATTGAAAATTAGAACCGTTCGAATCAACTTTTCCCATTTCCCAAAGTTGATAGAGTAGTAGGCAGCCACAACCATAAATTTAAGTCGCATTTCACAGGTCAACTCTAATACACGAGAGTGAAGGTTCGAAGAAAATTAAGACAAGCGTTTTCCAATTGTTCTTCACAATTCAACAAACTGCAAGCATGCTGTTGAAATCTCGCACGTGTCGAACGGAGACAGCTTTCCATCAAATCATCATTGGTATAAGCCAATAATTTTCCTATTATAAAAAAAAAAAAAAAATACTCCGCTGGAGGATTAATTTAATCTAAATTAGAACTTTTAATTTACATTTTCCAACTTACCCATATAAATAATAAATATAGTTGTTTTTCTCTCTATATAAGAAATGGGAGATATCAAATTTAAATACTCTCGACTGTAATAACTTTTATTAATTTAGTAAATAAAAAGTTGTAAAGAGATAAAAATTTTTTTCAATTATACAGAGAGAGATTGCAGATTATAATACTATATTTGGAAAGGTGACAGACAATTAGGCTTGTGATAGATCAGAAATTGATGGAGTCCCCATACACATTTACGGCCTTTTCTTTATTTCTTCTCTTAATGAGAATAGTGGCAGGCAATTTCTTGATAAGTAGACCTCTACGCTATCTTTCTGATTAATATTTTAAGATTAATTTCTCTATTTGGAATTTCTTTTTCAAAAGGAAAAAAGATCTCCAACCACATATTTATATTAATTATATGATTAATTTCTTTTATATATATATATGTTGTGTATCAAAAATTAGCCAGGCCAGCAAAATGACAAAATGAAATAATGCGACATCACTTTCACGAGACTGTTTGTAAGTAATAATAAAGGGATGCAAACATGTAAATCAACCCCTTTTAACAAAAAGAAAATGAAAGAGAATTGACAGCCAGTCCACTATGTAGCTCTACCATTCCGTGTTTGTCTAACCCACCACAAATAAGAACAAAAAAAGAAAAAAACTAAAGAATTTATCAAAATTTTAGTGGATAATATAAGATTGAAACTAATTAATGAACAAATAATATCCAAGAAAATTAAATTTTAGAACTGCAGAGAGTTTAATGACCAACGCCAGGGCTTGGAACAGACCCTAGAATCCGATCAATAGTGGCCAAATGCCTTTGGAAGAGCTGCTCGTTGGCTAGGGTGGCATGACCTTTCCTGCTAGGCGAAGAAGATGGTACAGTGCCCTTAGGAAGGACACCGAGAACTAAGCTGGCAAACGAGGAAGAGACAGAACCAGAATCCTCCTTTTTACTAGTCATCAAAAGCTTCCTGCTTTCTGTGTTTGACACGAATGTAGAAACTATGATGAGCAAGAAAAAGAGCGCTAAGGCAGAAGAACGAGCCATGGATGTTGCAGAAGTGAAAAGAGAGAGAATAAAATATCTGGGTTTTGTAAGTGAAGCAGAGAGAAAGCGAAAAGGAAATGGCTTTAATGTATAGAAGTGTTTGTTATGGAAGGTTGGTGTGGTTTTTTATAAGCAAAGTCTAGAGAGAGAAATTCATGCAGTGCCGCGTGACGGCTAGAGAGAGAGAGCTTGGAGATGAAGTTAGGCATGGGCCAAGTCAAAGATTAAACAGAGAGAGAGAGAGAGTCATGCAAGTAAGTGTTGGTCATGTTACTGAGTGTAACGTTTTTTTCTTTGTAAGTTGGAAATTGGAAAACGAAAAATAAGGGAAGAAACGCCGCGTGGAGAAGAAAGGTATTAGGTAGGTGAGAGAGTCAGAGAAGTCGCCGGCCACCGTCAAAAGATCCTATTTGCCACCTAATTCTAATTCTTCTTCTTTTGGCTCACTAGCTTGCACATGATCCGGCTCGGCTTTTCACATTAAGTAGCATATGTATCACATCGCGGAAAATGATCAAATTTCAAAGTGGTCCTTATACAAAGTTATATTTACTTTTTTTTCAAATACAAATGAGATAAAAATAACTATATTTACTTATTATAAGATTAATCATACAATATCAAGTGCAGATGAGAGATGAGATGCCTTATAAAATAGGGAAAAATTTATTGGAGGTCTCCATCTTCAAAAAAAAAAAAAAAAAAGCTGTAAAGCAACTAGGAGTGGCATTATTAGGACCAGCATGCAGTTTAATCAGAGAGTGGTGAGAAAAATTTTAGATACGCTATCTCTTCTAAAAGGTTATCATTCCTCTGTAGTGGTCAATGAAGGCTAAGGCAAAGGGTGACTAGTTTCTACTTTCTACCAAATTTGGTCTCCAGCTCCTCTCTTTCTACAAGCTGCCCGCCAAACCTCTGAATAGCCATTTTGCTGCAACAAAGTCAAAATTTGTAAATCAAGAATAAGACCATATGTTCGTTTTTTCCTTCTCTTGAAAGCTGTTCTACTCAAGGAAAGTTCTTAAATTACATGGGGAAATTGCCCTTCTTTATTATTACTTGGTGTTCTCACACAATCATATGGCATTGACTATATAATTTGTTTTCCCTGTGCATTAGTAGTAACTTCCTTTTCTTGATTAATAATCCATCCAAAATTAGTATAGTCTTGTCATTCATTATTGAGTTGTTCCACTACATTGTTGCCACTGCCACGTGTCAGCACTTAGCGCGTGCCACGTTGGTGTCAAAACCATAGGGTGTAAAATATAATTTTTATATTTTCAGGAAATTTTTTTTAAAAAAATTTCTTACGGGTCGTATCAGAGAAATTAATATCAAACACATATGAAAACAGAAGGAGTTGATGTCCCAATTCTTAGTATGTACCAAATTAAAGTCAATGAGATATATTATTATTCATGATTATGGAGAATGTGCATGCATATTAACTGCTAACTACCCTACTAAACAAGCAACTAAACCTTTTTTTTATTAATTAGACTCCATTTATTTCCATAAAATAACTTATTGAAAAATATTTTCATGAAAAAACATTTCCCTTGAAAATTATTTTCTAAATGACTTATTTTTCATTGTTTGGTTGTAATATTGAAAATTAATTAAAAATATTAAAATCTTTATATCATAATACCGTAAGAAATATTAATAATAATAATAAATATTTTCGCCGGTGGTAAATAGTGATTGGTGATAGTGACTATGATGATTAATAAATTAAAAAATATGGATTTATAAGATTTGCCAATGTGCAGAAAATTTTTTAGTCTCTTAAAAAAGAAAAGTTGTTTTCCTTGAAAAATGACCTAATTTTACTTTAATCAGGAAAATATTTTCCGTTAACTTATTTCTGAATGCTCCAAATAACGAAAAATCGTAAAATATTTTTCTACAAATTATTTTACTGAAACAAACGGGGTCTTAACGTGGATACAAAGTCAACTTATTCGGCATTTTACTTCTCAATAAAATATTATTCATACAGCAACTTTTGTATTAGACTTTGGGACAAGACTGGTGTAGATTTATTATTAGTTGACTTAGAAATTCATTCGTTTATGTCTATTGATTACAATTAAAAAGCCACCTAATATTCTATTCACAAACTACAGATATTTTGGATGATTATTGAATATATAAATATATTATTTCGTTTTATTTTTCAATAAACATAGGAGACGGTGATCAATCCTACAAAAATAGATGATATAGTAAATTAAAATAAATAAACATACCCTTTTTCAGAAAAAAAAAAGAAATAAAATATTTTTATTATCTGAAGGGTATGGTTTTCCCGGTTGATTAGGAACAATTTGAAGGTTGTTATTGACTTCCTCTATAGAAAACAAAAACATAGATCTGTAGCACCAATAAAACGATTAGACGTACCATTGTGCCATGCTTGCACTTCACAATACACACGTTCAGCCTAGGATTCCATACTTTTTCCTCAATAAATAAATGTTTAATCTCTGGCAAAATTCAAAACATGATAGGTCTGCTGGTCTAGTTCTTTGAAATTTTTTTTTTCTATTTCTTTCTTTTTTCTCACTGTATTTTACGATCAAAAGTCCTAACCGTTTATATTTAATCTTTGATATGTTATAATTAATTAAAATTTAAATTTAAATTTCAATAAATAAAAAATTAGCTATTAAATATAAAATTATTTTAAGTTTTTTCATAGCAATGATGAATTGAATTGGATAACAGTTGGAACATAAGAATCAAATATGCAGATTTGCTTGATTTTTCTGGTGGTTTATTAACTTATAATTGTCTTTACACAAGAAAAATAGGAAGAAGCCAAGAACACTGTCTTTGAACAAGCAGTTTCTTCAGACATGATAAACGTAAAAAAAAAAATCCTTCCATCCTAAAGAATAGTCCATTTTTTCTTTACACGAATTAAGAAATGAAAATTATGCAATTTGAATAACTACTTGAAACAATTAAGAAATAAAAATCATCACGTAAGCGGAACCAAAATGTAAAAATTGACTGTTTTTTTTAGAACAGAAAGAGTAAAATATATATATATAGTGCGAGAAAGAGATCGGTGATCACGTACAAAAATATATGGCCTGTCGGCTTGAAATGGTCTAACAATAAATTAAGAGATGAACATTGTTGGGCTAAAATGTCTATTAATGACCCTTCAATTGTTCATTCATGTCAACTCCTTAGGTGTCTACCTCTCGACAAGAATTATCTGCTCCCACTGCCTTTCGGAATTAGAGGCACAAATATTCAACTTCATTGGAATTTGCACTCAAATAATTATTTATTTATCGCATTTAAAAATTCACTTTTATATCCTTCCAAATGGTAAGTCTTCAGGTTTTTTTACAGTGATTATTTTTTGAAAAAAATGGAATGACGTGTTCACATTTGAGTTCAAACGGATGGAGAAAATACAGCAGGGGATATATGATTTGGGCCTGTAGCCCACATTAATAGATAAAACTGAAAACACTCTATGCACAAAAATATAACTAGGTTGAGCCCACTTTCTCGCAAAAAACAACACCAAGTAGTAGGCCAAGCCCACAGTCTCATCCAAGAAGCGTCTGGGTTGACATAGAAGAAAGAAGAAGAAGGCAGAAGGCCGCCCATCCCATCAGCAAGCTAGAGATGGCTTTTGGTCAATGGAAATTCAGACTGGTGAATGGGAGTACGTGTGTGGTCTCTACTGAACACATTTCAAAACAAATATCAACCGCAACAAAAACAGTTTCCTTACAATCATTTCTTTCTCTTTGTTCCTTTCATTTTCCACTAATAAATTTTAGCAATTAACCATTTTAGAGGAAGAGTGATAAAAAGAAATGGAGTGCTATTGTTATTCTACCAGACTATCATCACCACACCCTTCTTTTATGCTTAACCTTCAGGTATTGATAAATAACTCATTGTATGTGCCTGCATATTCTTTTACTCGAGTTTTTCATTTTCTTGATAATTTACTTGAGCTGCTTTATGTCAAGAAAGAATCCTGAATTTTTATTTGTATTGAACTGAAACTGCATGAGCCGTGATGCAATTTTTCTGTTTTGGTTTCATCTACCTGGGTTCAGATAGGATTGTTTTCTCTTTATAACTCAATCAACTACCATTGCAGGGTTCTTCTTTACCTGTTTGTAGCAAATTGTCCAAAAATTCTAATCGTCTCCGGCTGCTGTCCTCTCCTTTTCTTCAAATTAATGACAGATTGCATTATCGACAAAGATCAGATTTTTTAACTTCAAAAACATATAGAGGAACCATATTAGCAGAAGCTGGGAAGCAAGGTTGGGACTTTGGCAGATTTTTAAAAACATTATATTTCTTCAATGGGCCTCCATCTCCTGCTAAGGTTAGAAAGTTCTTTTTCCAACTTTTATTTCGTCAAACCAAAGAATTCCTTAAAATATTTAACTAACTTCAACTTCCCATTTGTGAAGTTCTTTGAGTTTCTAGTCGACAAACTATCCAGTCCATCACCTAGTGAGCCAAAAACGGCAATGGATAGTTCGGGCATTGTCCTTGTGGTTGGAGCAACAGGTGGTGTTGGCAAAAGGGTTGTAGATGTCTTACGAGAGAAAGGATTGCCGGTCCGAGTATTGGTATCTGCTCTTACCTTCTCCGAGTGGTTTTTTCGCCTATCTTAGTTTCGAGTAATATCTCGAAGAAAATATGTAATGGAAAAGATAAAAATCTGATCATGCTGCCTTCTGCTTATTTTGTTTTTGCATCAAATTTTTTCTCAGGTCAGAAATGCAGAGAAGGCAAGGAAGCTATTGGGCTCAAATATTGACTTGGTGAGCTGGCTGCTGTTATAAAGTATAGACTACAACATGGTGATGAATGCAATGATTGCAATTATTTTTAACTTTCTCTATTTACTAGCTAACAAAGCTTCCATTCCTATCTATAATATTGCTTTAGAAAAAATTTCTGCTTTTATTTATTGGAGGAAATCTTCATTTCATTTTGAAGACATTGTGATGGGATATTTTCTATTTTGTGTGGAAAATGATTGGTTTTCTTTAATTTGGCCTGTCTTCGAGTCAAATTATTTGCACTATATAATTGCAGGTAACAGACTTAATTTGTAAAAGTGTAATCAATGTTTTCATTATCGACTTGTCAGATAGTTGGAGATATCACTAAAGAAAGCACATTGGTCCCTGAGTACTTCAAAGGGGTGAGGAAAGTTATCAATGCTGCTTCTGTCATTGTTGGTCCCAAGGAAGGTGATACTCCAGAAAGGGCGAAATATAGCCAAGTACGGTTCCAAACATCATCTGTATCAATGTCCATAATGTTTTTGCTTGTCATTGTGCAGCTGGGCCATTATCATGAATCTTAACCAAATTATTTATCAATTTGTTGTACCTTATTCACCATTTTAAGTTTTTGTTTCTTTCTACTTTAGGCATCTGACTTTCAATTATGATGTACAGGGAATCAAGTTCTTTGAACCAGAGGTACTTGAATGATTTTATATGTCTTTTGTCTTTGGAGTTAAATTTATCTTTCTTATCAATCACATTGGAACTTTGATTGATGAAAGCAGATTAAAGGCGATTCACCTGAAATGGTGGAGTACATTGGGATGAAGAATTTGATTAATGCTGTAAAAGAAAATGTTGGACTTCGAAATGGGAAACTGATATTTGGATGTGAAGGTACTCCATTTTTTTTTTTTTTTAAAAAAAAAGAAAGGAATATATATGCTGTACAATTGAATCAGCTAGTCTTCGATAACATGTTTTATCTAACTATTTATTGGATTAACTGATACTTGATAATGGTTGAGCCTCAATATTTGAACAAGTTACTTATATGGCAACCAATTAGTAGTTTTTGTCATCTCTAGCCTTCATCAATTAAGCATTTCAATACTTCGAATCTATCAAAGGAAATTTGGACCTTGTTTGCAAATTTCCACCTTCACTAAAATGCAAAGCTTATGCTAGAATATGTCGTGTGTGTCTTCAAATTCTTTCTCCAACTTGCATCTTGCAGACAATAGTTTTAAAGATCTCCCTTGGGGTGCTTTGGATGATGTCGTTATGGGAGGTGTTAGTGAAAGCGCTTTCCAAATTGACACAACTGGTGGGGAAAATGGTGGACCAACTGGAATTTTTAAAGGTTAGTTTGATTTAAACTATGTTGCCTAAGCAGTGCTTGTGATCAAATGTACTGTCTGTTCATGTCTTTTTCTTGTGCACTTTTGCATTTGTCAGGTGTTCTTTCCACTGCAAATAATGGTGGCTTCACTAGTATCAGAACCAGGGTAATCTGCAGCTCTTTTGCTTGACTGCTCACCTTGCTTCCACAAGGCTTGGTTTGCTGTTTGCAACAAGCTCTACCTTTTTACTATCCATACCTTTATTAGTGATTTTATCGCTGCTAAATAGAACATGACAATCTGTTAACACCCTGTTCTTGAATAAATTTAACTTGCATTAAAATGGGTCCGTTAAGCCTATTTTTTGTATCTGATTTATCTTTCTTTTGCATTATACCATTATGAAAAGTTAGTTAAGTAAGGTTGACTATCATCTTCATATTTCCATATACCATTATCAAAAGTTAGGTAAGTATGGTTAATTATCATCTTCATATTTCTATACCATATATAAAGCCTGTCATCAGTGTGGCTAAGTATTACAATATATGATCTAATAGTGCACTTCTGCATTCGCTGTCTTGAATATCACGCTGCTAATTTTTTTTTTTTTTGTTCTTCTTGATGTTTGAAATTTGGTAGTGTTGGCCCAATTTTGATTGCTCAAACTTTTAGAGTAGCTTTATTGTCTAACATGATATCAGATGAGGAAGTCCTGTGGTTAAACCATTAGCCCTGTCAATTCCACATGTTGACTTTGCCGCATGAGGTGGATTATGAACACCATATAATATTCAATATAGTCGAACTCAAATAGTAATTCTGAGGCTGTAGCAGTTTTGAGGGGTGTAATGTTAGAAATTTTTGGAAATTGTAAATTTGGCGATATGAGAGAACACCTCTGCCAAAAATGCCATTTCCTTTTTATATTTTTTCCGGTGCAGTTTGTCATGGTTAAAAATGATTTGACAGAAAAAGCATGATGGATGTATTGTTTTATTTTGTCAAGTCCTATGTGATAATGTAAATCCATATTCTTTTTTCTAGAATTTTTCAGTACCCGAGGATCTTTCTGCATATGATGGTTTGGAACTGCGCCTTAAAGGAGACGGCCGTAGGTATAAACTTATCGTTCGTACCAGCCGTGATTGGGACACGGTTGGTTATACAGCTAGCTTCGATACTGTTGAAGGGCAATGGCAATCAGTAAGTAACATCATAACCTCCTTTTAACTAGCTGTGTTAAAAAGATTATGTTCTCAATTGGAACCGCTTTTTCCAGATACGCCTGCCATTTTCTTCATTGAGGCCAATATTTCGAGCTAGGACCATGCCAGATGCTCCTCCATTTGATCCCAGCAATATTATATCATTGCAGGCATGCCATCTCTGCTAAGTATTGTTCATTTTCTGTGTGACCAGCTTCTTGCTGTTGGTCAATTAACCAAATATACTTTCAGCTCATGTTCAGCAAGTTTGAGTATGATGGTAAACTGAATCCAACTTTTGCGGAGGGCCCATTTCAGCTTCCAGTATCGAGCATAAAGGCCTTCATAAAAGATCCTATAACTCCCAGGTTTAACATGTGTTTTACTTCTTTCTTTCGTTCTTTTTTAACTTTGTGAATTTTATTGATCTGCTGAAAAATTTATTTTGGCTTTGCATTCTGTTCATTGTAGGTTTGTACACGTGAGCTCTGCAGGAGTAACCAGGCCAGATAGGCCTGGTCTTGATCTGAGTAAACAACCTCCTGCTGTACGCTTGAACAAGGAATTGGGTTTTATCCTCACATTCAAGTTGAAGGTTGGTCATTGTCTATTTGTGATTTTGGTATGTTTGTTCTATTACTACAATGATGCCTATAGTAATCTAATGAGAGCACTTGGGGAGGACTGTTTATGAAGTACTGGAACTTCTAAATCTGTATTATTCACTGAACCATCTTCCGTAACTACATGAGACACGAGGGTTTTTCGCTGCAGTTGGCTGATCTGTGACAGAAAAAGCACAAGGATTAAGGTTAGAGAAAAGTTAAAATGTAAAACTTCTGAATATCTGATGTGTGGTGAGGAAACAATTTTCAGGAGTATGAGCTCCTAAGTTTACTGTGAGTTTGTATAGTATAGGAAAAGTACAGATATTTTGGAAGTCAAAGTAAGGAGAGGACATGTAAATCACATGTTGTGTGTGCATGCACATTGAAAATACATAGAGATCAAGATGTAGCAGATTATAGTTTCCTGAAACATTTGGATGGATGAATTTATTTATCTCTTTGTTGACTAATGGCCTGTTCAATGCTTTATCTATATTCTTGCTGGTTTAGCTAATGGATTTTGGAAATGATTTTCCAGCTATCATCAATACCTTAGACCATAGCACGTTCAGCATAAATAATTTTCTCCTTCATTGCAACCATCTGGCCAGAAATTGAAATTTCAGTGTCCAGATATATTTTGTTTTTTTTTTTTTTTCTTTTCCTTTTATTAAACCCTCTCTCTTTATGGCAGGGGGAAGACTTAATACGTGAAAGTGGTATGCCATATGCAATTGTAAGGCCTTGTGCTTTAACTGAGGAGCCTGCTGGAGCAGATCTCATTTTCGACCAGGGAGACAATATAACGGTAAAATAACGACTGGAAGTTTAACATTTCTTTTCTTGCTCAAGCTTTCTAGGACCACATTAGATGGTACAACAGAAAAACCTTTGTTGGCAGGAAATTTCTCTTGGAAATTCAGTTTTATGACAGTGCTGAAGCTTCTGTTCTCTTTAACCATTGTGTGATATATGCAGGGTAAAGTATCAAGGGAAGAGATTGCTCGGATATGCGTTGCTGCTCTGGAAAGCCCATATGCATGTGACAAGACATTTGAGGTAATAGTTTTTAACATATGCACATGTAATGTTGATTTTGGTTCTACCTAAAGCTTTCTGGTTTTTCTTTTAATATTGATTGGAAATACTGACCAAACTATGTACTGTCAAACTTGTCTCATCATAATGAATTGATCGGGCATTAACACTCTGATACACTTTAGCATTATGGTTTTGCATGTAACAGCTCATATCACAAACCAGTGTATATTAACACTGTAGACTTTCAACCTCGGGGGTTAAAGAATAAAAATAAAAGTTTTGGGTGCCTAAACATTTATATTTTTGAAAATATAAATAAACTTATGGGTGAAAATTTGAATTTGGACCTAAATCTGCCCCGTATCCAAGTAAAACTATTCTGGTAACAATTGCTTTTGTGTAGCAAGGAAAATCTGGTAGCTTTTGTAATTCTCACTCCTAGAGCCAGAATTACTAACCTCCTTGGTTTTAAATTGTTCTCCATCGCACTTCATAATAAAAGGAAAAGAGGCTTTTGAGTAAGTTTGTGAAAGAAAGTAAGGTCTTTATCCATTCTATGAAATTGACAATTACTCATTGATCTCTTGGGAATGTGCATGAAATTGTTTGTTTATTTTATTTTTTTTTTTTATTTTATTTGAATGATAACCATGTAACTTGCATACTTTTTTTCTAGTTATGAAATTCATTTTTTTTTTCCAGCCTTTTCAGTTGTGGAGAGAATCATGTATTTATACTTTTTTGCAGGTTAAAAGTGTGATTCCATTTAGTGAACCATTCACTGTGGACCCACAAAACCCACCTCCGGAGAAGGATTACAACGAATATTTTAAAACATTGAAGGATGGAATTACGGGAAAAGAATATCTAGAACGTAGTCCTGTTCCACTCTAATTCCCCAGGTAGCAGGTGTGGACTCATTATTTCTTCTGTAAGTGATACATAGGATGATAACAAATTGTCACATTTCATCTAGATATATGATCCAGCAAAAGGAAGCATAAATATCTGAGTTGCTTCTTTAAAAGATATGCAGCAGTTGAAAATGAAATACAGAAAGGAATAAACTCTTCAACTTATTCATCTGATTTCCCAATCCATAAAACAGTTCAAGAAAACTCTTAATTACTTCTCTTTTAAGTCCCCCAAAATCCTATAACTAAGTTAAATAGTCCACATAAATGAATTTAAGTATATATTTTTCTCATGCAGATCTTGACCCCTACAACTACAAATTAATGAAGCAGGGGCTTGTAGAGAAACGCCCCTATCAAGAAAGAGATGCCAGCGGAGGAAGATGAAGCTATCAACGATTGATGTTGGAGCAATGTGCAGAGAAGATGTGTAAAAATACTCCCCGCATAAAGACTAATGTATATAAACTCAGTTTTCTTTAAGCTGTATATAAGCTGTATACCATTTCATCTCAGAATTTGATACTTCGAACATTCGAAATTTCACCCCTCTATGAATTATATTGATCGGTGTGCACGATAGATTGAAATAGAGAATAGAACTTTTGCATATTCAAATAGATGCAATTGTACATTGCATGGATGTTGAAAGAACAGGTGCTTCAACAGCAGCAGAAGCAGCCTCAGACTTTAACAGAAATTTTGTCAACAGTTACCGATAAAGTTTTATTATCCTTTGTTAAGAAGATAGAACGCTACTGTTAATTCCTTTTCCTGTATGTCCATAAGCATTTTACAGGGATGTCTGGACATGTGACAAAGGTAAAAACAGAGCAAACCTGGGAAAAGGCAGGATTGAATAGAGAATCTTTTTAATTTTCTAATTAAAGTCTTTAAATTATATTTCATATATGTTTTTACTTTTTTTTTTTTTTTTTTTTTTTACCATTTTTCTCAATTTATGGTATTGTGGCTTCTAGTACCAAGGTGGATGCATTGAAATTTAAATCAAAATTGTCTTTTTATGTTCATGCATTTAATTCTCTCTCAGTGCCTTGCTTTGTTTATTGTTGTTTCCAAGTTTGGTATTATGGAGGTTATTTCTTTAAATATAATCAAACAATTTTCATTGTCTAATAAAGGGAAAATTTATCTATATGTAAATAAATATTTATATATGTTTATTGAGAAAAAAATGATAAATAAAATAATTAAATAGTAAAAAATAGAAAGATGTAGGGCTTTTAATTTTAATTTTCTGAAATTTATAAATGTTTGAAACCCCACACACACCCACCCAACCCTCCCTCTCAAAACAAAGAACAAAAAAGAAGTTGAAAAATTAATTAGTCCTAAACGTAACTTTGCATCACTTTCATTGGATACTGAATAGCCCGTTAAAGTGAAAATGACAGGAAGATCATGAATTGGTTGCAGAGCTTTGCAACAAATGCAGAGAACTTGAAATATACATATATATAAGTTCGAAAATGAAAAATAAAATCAAATAAAAAAAATCATGCAAATATATGCATTCTCTATATATTATAATATCATTTTTAAAACAATTAATGGCGTTTACATATCCTAAAAAAAGAGAAAAGAAATTGGGAAAAAAAAAAAGAAAGAAAAGGAAATGCAAGTTCATCTTCTTTCTTTGTAACATTGTAGTAGAACTTGAAATATAAATATGAAGCCTTTATACCTAATCTCTTTCATGGAGATAATAATAGTATCCCTTCAAAAGCACCACACTGCCTGCAAAAGACAAATTCCAAGAAACAGGAAATTAAAAAAGATAATTAATGTTCAAACGAATTTCTGTTTTTATCTCAAATTATGAAAAACAAGAATAATATAACTAGACGCATACGTTACAGAAAGCTTTATGTATTCTTCTACGTCGACGTTTATTATCCATTACATGTCTAAGCTTTCGGAGCATTTCTTCCTCAGTAAAAATCCGATCCGGCGAGCTCAAGAAAGCACTTCTTCTAACAGGAGGAGACCATAATCCACTTTGTGCATAATCAAAATCATATTCACTAACATCCAAGAATTTATTCAGAAGTCGGTCTGATACAGACTTGGACACTAACTGAATTTTATGAGGAGAAGTTGAAGAAGAAGAAGAAGAAGAGGCTTCCTCAGAGGTAGACATTATTTAAAAAAAAAAAAAAAAAAAAAAAAAAAAAAAGGAAAAAGGTCAAGAAAGGCAAAAGAAGATAACAGAAGAAGATATGTCTCCCCGAGATTGAAGAGATTGCTAAGAAAGGAGACAGGCAGCATTCTTTGGAGAAGGAAGGTTAAAAAAAAAAAAAAAAAAAAAAAAAAGGAAAAAGGGTCAAGAAAGCAAAAGAAGATAACAGAAGAAGTATGTCTGAGATTGAAGAGATGCAAGAAAAGGAGACAGCAGCATTTTGAGAGAGAAGGGTTAAAGAATTGAAAGTGAAGGTGGGAAGTATGAAAAAGACGTGTATGGCTGTATGCAATCATAGAGAGAGAGGTAATGGGCTAGCATAACTAAAAGCTATTCATATTTGGTGGCGTAATATATTAGATTCTAAGTTTGGAGAGTGCTACTATCCTTAACATTTTTGGATTGCTATCATTTTTCTTATTTTCAATTTTATCCATGTGAGACTTTCTTTCGTGGACATGAGGCACATATTCCTTTTGGTGGACCCTATTTCAATCATTCTTGATTAAGGGTTGGGAAAATCTTTAGGTCATAGGAAAATCTGTGATATATATCAAAATTTGCTTACCTTTTTTTTTTTAAACAAAATGGATCAGAATTCAAATTCAAAACTTTAAATAATTTTGGTATCATTAAACTTTATTTCATGATTATAGTATTTTTATTATTTATAATGTTTAATGACACATCGTTTATATTAATATTTAGAATTTGAAAGAGTATAATATAAAACATTACTCCTTTCAACTTTTGATAAAAATATTATTCAAACTGCTGACAGCTACTTGGTCAACTGAAAAAGAGAATAACTTATGAGAGAATGTTTCATCAAATGTTAAAAGGAGTAACTTTTCACTACTATAAACGCTATGCTATCGAACACCGTAAATAATAAAAATAGTATTTTGCCTTAGTCAAATTAAAAGTTATATAAAAAAACTATTGCCTAACAACGGCAAAAAAAATAACTAATTTTATTTAACAAACCCTAAGTTTAAAGCTGTATTTAGAGAATTGAAATCTAAAATTCTAAGATGTGAATTTTAAAAACATATTAATATTTCATAGCATTTAAAAATAAAATTTAAAAATATAATTACAGAAAAATTTAAAAGGTAGAATTTAAGAAATCAAAATAATAATTAGAAAGTGAATTACTGAATCAAATATTATCATAAAAAAAATTAAAATGTAAGTTAAATTGGCTATTGAAAAAAAAATGCTAAAAATATATTCACCAAAAAAGAAAATAGTAATAAAATATCTGGTACCAGCAGTGTAGTATTTGCTAATGATTACATCGTAGCCAATTAAATGGCTACGGCTGTCCTGAGATATTGTGTATATTGGATTTATTAGGCAACTATATCTTAAAGTGCGCTTGCTATGTTGAGACCACCTAAAGGATGGTGCGTCTCCATACTTTATGCAAAGTAATTAACTTGTGATAATTGATATGCATAACCAAAGATGGCCCATTAGAGATTCAGTTCTCATTGTATTATTGAGTTGACTCAAACGGAATCATAATTTTTATATTTTTTAATTATTTAATAAATGTTAAAATGATTTAATTTTATAAATATTTAATAAATTTAATTTATAAATTGAAAATATACAGTAATCAAAATAAAATTCTTTTAAAAAAAAAATATGTATTGAGCCAAAAATAAAGAAACATCATATATTTTAAACAAGGCGCGACGGTGATAGTTTAAGGAAAACAATGCAAAGCAAAAATAAAACTCAAAAGCACATATTTTGACAATCATATCTTCACATGTTAATATAAATTTCATAATGAGCCATCATAGGTTATGATAAAAGAAAAATCAAAGTGAAAGGAAATGGCAGTAAATTGTCGGCAGATATTAATTGCTACCAATTTGATACCCACAGACATGCTATCCTACTCAGTGTCTGGAAGCTTTGATAAGAAAATTTTTCAATAGTAGAATTTAAAACACTGATTACAAACCCAAAATTCTAACACCTTCAATCAAGGAATTTTTAATTGAAGAGACATTTATGTGATGTAGTGTAATATTATTATTGCAATACTTAGATTACAAATATATTAGGGCTCATCAAACTGAAATTTTAATCTAGCTATTCATGAATCAAAATAATAAAAAAAAATTTTTTATTAAAAAAAAGTATTGTGGCTATTTATTAAAAAAAAATAAAGTAAAAATAATTTTTAAACTATTTTTTTTATTTTAATTAGTTTGATTGACGATCGGGCCTTAGAACTTGACCAATTTTGCAGTAAAGACATATTGGAGAGGATGACCCATTTGTCGATTTCTGGTCTCGGATTATGGCCCGTGGGCAGGCCTATTGCAAATCAAACCATATCTTGGCCTGTTGCTTTGCTACTGTTTGATAGAGTTAGATGACACCGGTTTCAGTTTTGTTTTTACATCCGCTGAAATTATCTTCCATGCAACCATTGATTGCTCTAATTTATTTACGAGTTTAACAAATTAAAAGTTAAAAACAATAACCTTCTTTAGTACGTGTCAAAAAATATAAACATTATCCATAATACTCTCTATTTTAAGACGGTTTGTTAGATAGTGTGACTCAACTAATTATTTTTCTTTTCTTATTTATTATTTTTTTCTTATTTTTTTATTTTCCTTTTACACCTTCTTTTTATTCACGCTCAGCATTAAAATTGATTTCTTCTTCGTGCTCAAGCGAAATTAAAACTGTAAAAGAAAAGTCCTAGCAATTGAATTAGTGAAAGAGCAATAATCAAAGCAACCATGGCCTACCAGGAAAGTAGAGAATATGTTTTTAGTTTATTGTATTTAGTTATAGGTTTAATTTTAATTAAATATAATTTTGAAAAAAAAAACACTCATCAGAAAATTCTAATATAAACAGAATATATTGGGGAGCAATTTTTAAAATCTAACATTTATAAATACACATTTAGCCACATCATTATCAACAATTTATATTTATTAAGACATATCAGCCAGAATCCATAATTGTATTGAAAATACCTTAAGTAAACTAATTTTGGAAGAAGTTAGATTATTATTATTATTATTTTCTAAAATCCGAGTTCACCAATAACAAAAAATAATACATATTTTTTAAAAAATAAAAGAAACAAAATTCCTGGTAAGGACTTCTTTCCTATAAATGGTTAAAATAAAATAGTTTGGGAAGGAAATATCTACTTTGTTCCATAATACTTGTCATGTTTGAGAAAATAGTTTATTCCAAAATGTTTGTTACTAATAAATTTATTTTTTTCATGTTTACCTTTTATATATGATCAATACTTATTATTTCAATTTATTGATTTATTAGAAAGTTAATATTAAATTAAGGATAATATAATCAATTTGCTCGATAATTTATTGTAATTTAGACAATTTTAATGGTTTGCATAAAAAATGTAAAATTCTAAATGTGATAAATATTGTGGAATAGAGGTACTAATAAGCTCTTCATGTGCTTTTTTTATTTTTTATTTTCACAAGGTTACCCCAAATTTATTGGACATAAATAGCACGCAACATAAAATAGAAATTTGGCGTTATTACAAAGGATCTTTACCTTAACTTTATCTTTTATTTTTCTGATTTTTTTGGTGGATTTCAATTAAGACAATTAATTAGTAGTAATTAGTAATTTCGATAAACGTAAGTAGAGAACTAATTACACAACTCTGGAAAGACCAAACTACCCTTTTTAAAAGTCATTCACTCACAAGAGCTACACCAGTCCAGAAATATTTTTTCAAGGGTATTACAGTCATTTAAAGTAGGCTTCAAAAGATCACCCCCACTTTCTCCAAATTTCCCCTCTGGCATACAGAGAGGCAAAGCGGACAGCAGTCTCACCCATTTCCAACTCGTTCCTAGGCCAAAAGGGTCAAAGAAACACACAAAAAGCTTTTATATTTGAGTGTTTTTATAAATTACAAGAGAAAATCACTCTTTCTCTCTGTTACCTCTTCCTTTCTTTCAAGCAAAGCAAGAGGAGAAGTGATGGCTGGTTATAGAGCTGAAGATGACTACGATTACCTTTTTAAGGTGGTGCTTATCGGTGATTCTGGTGTGGGGAAGTCCAATCTGCTCTCAAGGTTCACTCGCAATGAGTTTAGCTTGGAATCTAAGTCCACTATTGGAGTAGAGTTTGCTACTCGCAGCTTGAACGTTGATGGCAAAGTCATCAAGGCCCAGATTTGGGACACTGCTGGCCAAGAGAGGTCTGTGTTACAGTCTTTCTTTTGGTTGTGGATTTTGTGATCTGGGTTTTAAAAGTTTTTGTTCATTTTTGTGATCTGGGTGCTTCGTGTATTTTCGGAGATTTTGAGTGTTCTTTAAATTTTTGAGCTTTTAAATTGCGACTGGGTTTTTTTCAGTTTGCTCTTTTTGAACATTTTAAACGTTTTTGAGACAGTTTCCTGCTTTTGTGATCTGGGTCTTCCACATATAAGAGGTCTCATGTGTTAATTGGATATTTATATGTCTTGGTCTGCTTGCTTGCTGTGAAAAGTGAGGGACAGAGAAGTAAATTGGATACTGAATATCTTTGGTTTGTGTGTGGTGGAGTTTAGGATTTGCATATTAAGAAGGTTTACTTTGCTTTTATATCAAGTGATCTTGGTTTTGTGAAGATTTGGATTTAGATTTGCGATGGAGACTGATAGATCTTGACATTTTGCAGCTACTGTATGACAGCCTGCATATCTATATTGCTTGTTGCATGAGTACCTTGACATTGGGTTGGGAATTAAATAGAAAGTTTTTGAATTGGGTTATGATATTCTTGGTATTAGATGTTGGCGGTTGGAAGATGAAAAGCAGAAGCTAGATTGGTTGGAAGATGAAAAGCAGAAGCTAGATTGGACTTCTTATAGCTCCTGCACTTCATATTTTGTTTCAGGATTTATTATGATAAAGAATAAGTTCTTCGTTCTTATGTTAGTTGGAGGTGAAATTTACATCATGTTAATTCTGTTAAATTATGTGGCTGCAATCTTGCTCGGATCATGGGTTCTCTTGGTGTTGTGGCAGAGAGTTGGATGGTCTTTTGCTTGTACTGTAGATAGGGCTTGAAGGGTTAAGAGGCTAACTTGTGTGGTCAATATATAAACCTAACTTCTAAACCATGTATTGCAAAATCATAACTATCTAAATTAATTTATTTGAGTTTGATCCTTACATTGATGGCACGAGAAGCTAATGTAAGTTATAGATTTGATTTTAGACAGATTGAAAGTGGGATTTCTGAATTGATTTTTGGTCATGCACTCATGCTTTTTAAGAATTTTTTTTTATTTGTTCCTCTTATTAACATGGAGGGTGGGTAACAGATAGAAGGCCTGAGAATGATATAGAACCCTATGATTTTTTTTTTTTTTCCTGAGAAACTGCCTATTTCTTGTATATCTTACGATACATATTTTTTGTATGTCACTTTTTAGCGTACATGCAGTTATAATTTCTGGTTTGGAGTTTTAATAACTTTTTGTGAACTATCTATGGTCTGTGTTCTGAACTCAACTTGTTTTAGCAGGGTGTATGTATCCTCGGCCATTATCTGTGGTTTTAACTCCTCTTGCAGCATATAGAGTTTTATGTACATACACTATTATGTCACCCTGCATATTTTCTGCATGCAACAATTGATGTAGCTAACAGTCTTTGTTATGCTTTTCTGAATGCTGTTATTGTTTCACATCATGTTGCCAAGTGACATCATTTCTAGGTAGACTAGGTTGTCCTTAGTACCTTTTTCTCTTTCTTGCCAGCTCTTCTCTTCTGACTTTTGTTAGAATCTTAGTTCATAGACATTACCCCCTTCCTGAACTTATGGTCTGTCCTTTGATCTTTCCTATTTGCATGAGGTATTTGGATTTTTTGCTTTTAGTTTGCAAATTAAGACTCTTGCTTTTGTACATCATGGATATTGTTTAATTTGTGGGATTGATGGATAAGCATGTCTCTTACAGCAGCTGCACTTGATTTTTGGACTATTTTCCTTGTTAAGTACTATATATGCATTTGATCAGATTAGTATATTTAGTAATAAGTTTCTCTTTATAATTTTGGTCAACATTTTGTTTCTATTCCACAGGCTTAGACACTGTACTTTCATGGTGTATCACTTACAGTTATAAGAATGCCTTTTACCTTTCACTTTTTATAACACATTCCTTTGCCTCAGAATCAAATTTTTGACCCGTCAAGATTAAGGTATTTTCTTTATTCTAAGAAGTTCAGAAGTTTTTTGAAGCCCACTGAAACCTTAAAGTGGTCCTCAGGTACCAAGTGTAACTATTGTTTGGGAGAGAGAAAATAGAAAAAATATGAGGGAAGGGAAGAGAAACACAAAAACAGGGAGAAGAGAAGGAGAAAAAGAGACAATATTGTAGAAATGAGAAAGTTTCTAGTAACATATCCTTACAATGTTATCCTATCAGTGGTCAGGGCCTAGTTCACATTACTCTCACTTCAAATGCAAAATAAAAAACGAGTGATCAAAATCCTTGTCTTTTGATTATAGCTAGTTTGTTATTACAGTCTCGTGGAGGTGAAACTTGGGCCTTAGTTTTAAGATTTCCTAGGTTCTTTAGCTCCATCGTCACATTCCAACAGCTAACTATCCAACAGCAACTCATTGATGCTCTTTAGGATGCATAGCAAAATCCTGCCTTCTTACAACTGTAAGCTTGTTTTAAAGCCTATTCTGAGTTTCTGGAACATGATAAAACTTCAGCCAACCCTACTCAAACAATCATTAATGGGCCTATTTTTTCATTTTCCCAGTCTACCTGATATGCCATGTCCATATCTACTCTGGTGTTTCATCTTTGCTATCCCTTTTATCAGAGCTACGAAGAATGATCCACATAAATCACCCCATTGCATTGATGATCTCAAATAGAAATAGAATTTATGGCATGTTATCCAGTATTGCTAGGTTGATCCTTTACAATTTCTGTGAATTTCATTTATTTTTACCATATACAGGCTTTGCAATTATATGTAGGGAAGTTTATGCCCCAATTTTTAGAATTGGTGTCTGATTTTGGCCATACACGCTTTCTTAAAAATATTCTTGGCCAACATGCATTTTTTGCCTTTCTACAATAAATTAGTGCTAGCAGGTTAAAGGTGATTTGCTGCTTTGCATGTATAGTGAGATGCTATTTACTTGTGATGCATTTGAAGGGAGGATGCACCCAATAGCTAGATGTAGAAGTGCTTGTTCAGTTGTGTTTAATTGATATCGAGTCGGTAGTTGGCTGGTGAATTTATGGTGGTAATGAAACCTCAACAAAAGGTATCATGGAATGGATTATGGAAGTTTTACAAGAGATACAAGTGACACTGAGGTTGGTAGTATGGCTATTTATTTAAGTTGCTAATGTGAAGAAAAGCATTGTATCATTAGATTCTTTGTTTTACCGTTCATACCCAAGGTTTTTTCCTTTTTTGTTCTATGAGAAAGAAATCTCAGCTGGTTTCGAGGTTCTGTTTTTGGTAGAATGTAGATTATCTAGTTTTCGGAACTAGATGCTCTGTCTGAAAGTCATATTCATTGTGATTTTGCATTTGTGCACGTGCAGGATTTTGATATCTTTGCGTTTGAGGCTGTAGTTACCTTTTCATTTTACTCAGTACTCTTGTTACTTTGCACCTCATGTATTTGAGGCTATAAGTATTTATCTGTTAAACTATAGATGCAGCGAGGTGTGTTGGGAGTCTTCCTCTTGATCTTTTGAAGTTAAAAATTTGATGAATGCTAATGGAGGTGACTAGAACAATTTATGTTAGTAAAAGGGACCTAGAAAATCTCGCAAATATACATACAGTTGCCAGTAAAACATATTTATTTTACATATTCTGAATTTTGAGGCTCTGCCTAGTTTTGCATATTTCCAAGACAATAAACGCTTGAAATTCCAGGGCTGCAAAGTGCACCCTTCCCAACCCCCCAAATCCTCCCTCCTGTTTTGCATCTTCTTTTTCCTACCTTTTAGACTTACCAAACTTCTAATTTCTTGAGGTATCTTAAGATTATTTTATCAAAGTTACTCGATTTTGTGTCATTTATTCTTACCAGTATCACTTCCAGTGAAATTTTTACTATTCTTCCTGGTAGGACCTACTAGTTTTATTGTGGAACATTTTGATGACATGTCAGTTTTGAGGCCAAAATGTGCATGTGAGAACCTACAAATTCCAGTGGTTATTTGAAATCACATGTAATGTGAAAAGCTCACTATTTTATTTTATTTTATCAGCAAAAAAAAAAAAAAAAAAAAAAAAAAAATGTGCATGTGAGAACCTACAAATTCCTGGTTATTTGAAATCACATGTAATGTGAAAAGCTCACTATTTATATTTTTATTTATCAGCAAAAAAAAAAAAAAAAAAAAAAAAAAAAAAAAGGCTCATTTATGTTTGCTGATATATACATTTCAGAAATGATGGAAAAGGGGCTGTTAAAAAAAAAAAAAAAAAAAAAAAAAAAAGCTCATTATGTTGCTGATATATACATTCAGAAATGAGGAAAAGCTTGTTTTTCAATTATAATAGCAAAAGGCGATTTCTACTACTATAATGAGAAGCCATTGGTATCTATTATCATGCTGTTTAGGAAGTCCAATGCTTTTGTTTGTTTAAGGATTCAGCAAAATCATTTCAACTGACCAGACAAGACATGTGGACCTGGAATAGGTTGACTGAAGGTTGCTGAATGATTTCATGAATATATGTGGTCTTTTGAATGCTTTCTAGGAATCAATTTTTTAACATGAAAAATTAGCAATTTGCTGCTTTTGTGGGATGTAGATCTTCTAGAAACTATCATTCACTTCTTAACAGAGGGATCTTGAGCATGCATCACTCAAGCTGAATCTTTGGAGCCAGCCACAATGCAGTGCAGTAAATAAATTGGGTTTGGATGCCAAATCAGTTTAGCAATTGATTCGACATATCCATTGGATTTTACGTTGTTCTTCTATGTGTAATGCTGTTCTGCTTTCTGTGACTTGTAAACAATTTATATTGGTCACATGTTGCCTTTCTCGTCCACTTACAATTTGTAATCACAGCTTTCCTTTTCTTCCCTTCTAACCTTTTATTTGACGTATAGGTACCGTGCCATAACTAGTGCTTACTACCGAGGAGCCGTGGGTGCACTACTTGTATATGATGTCACCCGACACTCAACATTTGAAAATGTGGAGAGGTGGCTAAGGGAATTAAGGGATCATACAGACCCCAACATTGTGGTCATGCTAATAGGTAATAAATCAGATCTCCGCCACCTTGTGGCTGTCTCAACTGAGGATGGGAAATCCTTTGCAGAGAGAGAGTCACTCTACTTCATGGAAACTTCTGCTCTGGAAGCTACAAACGTGGACAATGCATTCGCTGAAGTGCTTACTCAGATCTACCGTATTGTAAGCAAGAAGGCCATGGAAACTGGTGATGAAAATGCTGCTTCTGCTGTCCCTTCCAAAGGAGAGAAAATTGATGTCAGTAAAGATGTGTCTGCTATGAAGAGAGTAGGATGCTGCTCAAGCTAGGAGTTTAGTCTGCATTCAATTGTTACGAAGGATGGAGCTGGTTTGTTTCGCTGCATCTAATTTTATGTACACCATTATTGTGTAAAATTTTCTGAAATATGGCAACAGTAGGAGATTGAGATTGGTTTTTATTTTGATTTAAGATCTTTTCCTTCGACTGTTATTTCTAGCTGACAGGGAGCTTAATTAGGAACAAGGTATTTTACACTATTGCTTTCAAAAAGTCCAAATCCGCACCAAGCTATCTATTTAGTTGTATTAAGGTAATGTTTGGAATTACATTTTCTGCATCAATTGATAGGTAATTCAATTAAATTACCCTATGGGTTTCAGAAATTTGTCTTATCTCGCATTCCGTTGAAGCAATTTATCATTTTGTTGACAGTGGATGATGTCTGGATGATGTGGGCCATACTGTCTGCTAGTTTTTTTTTATTGATATGACATGCTATTAGCATCTTATTTATAACTACGGATAAGTTTCTCACAATGCCTAATTATATATTTGTCTTCGAGCAGAGCATTTAACATACTTGCAATTTTCATCTTTTAAGTATTTGGTTTTTATAGATTTATTGAAATCAACTTTGGTGTTCTTGTTAGCTAGCAGGTTTGACCATATATATACTTTACCTTTTCTTGATTCATGTTACAAGACGTGAGCTTGATTTTCTTGATTCTTGAACCACGTTTTCTAAACGTGTATTTTTATGCTTTGAAAATGTATGGCTCAATCGTGACAGTCAAGAATTCACAAGAAATAAAAAAAGGATGTTCAGAAATTAAATTCTTGATTTACATGAGAAAATGAAAGGGGATTAATTCAAGAAGAGAAAAAGAATCAGTATTCATCAAAAAGAGAGACAGATTCCTCAACTAATCCCAGATACAGACACGAAAATCAGCTGTTTTTAAGAATATTTTAGCTAAAGCATCATTATTAAAATCAAATGGATCATGTTACTCATTGGTTAGAGCTTGTAGGTTGCTTTCATTAACTCTTAATCTCTATTGCTAAGCTGGCTTTTGTTTTAATTACACATCGATCCCTACGCCTGTAAATGGATAAGGAAGGAGATGATTAATTAGGAAGAGGATCTCAACCATTCATTAACTGACGTTACGGTGACTTTGCATGTGATATTGTGCCAGGCACGTGTTCGACATGTAAAAATCCATAATAAAAATTTATACAAACTTTGACCATATAAAATTTCAACATATTTTTTTTATGTTGTATTAACAGGGAATAAGCGAGTCAAATCGCCAATCAACTCCCTAAAGTTCGGTTTAAAAATAGCTCATTCAAGCAAAGCTTATTAATGATCTAGCTCGAGATTGCAAAATAAATAATTTTTTTAAAACTATAAATTATAAATGACCTGAGGTCGAATTTAGATTTTCAAATTTGATTACACATTTATCAAATTTGTTTCGGTACGTGTAAAGTCTTAAAAAAAAAAAAAAAAAAGCCTTTTCAAATTTGATTACACATTATCAATTTGTTTCCGGTACGGTGTAAAGTCTTAAAAAAAAAAAAAAAAAAAAAAAAGCCTATAATACAACTCACTCGCTAAATAACTATTAATTAATTTAGTTAGGGATAACTTAAAACTTATTAAGCTAATACCCAATAATTGAATATTTAATTCATTAATATTTTATAATAATGAATTAAAATTTAATAAACATTTCAATGTGTATATGTATATATTTTAATCTTCAACATATATAAAATTAAGGACTTAGGTCCCACATCTGAGTATCCATAACAACTCTTTGTTTTGTATAAGGAGGATTCTCATTACTTTAGAAGAATTCTTTTTTATTTTTATTTCCCCATTTCTTAAGGTAATATAAATAGAAAATTGAGAGAAATCATGTGCCTGCGACAGATAACAAAATTGAATTGTTTAGAGTAATAAATTGGAATATTGTCCAGCTAATGAATATGATATTTATATATAAATCATTCACCTAAAAGTCAAAACTTATTGGTGGTTGATTTGGAAATTTTGGTTTTGGACAGCCAATCATTTGAATCTCATCCAAATCAGTTGTTCTGCAAGCTGTGAGCTATGAGTATGACTGCCCATTTATAAGTACTGTCTTTGCCCAATAGTCACTCTCTTGATTTACGTGTCCAAAGTTATATATATAATAATAATATTATCCTAGAGAAGGAATTAATAATGTGTATGCAATGCTCTCTCTATGTAATATGTATAAAACAAAAGCCTCTGCAAAAATATTACTAATAGACCCTACTTCAAGTTTTAAAGGTGGGTTATAAACTTTACATCAAAGATTTACAACAATAAATTAATACACGTTTTTTTTTTTTTTTTTACCGTTTCTATTGTTCCTAATCCAAGAGATATTCCCGAAACACAGAAATGCAAGTACGAACATTTCCATGCAACTCAGCTTTGTGGCTGCTCAGACAGACACGTTTTCAATGTATATAAATATCTAAGCCTCCACTTTTTCCTATCAAAGTTGTAATATCAACGAACTGTACTTCTGTTCCATAGAGAAGTGTAATTCTGCTGTAACAACTGTCAGTTAATGACATAATAAATGTGATTCAACAAATAAAACATAATTCATTCAATGAATATGATACACTCCATGTCGAAATATAGCTTTTTTTTGAATGAGAAATTTTTTACCTATAATTGAATCTCAAAATCATTATCATTTCAACTATATATATAATTATCTTAATTATAAAATGTCGCGGAAAATTTCAAGAAATATAATAAATAAAAAGATACTAGTGAAAGAAAGAAGCTCAAGAGGACACAATTTTTTTTGGAGAAAAAGGACGAAATGGAATTTCGTGTTCATGGGTTACCAACTAACCTTACCTTACCTTACCTTGTTCACAACTAAAAATCATAAATGCGATTTTGATTGATTGATTGATGATTTATTTAGACAACAAATATTTCTTTTTCATGGATAAAATTTTTAAAAGAAAAGAAAAGAAATAAATATATATCCATTAATTCTGAGACGGCAAGTGCAAAATAATTACAAGAAGATCGCGACAGACTTCAGAATTGGACTTTTTATTTCACTTAATTTACTACACTGAAATCAAGGCAAAAATCATAACTTAAATAAAACAAATAAGTAAAACCATAGAAGTAGAAAATTAGAGAAAAGAAATAAAAAAAAACTAAAGAAAATTAATTTCTGTTTTGTTATCTTGTGGTGCACGATACGCCCACCTTTGAATTTTATAACCCGCGTCATGACAATCAAACGTGTCAGCAGATCTGGACTTGTGGGCCCACTCCACGGTGTTGCCTGAACACCGCCGAACACTCAGGCAGCTCTCCCAGATCGGCAAACAGTGATTCATCCTCTTCTCTCATCGGGTAATACATCGACGCTTCTGCCTCTGCCGTGCTCCTCTCATCCGCAAAAATGGGGCTTTCGAGGATAGTAGAAGAGGTGGTTTCCATTTCTCCAAACCAGCTAAACTCATCTGTAGTTACAAGTGACTCGTCTCCGAGATCGGTGAACCTTTCTTCGGGTTCGGCTTCTTGTTCTGGATTTTCCTGCTCTGGTGGGGAGGGTGTGGAAATTTCAGGTTTGGCTACGTGGGATTTGGTGGAGGTGTTATTATGATGATGGTGGTGGTGGTGGGTCTTTGAAGGTGGTGGCCAAGGGTGGTTGTGTTCACAAGAGTAGGTGACCACTAGCATTGATGGGTCCACGCGGCTTCTCTCTACTTGTTTTCTTGCCGGACATCCCTTTGAACTACTACATCTGTAGTATCCTCTGCATAAAAAAAATAGATAAATAAAAATCAGACTATATATAATTTGATTATTTTGTGTTAGAATTGACGTGACAGAGAATTACCTGGGATAAGGGGAACCCTTGATGGGTTTCTGGCCGTACTTTCTCCAAGCCCAAGAATCGGGCGGTGGAGGTGCGGTTTCGCCTTTCAGCCTCGAGCCATCTACGTCCTTGAGTGAAACTGAGACAACCCTTTTTTGCGTTGCTCGTTTGCTGAAAAATCAAAAGTATAAAATATTTATAAGAAAAGCCAATCAAAAAGATGGTAACTTTTTTCTTTTCCATATATGATATCTAAAAAGGAGGGAATTTTAGAGAAAAATAACTACAATACCTTCTTTTTGGAGATGAAGAAGAAGTGGAAGTCATCTTCATGTCGTTAAGCAAGCTAGAAGAAGGAGGTGAATCAGGACCACTTTCTGTATTGTCGTTCTCTTTTTGGTCAGTGATTATTCTGTTGTTGAACCTGCCGTCCATTATTTACCAAAGCTGATAACAATTAATACTTATATTGATCGATCACTACGTATATATCTATGTAATTGACTGCCGTTGCCGGCCGGCGAGATGTTGATGAAAAAGAATAAGAAAGGAGAGATATTTGAGAGAGAGAGAGAGAGAGGGGGGAAGGGTTAGGTTGGTGGTGATTTGAGAAGCAGAAGAAGAAATGGGAGAAGGTGGAGAAAGAGAGGGGTGGTCCTTTAAAAAATTGGCCGCCATGTTGACAGATGAGCTTTTGTTATTAGTTTATAGAGGACGTGCAAGCTAATGTGAATATAATCCTAAGAATTGTTATTAAATATATTGCAATTTGAAAATGACTTCCTCCTTTATATATTCTTGATTATTTCAAAACCGTTGATTTTGGACTTTCCTTAATAAAATCATTAGTACAGATCATTCTGTCTAAATAATCCTCTCTCTCTCTTATCTATTTTTGCTTAGTAATTAGGGTTTTCCTGTCCTTAATCATCACCCAATAAATAATTAAATCAATAAACCCCATTAAAGAATATTGATCTAGTTCCAATTCAAAAATATATTTGCCCTATCTTCAATGAAGATAAAGGTTTGATCTTTTTGCTTCATTGAAGGAGAAAATAGATCGAATATGGTAATAAGGTTTGTCCATTTCCTTAATTATATATTATATGGATAGGTAGAGTGTATTTGTTTGTTGATGATCTCATCAAAATTGGCCTTGTTTTTAGATCCCTTCTTTCAATGGTATATGTACTTATATACCTCCCCAACCTTTACTCCATCTTTCATATAATTAACCATTTATCTTTATTAATTAATAAAGGAAAGTCAAATATAATACAAACCTATCCTAATCCCTTTGTTAATTAATTAATTTAGCCTTGTTAATTGTATATGCAAGCAGTTTTAGTCATGAAAATTTCCAAGAACCACCAGAATAATTAATATTTCTACAATCTAACTGGAAAATTCAAATTTCCTTTCACTCTTTATCTACCTATTTTCAGCAATTTCATAAATACCATATTTTTAAAGATAACATCAATTTCATATTTGTTGATCATGCATTATGTAAATATGATTGCATTAGCTAGTAATTTGTCGGTAAATATAATAAATTGGTTTCTATTCCTTAAATCGATTGAAAGATAAATATATAGATATAAAAATAAAATTCGCATACCATTATTGATTAATTAAACTTTGTTATAATTATTTATTTGAAGATAATGATGATAATATCACGATTAAGACACATAACAATAAACTATATATTATGTAATATAAAAATATAAGTACATCTTGCTACACTCAAAAGATTTATATATGGTTTTGGCTTATTCAATTCTCCTAAAAAATGGAGACATTTTTATTAAAGAAAAAGAAAGACCATTTAGATGAAATAATAACATTTTGATAGTTTAATTATTAATTAGGTGAGTATTAACCAAAAATGGCCCAAAATTCTTGAAAATTGGCATGATTAATTAATTCTAGATATCATTACAAGTCGAATCCTATCTTCCATAGTTGACTAAATCAGTTATTGCTGTTTCTGTCTTTCTCTTTCCTATTCATTAAAAGGGTGTAAGAAATTCAAACCAATTGGCCAATTTGTTACATCAAAAATATCAAAAGAATTCAATATTATTATTCTAGATTATCAAGTGATGCGTGAAGTAATGGGACTATGACAATTTCTCTATTACTACCATTATTATTTATATAGAAGTACTGTAATTTAAGTATAAATCACAGTCACAGCAGATGAGCGGATGATGGCTTTTGAATTAATTTCGTTAATTAATTATTAATAATCAAACTCGTAAATTTTTGTTCTCTTCTCTGACTTCCATTAACCACGGCTACTTTCATGCCCTTTTCTCTATATTTTATGTTATATAGAGAGTATATAATTTCCAACTGCATTTGCAAGGAACAGGAAGTTCCTCATGGCTTCCCTTTTTACACTATTTATATATGGAAGTGGAGACTCTCTCCTAGCTAAGTGCCAACATATACTTTTTCAACAAGACATTGGCGATTGCTCTATTGGTTATCATTTTTTATATATAAAAATTAATTATTGTTACTATATATTTAATCAAAAAGTCTAGCTAGGGGAACGCAATGTAAACTATATATACTATTATTTTATAATATTTTTAATGCACCGTATAAGTGCCAACCATAAGGTTAAAACCCAGTTAGCCATTCGATCTGCGTTAAAATTTTTTTCCCGATGAATATAATAAATTTTAATTTCTAAATAAGAATTGAAGAGAGCTTAGAAAATAATCGCACGATATTTTCTGTATATTTATAAGTTATCATAGAATTAATAAAAAAAAACCAATGGAATGTAGTAGAAATGTCGTCCTGATAGTGTAATATGCACGGGATTGAAAAACAATGCAGCCATTTGGAGTAGGCTCGATGCTGATTCATTACTTCGTTACATGCAGTGAGAATTTTCCTGCTCGATTGCCATCCCAAGAATCAACTGTCACAAATTATTAACTATTACTATTAATTTTGAGATTTGAATCAAACTTCTAGATGTATATTTTGTCTTTTTTTTTTTTTAAAAAAAAATATCAATGACATACACATGACGAGCAAAGAAAGAATATAATTGTTAAAAAAAAAGGAATATTCAACTTCTGTTGGCCAAATATATTAAGTGCTGATGTTGCTTGGCATGTATATTATAAACGTTTCAGTACTAGATTACACCAATATAATTTTAAATATATTATTGTAAATTGCATCATAAGCTCAACAAATTACATTTTCAAATACAAATACAAATTTATAAATGATAGAACTTCGAAAGAAGATGACTCAAACCTAAAACCTCGAATCTAATGATTTAAGTTATCAATTTTATCCTTCCAACTATGCATCATTTAAACCCGGAGAATATATACTTTTTGAGTGCGAGTACAAAACAATTCAAATCTTAGCAAGAGTGATACGAAGAATTCCTTATTAGTGATATATATATATATATATGAATGAGTTCCTTTAATTCACAACAAACGCAAACAATTTTGTTTTTCATTGTGCATTTATTTTATCATGAGTCTTATCAATCATAGAGTTATACCATAATGATGGACGGTCAAGATGATTTGGACATTTTTTTTTTGACTGAAAAGATGATTAAGACATGTTAAACTTACATTATTTTTCATTGTGAATTTATTATGCGTGGATCACTTCCTAAATCCTAATTAATCATTTACGTTCAGTTAATTATTGGCCTGATTGGCGCTAGATAACAAACTAGATTTTTTTTTTTTTTTCATTTACGAATTTTTGTAATGGATGATTTGCTTTTAATAGGTTTGAGAAGGTAAATATAATGTGATTAATTTATTATATATTAAAAGAATTACTTATGCAATCTCCAAAAAAACAAAAATTACAATTTAGTTCATCAAATCATACTCTTTTCTGAAAAAAAAAATGAAGTAATTACACGTTTTTGTTCTGTTAATAGAATAGTCCCATTATCCAAAATAACTAAAACATTCCCTTCCTTAGAAGGACCAGAATATTTCATTAAATTGATGAAAAAATATTAAAATACTATTACATATGTTTGGTAATCATTAAATCATTTAGATTTTAATATAACTCATACTCTCTATTTATTTATTTATTTATATTATTTTGATAAAAAATCAAGTAATTTTTTTTTAAATTTTACAAGTTGATTTCTCTAGAAAATTTACTTTATGATATTTTTAACTGATAAAAAAATTTAGTATTATAAATAACTAATTTAGTTTTAAATTATTTAATATTTTATTTTAATTATTCTGAAAATACAACTAATATTTATTTTCAAACTATCAAAATATTATGCAAAGAGATTTTTTTTTAAAGAAACAAAATAGAGTTAATTGACTCAAAATAAGAAATAACAACTACCAGTTTCTTTTTACTAGCTAAATTAGAAAGACATAATTTGAGATTTTTTTTTTTGTCTTTTTTTTACTAAGACCATTTTAGTATTTTTTACATAATTTTTTTTTTTTACTAGAAGGTCCAATAGGCCCGGCTATAGAATAGAAATATAAAATTAATAAAAACTCTTGTAATTGAGAAAACTTGAAATAAAAATATTAATTTAATAAAATGAGCTCTTCAAGTAGTATATCGGTGTCCTTTGAATTTAATCCAATTTCAAAATTTTATTTTGACTCACTGACCGGCAGTATTTCTGCAATTTTTTTTAAAAAAATTTCATTATATTGCCTTAATCGAGGCAAGTCTAGGGATAAAATTCACGTTCAAGCCCAATTAGAACAAAGCATTAAACTGACTGCAAAAGTTTCAAGTCCACAAACATGTTTTAAGAGAATGAGATGGAATAGTTTAAGACAACTAATATTTAGTAGGACATCGATGCGTAGTAGTTTGATGCGTAGTAGTTTAATAGTAAATGTATATACAATTCGGTAATGGGTCCGGATTTAAATCTCCCTCTTAAGTGCTAAAAAAAACTCATATTTAGTACATTTTTTATCCAAATTATGATAATTAGGTCAGTCTTTGGCAGTGTCATGGACAAGTCATTCCTTTTCTTTTCCCTGTTTCCCTTTTCACAGAGAGCTCAGCCCGGCAATAAGGCTCGATTACTTTTCTTGTTTTGATTAATGTTCCCATGCAAATATATTATGCTAGACATATGCCCACCACGAAGGCCTGCTGATTAATTGCTTATCTTTAATTTAGTATTATAACTGCACTTCTTTTTCTATACTAACTATAGGTATCTCTAATCCATTGAATCAAGAATAAATCCTCCCGCACTCCGAATCAGTTGATTAAGTAGTAAAACGCTCCCAATAAATATTTGGCTTAATCCATAAGAATAGTATCCTCGATTTCGTTTAAGAAAAATTAGTACTAACTAATTAATTAGTTAGTTTTTCAATCTTGTAACTCCTTTTTTTTTTTGTGATAAGCTGAGATTTTTATTAATCAAAGGGAGGCAAGCCCATGAAGTTACAGCCATAGCTTCAAGAGTTTTACAACAAAAAATCTATTCTTTCTGTTTCAAAATATAAGTCGTTTTTTATTGTTATTTTATCCTAAAATATAAGTTGTTTTGTGTATTTCAAGAAGTAATAAACGATATTTTTCAATGTGCTCGTGTTTACATTAAATACAATAAAAACATCAAAAACTACTGTTGATTTTGAGATAAAGGATAATTTTGTCAAATTACTTTTGAGTTTGTTGTAATCTAGGAGAATTAATTGCTTCCTTAATTCTTGTGCAAAAGCCTTAAATGACTTATATTTCGAGACAAAGAGAATAATAAACAAATATACAGTAGCATAGTAATAAAGAAACATAAGTCCTTTATAGATTATTACTCCATTTATTCCGGAATATAAGTCGTTTAAGGTTTTTGCACAAGGATTAAAGAAGCATTTAATTCTCCTAGATTATAACAAACTCAAGAGTAATTTGATCAAATTATCCTTTATTTCAAAATTAATAATTGGTTGTGTAAACGAGGATAACATTAAAAAAATATCATTTATTACTTCTTGAAATACACAAAACGATTTATATTTTGAGACAAAATAACAAATCAAAAACGACTTATATTTTGTTTTGAGTACCAAATATAACAAATCAAAAACGATTTATTTGGGACAAGAGGAAGTATTTAATAATGGTATTAGGTAAAAATATCATTTATTACTTCTTGAAATACACAAAACGATTTATATTTTGAGACAAAATAACAAATCAAAAACGACTTATATTTTGGGACAGAGGAAGTATTTAATAATGTGGTATTAGGTCTTAAAATTTATGGCTAAAATTTAAATTTGCCATTTTATGTACTATTACTTGAAGATCCTAAAATTATGTTTCTTTTCCCCGTAATCTTTTCATTTTTGGGTACAAAAATAGTGTTCTGGTAGTCCTTTGTTTTGTCTTTTTTGCTCCTAAGTCCTAAACATGTCATCATATGAATCGCTATGGTATTATAGGTCAAAATTCATTTCAATAAGCCCATTGGTTTTTTTCTTTTTCCATACTGGTATGCAGGAATACAATGGATTTTTGTAGATTTAATTAAAATAATCCCTTTACGTTGCTTATCTGCTTTGGTATTTTCTTGTCTCCATGGTTTGCAGATGAGAATGACATGTGGGCGTAGTTAATTTATACAAGAAAACTTCAACTAAGAGTAGAAGAACAAATGGCAAATTTCACTTTGTTTCCGTTTTTGAACGAAAGCAACAACAGCAAGAAAGTTCTTCAAGACAACAATAACATTACTTGGAGTCATTAATTAAACGACAGCAACCTTTACACTGCTTGTGTCTGTTCCCTCTACATGCTTTTCAATAGCCTCAAGAACAGCTTGAGTAGCATTTTTCACATCTAAAACAGTCTGTTCTTCAGCTACAACAATGGCTTCCATGACAAAATACAAATTACATGACACCTTTGCATGCAAGACTGTTAGACCCATTTCTTCAAATACTTCTAATATTGAGACTAGCTTATCTTCTCCCTTCTCGCAAATCACCTTTACGATAAATCCTTTTCCAGCTTTCTCTACTTTCACCTGTGCATACAAGACAGTGAAAGATGCAAATGTTATGCCAAGTAGAAAACATGAAAATAAATTAATGGGGTAAGAGAGTACAGACCTTGGGTAAGTGGAGGTGCAGCTTCACCATGCTTAAGCATTGCCTTTTGATTGCATCTAAGTATAAGAGTTCTCTTTTGATTGACTCCAACTTGAGTTTGAGTTTGTAAATGTAAAGAATAGCATCAGCAATAATAGAGCTTCTTTTCACCTTCACAAAGAAAACAGAGTTAAGAATTCAGCACAAGAACTTGGAAGCTACACTAAGAATGAGTTTTTAATTGTAATTAAATTACAGATTTGGAGAAGGTGAGGGTTCTTAGAATGTGAAGCTTTCTGCGCAATGCCATTTTCCTTTGCAGTCTGGACACCATCTTCTTCTTCTTCTCTCTTACCCTGTTTCCGTTTGTTTATTAAATGCTTACAGTGAGAGATTAGAAGACAGAATGTTGTTGGCTTTTTATAGCATGAGAATGGTAGAGGTCAAGTGGGTATAAGTATATTTTGTACTGTATTGGGATCTCTGATTTGCCAAAGCTTCTAAGTCCTATCCTCTTGTCTCACACGAAAGTGGGAACTGTAACAAGAAAAGGGAAAAAAAAGAAAGGTTAAAAAAAAGAAAGCCTACGTCGGTATTTTAGCTTGAAATGACATAACAGTAACATTTAACATACTTAAAGAGATTTAAGATAATCATATTAGGAATCTGCACTAGTCAATGCTTCATCCATTTGAAATTGAAATTAGTATTTTGAAAATAGAAGTTCCATTATTAGACACCAACGAGGAGACAAAAAATGATCTCAGAACATGCAAAGCCAACAGAAAAAATAAACACAAACAAGAAAAGGCGATGACAGGAGGAAGCAGAGCATTGATGAGAGTGGATGATGTTGCAATTACAATTGTCCTATTTGGAATTTATTGCATGGGAATGGAGGTGGGAAAAGGGCATTCGATTCGACGAGAGCTACGGGCATTTGCAGATTGCAGTAGAGTTCACGGGCCTCTCGTTAGGTTTCACTTTGCCAACTGCCTCTCCTCCCATATTGTTAGTGGCCTAAGGTCACATGCTCTGACTAATATAAAATACTTTTGGTGTTTTATTCTTTATCGTTGTTTTTCTACTTGTGGACACCCTCTAAACCCTTTACCCTACATATTTTATGCCATCTCTTCACTAACAGCCTTTCCACTCGAGACAAATCCACCTCTCTTTCTAATTTTGTACTAGTATCTGTCTCCTGCTTCATTTGTTTTACCTTCTTGAACCTTTTTTAGGTTCAATCCCTTTTCTCTGTTCATTTTCCTTTTCCCTGTTCACTGAACACTTGTGTCTTCTTTTTCTCTTTGGTTTGAAATTTTAATTTACTTTGTCCATGGACTTCTGTTAATCATACTACGGTTTTCAATTTTATTGGTGCATTCAATTAAGACCTATCTAAATTACTACTATTGAAAGACTCGAATAGCCGATTCTAAACCATGAGACCCTTGGATTAAAAAAAATACACAACAATAGAAGAATTATATATATTATTGTATGTAAATTAATGAAACCAAAACCGTTGGATAAAAACAGTGGATGAAATTGTGATTATTTACCATTTGTCGAGAAGAAGCCAAGCACATAGAACAATACAGAAACCTCAGGCATGCTTGTAACACAATGTACATGCAACGGAAGGCAAAAGGGGCAATACATGTTGGATTTTAGGAGTTGCTACCTCCTTAGTTCACTCTTACTAATTTGTTTCTTGTGTCTGCTTTGGGTACATTATTTTTTAGGGATAGAGAGAGAGAGAGAGAGAGAGAGAGAGAGAGAGACAGTCACTGGGGGCCTAAAGTCCTTTTCTTTGTTCCCTCATTTTTTGATATTTCAATGTTATGATATTATAAGCCTATCTTCTCATCTGTTTTTATTTGTCTACTTGTGCTTGACATCTCCCTTTCTCAATTTGAGGAGGGTGCCTCTCTATGTTCTATCAAATTCTTGTCTATTTCTTGAACTTCTCTCCTTGCTTTTTATGATTTTATCTTTTTCTCTTTGTAGGAATCTGGGGTTCACATGACCAATTTAGTACAGGCCCTTCATTGCTAGAAGCACCTGCATACCTGCCAACTGAAATAATACGGAATAATTACAAAAAACAAGTCCATAATTAAGGCCTATATAATTTAATTTTTTCATTTTTAGCCTAGAAAATATTTTTTTTTCACAATTCCCCTTCTTGATATTTTTCTTTCAAAAAAATTTATTGTTTTTCTAAATATTTTCGGCATGAAACGGTTAATTACTGAATGTGTTAGAATTCTGAATTTTAAATTTTAGATTTCGGGATAATCTTTTAATTGAAATTCACTGTAAGTACATTTAAAGATTAAATTGCATGAATTGTTCCAAACTCACCTCATTTACACACAAAAATAAAAACCTCATTTACAAAATTTTATTTAAAAAAAAAAATTTAGGAACAATGGATTCCACATAATAGTATACATAGCTAAATTAGGTGGGCCTTGGGCCTCATAGTAAGTGGGCTTAATTGGTTTAAATATTTGGACATCTTGGGTTGTATAACCGTTGGTCCATTCAACAAATTAGAACTTCATTGCGCTTGAATTAATCCTTAATTCGAATAATTAGTCACTCGGATATGTAAAATTAGGAAAGTAAAAATAGAAAAAGAGAAATTCTTTGCTGCAAATCAGGGAAATTGTACACAATCTGGTGAATTTAATCTTTTCTTTCTTCCAAAGGAAGGCAAAAGTAAAAAAAGAATGTATAATATTAAGGGAGGGCCATGCAAATAGAATCACTTGCAAATGTATAAAAAGAATTGAGTGATGTATAATATTGTTTTTTTCTAGTAAGGCACCAATGGTATATAGTACTTAGAATCATAGAGATTAACCAGATTTAGTGGGTAAATGGAATCACCAAAGACCAGCAATAAATTGCCAATTATTATAGCAATGAAGGGTCCTTCAAGCAGTAAAAAGAGTGAAATAGCTAAGAAATTAGCAGAATTTCTTGTGTATCCTCTAATTGATGAAAAAGATATCATCCCAGATCTTCAAACTTCTTCAACCCTACTTTCTGATGATTTGTCTTTCAAAATTATCGCTCGAATCTCATCAATGCAACTTCGATTAAAACTTGGAGTTATACTCAATCCTCCAGTCTTTGATCATACCCATTTTGACCATTTGATTCAACTAGCAGGCACTAATAATGCTCGTTTGGTTATTGTTAAGTGCACAACTGAAGTTGATGATCAAGCCCACGATTATGATATTGGAAATGTCCCAAACTTCAACATCAACATAGCAGAACCGTTTGTTGTAGATGGTTTTGCCCCTGCTATACTAATCCACGGTGCAGAATTTCAAGAAATTGTAGATTTCCAACTTCAAGGAGATGAAGGTAATAAATCAAACCCATCACAACCTTCAAATAATGATAAAATCATTCCTAAACGACCTTTGACAGAAGCACATGCACACGAGTTTTCCTTAATTGAAAACCCAAATATTATTAGTTCTAATAAGCATAAAAACCTTTGCAACCATTGTCGAGAATCCATTTCTGGTCCCATTTACCAATGCGTTGAATGTAATGAGTTTGTTCTTCACAAATCGTGTGCTGAAATCGCCAGCAATATTGGAGGTCTGGTACCAACAGAGTCAATGCTACAAGAGGCCAGTGCTATCAGACGTGAGATGATTATTAAGGCAATTGGAGCTGGTTATATTCTACAGAATAAAGATTGAGCCTGCTTGTTGAAAAATTCTTTGTTTTTTCTTATTTTTAGTTTTCCATTTTTAAATTTGTGGACCTGATTATATAATATTCGAGATTCAAAAGCATAAAGCCATGATCACGGATTGCGTGCAGCGCCGTGTTTCTGCGTATTGGACAGTCAACTTGGGGTTCGATCTATTAATATATAAAGAACATCCTTTGGATCCTCTTTCTCTTCTTTTTTTATTAGATCATAAGAAGTGTAAAATAAAAAATAAAATGTGGATATTTTGTTGGAAGATGAAAGTGGCAACGTCATGCAGGGAATAAAGGTGAATAGAAAGACAAGAAGACACTGGACACAGTATTGTTCCATTGGATATGCTTCTTCTGAATTGGTATAAATGGAAATTAAGTGTATGCCAGTTCAGGTGTGCAGCTGCATTACAGGGCAAAATCTCCATTGGCAGGCAGCCACTTAATATAAATTGTTGCAAGCTTAGTGTGCTATCTGCCAAAGGAGATTTGCCAGGCAATTCTTTCTCTGCACTGTCACTTCGACATATACGTTTTCTGTTCCATTACTCTTTTATTAATTCTCTAGTTTAATATTTAATTGAAAAAGAAGGGGATAAGCAAAATAAAAAGACAATAGGAAGGAAGAAATGTAATAATTTAATGATGATACTAACAAATAATAATGAGAAATGAGAAAAAACTTAATATCTTTTGATTTTTTAAAATCGCAGTTAATTAAAATGAGAAAAATAATTTAAGTGACATTTAAAATAAGGTGATATTATATCTTATTCTAAAATGAGATCGAAACATTGAACAACATAAAGAAACCAAAGTAAATTACAAAAGTGACAACAATTTATAATATAGATGACAAAAGCCATAGTGTCATTATAATATAGAAAAGACAATAAATTCAAAAAGTATTTATGAAAAGGAGCAACTACGTGTTTTAAAATAAGATTAGTTTAAAATCGAGAAGAATATATAGATACTTGTAGATATATTAAAAAAAATTTTAAATGCAAAGACAATTCATATAGAAAAAAACATTGTAATTAGTTTGAAATACAGAGATGCATATATTTCTTTCAAACATAGCAACTCAAGCAATTAAATATTTCTTCAACTTAGATATTGCTGAATATTATGTAGTCAACAGTGGCCAAAATTTTTAAAAGAATTAATAAGAGAAAATTTAAAAAAATTTTCATTAATTTATACAGTGAAATTTGAAGACTTTTTGGATTTAGGGAGGCATGGCAATAAAGCTAAAACGCTGCATCAAGTTTCTGCATATATATATAGTCATACGCCATAATTTGGTTGGCTTTTGAGAGCCAGCAAGGGGTCAAGTTCCCAAAATGCTCGGTATCTTCCATTTTAAAGTAGTTGTTCTTCTTTTTCCTTTCCCTTTTCTTGGCTTTTCTTCACAATGAGCTCATTATTAACGAAAAGCAAAGCTAGCTCTTAAAGAGATTCTCCTAGACCAATCGCACCATGCATAGACACTTGCCAACACTTGACACTTGATGTTGTATTTTACTTTTTGAGTATATAAAATACTCCAGGGACTGGACAATGGACATGGTAAAATATGGACAAATCTATCCGTAGAGGGTATGTCATGGTCTGTTGTGTGACTTTTGGTGCAGTTGCATATTACGGGGCAAATACCTCCATTGGCAGGCAGCAATTTTTCAGGCAAGTATCGAGTCTTAAAATGTGCCTTCTGCCAAAGGAGATTTGCCCAGCAATTCTTCTGCATTTACCTTGGATTCATGCAGTTCAATATTGTTTCGTTTCCACACTAAATACTAACGTTTAGAACAGCATGTAAGAATGGATTAGTTCCTCCAACCCTTTTGAGCACCCAAACAGGGTTTAGTTGTGAGTTCAGACTTCAGGAAAAAAATCCACTATCAAGGAATGATCTTGTTGTTCAAATTGGTATAAGTTCTTTGAGTTTAAGCTATGCACACACACCAACACACACACACACACACACACACACACACACACATATATATAATACGAGTTGCGTAAACCTATTATCCTTGAGCTGATGTTTAGAAGGTGAGGCCTGTCCATTTTCTAAACATGGTGTCCCACATTGCTTTGGGGGACAAACATGATCAGATTCAAATGCCAACTAGTGCTTCATTTTTTACACGCAAAAAATCATTTCAGGAACCGGCTTTTGACACGCATGAAATGGAGAACATACTCTCTGTCTCCCTCGTTAAA